TGAAATCCTAGAAAAATAACATTTTTCGAGAGGCAGTAGAACAGTGTCGAAAAAAGTATCCTAGAATCCTAGAAAAACAGCGTTTTTCGAGAGATCGAGAGATTCTGTTGCCAGCCGCAACTGGCAGTAAAACAGCTTCGAAAAAAGCTGAAATCCTAGAAAAGAAACCTTTTTGACGAGATTCTATTGCCTGCAGCTGCTGGCAGTACTGCTGACAGTAGAACAACTTCGAAAAAAAGCAGCTGCCGGCAGGAAAACACCATGGCGCTGAAGAACGAGCGAGTGCCAAAACCACGTGAAAAAACTCCCTAACGTGTCGTCTGAAATCCTAGAAAAACAACCTTTTTCAAGACTGCTGGCAGTAGAACAGCTTCGAAAAAAAGCAGCTACTGGCAGGAAAACAGCTTCGAAAAAAGCTGAAATCCTAGAAAAGAAACCTTTTTGACGAGATTCTGTTGCCTGCAGCTGCTGGCAGTACTGCTGACAGTAGAACAACGTCGAAAAAAAGCAGCTGCCGGCAGGAAAACACCATGGCTCTGAAGAACGAGCGAGTGCCAAAACCACGTGAAAAAACTCCCTAACGTGTCGTCTGAAATCCTAGAAAAGCAACCTTTTTCAAGACTGCTGGCAGTAGAACAGCTTCGAAAAAAAGCAGCTGCCGGCAGGCAGTAGAACAGCTTGGAAAAAAAGTAGCTGCCGGCATGAAAACACCATAGCTCTGAAGAACGAGCGAGTGCCAGAACCACGTGAAAAAACTCCCTAACGTGTCGTCTGAAATCCTAGAAAAACAACGTTTTTCAAGACTGCTGGCAGTAGAACAGCTTCTTCGAGAGATTCGGTTGCCTGCGGCTGCTTGCAATCAAACAGCTTCGACAAAATCACCTTCCGGCAGGAAAACACCATGGCTCTGCAGGACGAGCTAGTTCCAAAACCATGCGAAAAAAATGCCAAACGTCCCGTCTGCAATCCTAGAAAAACAACCTTTTTCGAGAGATTCTGTTGCCTGCAGCTGCCGGCAGGAAAACGCCATGGCTCTGAAGGACGAGCGAGTACGAAAACCACGTGAAAAAACTCCCTAACGTGTCGTCTGAAATCTCCTAGAAAAACAACCTTTTTCGAGACTGCTGGCAGTAGAACAGCTTCGAAAAAAAGCAGCTACCGGCAGGCAGTAGAACAGCTTCGAAAAAAAGTAGCTGCCGGCAGGAAAACACCATGGCTCCGAAGGACGAGCGAGTGCCAAAATCACGTTAAAAAACTCCCTAACGTGTCGTCCGAAATCCTAGAAAAACAACCTTTTTCAAGACTGCTGACAATAGAACAGCTTCGAAAAAAAGCAGCTGTCGGCAGGCAGTAGAACAGCTTCGAAAAAAAGTAGCTGCCGGCAGGAAAACACCATGGCTCTGAAGGACGAGCGGGTGCCAAAACCACGTTTAAAAACTCCCTAACGTGTCGTCTGAAATCCTAGAAAAACAACATTTTTCGAGACTGCTGGCAGTAGAACAGCTTCGAAAAAAAGCAGTTGCCGGCAGGCAGTACCTAACGTGTCGTCTGAAATCTCCTAGAAAAACAGCCTTTTTCGAGACTGCTAATGCTGACAGTAGAACAGCATCGAAATCGAAAAAAAGCGGCTGCCGGCAGGAAACGTCCCGCGTGAAATCCTAGAAAAATAACCTTTTTCGAGAGGCAGTATAGAACAGTGTCGAAAAAAAGTATCCTAGAATCCTAGAAAAACAGCGTTTTTCGAGAGATCGAGAGATTCTGTTGCCAGCCGCAACTGGCAGTAAAACAGCTTCGAAAAAAGCTGAAATCCTAGAAAAGAAACCTTTTTGACGAGATTCTGTTGCTTGCAGCTGCTGGCAGTACTGCTGACAGTAGAACAACTTCGAAAAAAAGTAGCTGCCGGCATGAAAACACCATAGCTCTGAAGAACGAGCGAGTGCCAAAACCACGTGAAAAAACTCCCTAACGTGTCGTCTGAAATCCTAGAAAAACAACCTTTTTCAAGACTGCTGGCAGTAGAACAGCTTCGAAAAAAAGCAGCTACTGGCAGTAAACAGCTTCGAAAAAAGCTGAAATCCTAGAAAAGAAACCTTTTTGACGAGATTCTGTTGCCTGCAGCTGCTGGCAGTACTGCTGACAGTAGAACAACTTCGAAAAAAAGCAGCTGCCGGCAGGAAAACACCATGGCTCTGAAGAACGAGCGAGTGCCAAAACCATGTGAAAAAACTCCCCAACGTGTCGTCTGAAATCCTAGAAAAACAACCTTTTTCAAGACTGCTGGCAGTAGAACAGCTTCGAAAAAAAGCAGCTGCCGGCAGGCAGTAGAACAGCTTCGAACAGCTGCCGGCAGGCAGTAGAACAGCTTCGAAAAAAAGTAGCTGCCGGCATGAAAACACCATAGCTCTGAAGGACGAGCGAGTGCCAAAACCACGTTAAAAAACTCCCTAACGTGTCGTCTGAAATCCTAGAAAAACAACGTTTTTCGAGACTGCTGGCAGTAGAACAGCTTCTTCGAGAGATTCGGTTGCCTGCGGCTGCTTGCAATCAAACAGCTTCGACAAAATCACCTTCCGGCAGGAAAACACCATGGCTCTGCAGGACGAGCTAGTTCCAAAACCATGCGAAAAAACTGCCAAACGTCCCGTCTGCAATCCTAGAAAAACAACCTTTTTCGAGAGATTCTGTTGCCTGCAGCGGCTTGCCTTCGACAAAATCACCTTCCGGCAGGAAAACACCAAACGAAAACACCATGGCAGTGAAGGACGGAAAAGCATCAAAATGTTTCCTGCTGCTGCTGCTGCTACTGCTGCTGCTGCTGCTACTGCTGCTGCTCCTGCTCCTTTGATCCCTTCTGTTCAAAAGGCGGATGGGCCAGCACCATGGCAGTGAAAGGCGGAAAAGCATCAAAATTGCGCCCCAAAACTACCTAATGTAACTTCTGCAACCCACACAAAAAGACGTGTCTTCTGAAATCCTGCTGTTTCGAAGGAACAGATCAGAGCGGGAAGGGCAACCCAAGGAGCCCCACGTACTTCGAGGAGACTCCGGGAAGGACCCCCCACCGGTGAAACAAAAACCCCGGAGTCAAGGAATCGAGGTACGTGACCGGTGGGAGGGGGACCCAAGAGAGTCCCCCGGCAAAGGGTCATGGTTATTGTTGTTCGTTGTTGTTTCTTGTTGTTTGTTGTTGTTTGGTGTTGTTTGTTATTGTTGTTTGTTGTTGTTTGGGTTTATGTTTGTCTTCGTGGTTGTTGTTGTTCTTGTTCTTGTTTGTTCTTCTTCTTCTTCTTGTTGTTGTTGTTGTTGTTGTTGTTGTTGTTGTTGTTGTTATTGTTGTTGTCGTTGTTGTTATTGTTGTCGTTGTTGTTGTTATTGTTATTGTTGTTGTTGTTGTTGTTGTTGTTGTGGTTGTTGTTCTTGTTATTGTTCTTCTTGTTGTTGTTGTCGTCGTTGTTGTTGTTGTTGTCGTTATTGTTGTTGTTATTATTATATTATTATATTATTATTGTTCTTGTTCTTGTTCTTGTTGTTGTTGTTCTTGTTCTTGTTTGTTCTTCTTGTTGTTGTTGTTGTTGTTGTTGTTGTTGTTGTTATTGTTGTTGTCGTTGTTGTTATTGTTGTCGTTGTTGTTGTTATTGTTGTTGTTGTTGTTGTTGTGGTTGTTGTTCTTGTTATTGTTCTTCTTCTTGTTGTTGTTGTTGTCGTTGTTGTTGTTGTCGTTGTTGTTGTTGTTGTCGTTATTGTTGTTGTTATTTTTATATTATTATATTATTGTTCTTGTTCTTGTTGTTGTTGTTGCGGTTGTTGTTGTTGTTGTTGTTGTTGTTGTTGTTGTTGTTGTTGTTGTTGTTGTTGTTGTTGTAGTCCTTTTCTTCCATCTTCTTCCCTTACGCGCTCCCCCTTGCGTCGGCCGGGGTCGGCGGATATGGCGCTCACGCGCCTTTCTCTTGCAGTAGAGACAGCTTCACTACAAGTAGATGCTTTCATTTCTGCACCCAAATGGGCTTTACCCCCAGTGGCAATTTTAGTGGGAAAAATGATGAATGCACTGCTGTAGTGTTGCCGATCTTGCAATGTGGCTGGAGGCTAGTAGGTATTTTCTTTTCTCCAGGCTGCTGGCGATATTATTGGCGCATATTTGAGCATATGTCAGCTGGTGTGGAGGTAATCTATGCTATTGATTCCTATTGATTATTGAAAACATACAATACGCCTTCAAGCTGACTCGCCCTCGTTCGAGGCTAACAAGTTTCATCATCATCCTGCTGATGGTCTCCGCTGTGGCCTCTGTGCTGGTGAATGCAACTGGCCCAAAGGCAGGAGACCCGCTCTCCTACACCACAGGCACGGAATGACTCATGGATGTTCCGAATCAGAGGGATGCAGCAACGATGGACAGCACAGCAAAGACAGAAAAAGCAATCGTGTGTACACACCTGATTTGCGTATGAAGCTGGCAGTCACAAACAAAGACGTATCATACATACACATATTAGTGCAGCTTACTGCATATGCATTGACATACACAGGGAGACACATACCTATACCTATTTAGGGATTGAGAGTTGAAGGCAGCTCTGCAGCTTCTCGATGCTCCGTCATGGATGCAGCAGTTACGGAATGTTGTTGGATGTTGTTGGTAGGTGCTTCTGGAATTCTTCTGGAATATTGTTTTCATGGATGCGACGGTCTTGTGCCCTAGCTCTCTTTCATTTGTTGTTGCCCGCAGGTATTGCCATTGCCACTTGGCTGATCTGGTCGGGGTTTGGTGGCCAAGGAGCTGGAAGTTTCCATCCGGTCCTTTAATTGAATGTTCACATTACTAGAGGCTACTACAGGCTACCCATTGGCCCATGGCTCGATGATGCCTATAGGTTTAGATGTACAAATACATCTCACAAATCACTGGGAGATATCGTTATTCTGCCATCCTCTGCGTCACCAGCACGCTTTCCTCGCCAAAAGGGTCTCATCGTCCTTATCAACGCTGGCATCGCGGCATGGACCGAAAGCAGGGCAGGCGATGCATTGGAGGCGTGCTTCGGCTGAACAGACCATGCGACGCGCCGCTCTTTGCTGGTTTCCACTTCAGCACTGACCATGGTCATTGCAGCTGTGCAGATGGTACTGGAGAAGGGGCTGCAAGCTGGTCAGTAGTCATTCAGCTGAAGGCGTTATATATGGAAACATGAGAGCTTAGGTTGTCTAAGATGACTCAAGCCAACATTTACGCCCGGCTCTCGGACAGACTGCTCATAAAGCCATGATGATAGATGATTAATAGATGATGTTTGTTTAAGTTTCCTCCTGACATGAGGTGATGCGTGATGGCAAGGAAGTCCAGATCCCTGTCCCAACAGTGGTGGCAGGTGATATCGACCCTCGTCTCAACCAGCGTTGCTGACTGCTAGTTCCTTTTCTTACTTACAGTTACAGTATATAATTAATTAGATGTAGTCTTTCAGACAGAGCCCTGGGCCCGGGTTGGCTTTGGAAGCGGTAGAGGACTTCCATGGGGCTACCTTTCACAGCCTACTGTACCCAAACCAGATTGGAACCGACTTGTAGCTTGTCATTTGGGCATCAGTGAAGACAGTAAGGAGATTTTGTAGCAGCTTGGGCCAGATGTGTTTTTTATTTTTATTTTTATTTTTTTTATTTTAATCATGTTTTGATTGTTTTGGTTCTTGTCATTTCTTACCTCAAACCCAGGTGGTCTTGGGCACCGGTGACGTGGTGCCTGCCGACCTCCGCCTCTTCGAGGCGAAGGATTTTAAGGTCAGCGAGATGGCACTCACAGGCGCCGGCCATCGAAAAAAAGGTTGGACTTTCGAGGCTTCACAAAGGCTTTACATAATATATATATAATATATAGGATTATATAGGATAACAATATTATATATATAGGATAACAATATTAGATATATAATGATATATATATATATATATAGGATTTGACAAGGATTCTCAACAAGAGTTTACGTGGGGCATGAGTCACGACGTATCATCATTTCGCAGTGAACACCTCAAGAGGTTAAGTATGGAAGCGCTTTCGTAGTTGTTCAAAAGAATGTGACAGGGCTTGCACCTGCATTCAAAGGCAACATCTCAACCAACAGATGTGGCAACATTGAATGTCTAATGTCGGGAAGTTGTGGGAAGTCATGGCTCCCAAAAGTTCGCAAAGCTTGGCAGGAGAACCCGATGATGTGGCCAAGACTCACAAGGTGAAAGAAAAGAAGGACGGAGCTCCAGAGAAGTTGCCTGGCTCTGCAAGCGAGATACTGCATGCAGCGTACCTTGTAGCCACGCTTGCACAGCTGGAGCTGCTTCCATTTCGGGTAAGCTCAGGCTGACAAAATGCAACAGTCTGTGACAGGCTGCCTTGGTTAATCTTGGTCATTTACTCTATGTGCCCAAAAAAACCCAAAAAGTCAGATGGTAAGCCAATCATTCGCAGCGGCAGCGGGTTTAGTTTGGCATGTTGGCAGCCCAAGGCTCACTCCTGAGACCATGGCATTCTCCGGCTGCAGCATCACCAGCGGAGTTGGCAAGGGCTTGGTGGTCGACACTGGCATGAGCACACGCAGCCTGCATTGCAAGCAATGATCCAAACATATACAAACTGGCATGTGGTTTCCAGAACTTTCCAGAAAGCCGCTGTCTCAGTATACCGTATACCACTAATACTACTTCTCCCAAGATCCAGGAAAAGCATTATATTGTGCATATGCCTGCTGCAGTGCACCTATGTGTAGACCTTTTTCTATAGGAGTTGCCTCCCGAAAGAACCACCACGAACATTGCTGGACATTTCACACTTCAGTCTGAGCCATTGCTGGTGCCCAAGCCAAGGCATTGGACGAATCGCCCAATTGATTAATGGTGATGCCCCTTGACTACTTCTTTGGTGATTTCCGATGGTTCCAGTATCCAGTTCCCATGAGCAAATTTCATCTGGGTAAGAAGGGGCTTCTTTCGCAAGGCTATTGAGAAAGATCTCACCGCAGCAGTCGTGGTAGAGCCATATATATATACATTGCGCCCGCTGTGCGGGCAAGACATTTCCACCCGCAGACGAAGACGAATTCCGAAGACGAATTACGAAGACGAATTCCCCGAAGACGAATTGCCCCCCGAAGACGAATTCCCACCCGAAGACGAATTACGAAGACGAATTCCCCGAAGACGAATTGCCCCCCGAAGACGAATTCCCACCCGAAGACGGATTCCGAAGACGAATTCCCCGAAGACGAATTGCCCCCCGAAGACGAATTCCCCCCCGAAGACGAATTGCGAAGACGAATTCCCCGAAGACGAATTGCCCCCCGAGGACGAATTCCCCCCCGAAGACGAATTGCGAAGACGAATTCCCCGAAGACGAATTGCCCCCCGAAGACGAATTCCCCCCCGAAGACGAATTCCGAAGACAAATTCCCCGAAGACGAATTGCCCCCCGAAGACGAATTCCCCCCCGAAGACGAATTGCGAAGACGAATTCCCCGAAGACGAATTCCCCCCGAAGACGAATTGCGAAGACGAATTCCACGAAGACGAATTGCCCCCCGAAGACGAATTGCGAAGACGAATTCCCCAAAGACGAATTGCCCCCCGAAGACGAATTCCCCCCCGAAGACGAATTCCGAAGACGAATTCCCCGAAGACGAATTGCCCCCCGAAGACGACTTTTTCACCAAGGACTTGGGAGAAAAGCATGCATACACTCAAAGCCTACATGCATGTCATATATGCATCTAGTTTTTATTTTGGCAAACGGTAGGGACATTTTTTTGTCCATGGTGGGTTTTCACCATATAACGGACGTCTTTGTTTGGTTCACTTGCATATTTTCCCTACAAGGGCCTGTCATGTTAGGAACCGGGCCCCCAGTTCCAGGAACTGGCGGAACCATGGTCACGGTTTCAAGGGTTGGTTTATGGACCCCAACACCGATCATGATGACTATAACGAAGGAGGTAACGAAATGAACGACTTGGAAAAAAGGAAGAGATAAACAAACCGCATGTAAGACTTGAAAAAAGGAAGGAAATAGCGACATGAACGCATTGACATGAAAGGAAGAGGTACTGTAAATGAACAGGATGGAAGCGTTGAAACGAGGGGGAGGAAGTAGCGAACGGAAGGGAAGAGTTAAACCGATTTAAAGCGGAAGGAACGACGTATATACGAAAGAAGCAGCGAACGGGATTACAAAGAGTTGAAACGAAAGGAAGGAAGCAACGAATGGAAGGGAAGAGTTGCAACAAAAAGACGGACGCAATGAAAAGGACGAGTTGACAGGAAAGGAAGAGCAGGAAGAACAGGACAGAAGATTTGAGCGAAACGACGGACTTCGCGAAATGAACGCCTTTAAATGAGAGAAAGAGGTGAACGAATAAGATGAAACAATGGGGAGGAAGTAACGAACGGAGCAGAAGTTAAAACGAAAGGAGCGACGTAGGGAACAGAAGGGAAGACAAAACGAAAGGGAAGAGTAACAAACGAAATGCTCTGGATGCTATAGCCTCTGGGCTTGCTCTTTGAGATTTTGAAAATTCTTTTGATGCTACGCTCTTGGCCTTCACCTGAGGCGTTTCAGCACGCCCTTGACGCTACGCTCTGGAGACAGTCGCCTCTTGAATGCTATGCTAATTTTCTCTTGGAAGTTCGAACAAGCTCTTGGTGCTACGCTCTTGGCTTAATCTTGGGTTTTCCGACACGCTTTTGCTGCTACGCTCTGAGCATCTCTTAGCTTTCTCCTGGGCCAGTCCGGCAAGCTCTTGATGCTACGCTCTTAGCTGTCTATTGGAACTTCCAACACGCTCTTGGTGTGTTTTATCTTCCAACACTTTCTCTTTGCCTTGTCCTGGGACGTGCCAGCACGCTCTTGCCGCTACGCCCTTGGCTTCTCATGAAGCATGGCGCGCTATTTTTTCTTCTTTTTGTGACGCATTGAGTTAAAACACGCTCTTGATGCTACGTTTTTGGCTCCGGCTCTGACACTCTCTTGATGCTACGCGCTGAACCTCGTCTTGGAACAGTCCAAGATGCTGTTGACGCTACGGTCCACCACAATCGTGATGATACGCTCTTATAATTTTTCTTGGAACTTCCAACGCGCTCTTGTTGGTGCTACGCTCCGCCTCTTGACGCTGCGGTCTGGAGAAAGTCACGCTCTTCCTGCTACGCTCTTAGCTTTGTTCTGGAACACGCCAGGACGCTCTAGTTGCTACGCTCTTTTGTTCTTCGCTTGGTGCTACGCTCTGACCTCCAACACGTTCTGGATGCTAGACTCTTAGGTTTTTCTTGGTCCTTCAACACGCTCTCTTGGTATTGCTCGCTTAGGTTTCTCTTGGAACTTCCAACAGGCTCTTGGTGCTACGCTCTTGACTTCCTCTTGGAACTGCCAGCGTTCTCTTGATGCTAGCCTCCTGTGCTATGCTTTTAGCATCTTTTAGCCTTGGAACTTCCAGCAGGCTCTTGATGTTACGCGCTCAACTCCCGCATGTTCTCAATGCTACACGCTCAATACTTTTTCATTGAACTTCCTGAGCTTTCTCCTGGAACACTCCGGCGCTCTCTTCGTTTGGGTTTGGTAAGAAGATAAGAAGGTTCTACTACTTCAACTTAATGATTGATCCTTGCCTCAAGGATCTTCAACTGAGGTTGCAAAAGCGCGCCACACGATCTTGAATAATTACCTCTACGCTTTATATTTCGACATAACCTAGCCTTGGTGGTCAGGCCAAATCCCTATCTGCCCTCCGGCTCCTCTTCCTCTCTACATTCCTCTATTTATCTTCCCACATACAAAGAATACAGTACGCCTGCGCCCTTGCTCGTCATGCCTAGCCTGTCAACAGGCAATGTGTCGTCAGGCAATAATATACACACAATGCGTCGTCAGGGGGTAATGCGTTGTCAGGGGGCAATGCGTCGTCAGGGAATGTGTCGTCACAATGCGACGTCAGGGGGCAATGCGTCGTCAGGGAATGTGTCGTCACAATGCGTCGTCAGGGGGGAATGCGTCGTCAGGGTATTTTTTTGTCACAATGCGCCGTCAGGGGGTAATGCGTCGTCAGGGGGCAATGCGTCGTCAGGGAATGTGTCGTCAGAATGCGTCGTCAGGGGGTAATGTGTCGTCAGGGAATGTGTCGTCACAATGCGTCGTCAGGGGGTAATGCGTCGTCAGGGGGCAATGCGTCGTCAGGGAATGCGTCGTCACAATGCGTCGTCAGCGGGTAATGCGTCGTCAGGGGGCAATGCGTCGTCAGGGAATGCGTCGTCACAATGCGTCGTCAGGGGTAATGCGTCGTCAGGGAGTAATGCGTCGTCAGGGAATGTGTCGTCGCAACGCGTCGTCAGGGGGCAATGCGTCGTCAGGGAATGTGTCGTCAGAATGCGTCGTCAGGGGGTAATGCGTCGTCAGGGGGCAATGCGTCGTCAGGGAATGTGTCGTCACAATGCGTCGTCAGGGGTTAATGTGTCGTCAGGGGGCAATGCGTCGTCAGGGAATGTGTCGTCACAATGCGTCGTCAGGGGGTAATGCGTCGTCAGGGGGCAATGTGTCGTCAGGGAATGTGTCGTCAGAATGCGTCGTCAGGGGGGCCGGGGGCATCGCCAATGTGTCGTCACAATGCGTCGTCAGCGTCAGCGCGAAATGTCTTACCCAAGCTGCGGGTGCCCTGTATATATATATATATATATGCTTTGGGGTTATAGAAGATACAGGCCTGTAGGCCTTTCATGCCTTTTCCCAGGCTGAAGATAGGATGTTAAGCGAACTGAACTAAAAATACCATATATATATATACACAGTAAAAACTTGTTGAATCTTCTGGATCTTCTTTTGATGCCCGGTTTGCGAGGCTGGAGCTAGGAAGACCACCTGCTTTTGCTTTCCGGACACCTCTGCCAATCAGACGCCTCTGCAGCAGAATCTGAACAAACTAGGTGCCGGCTGCCAGCTGATGTCAGTCGATGATGCTGGGCTTGGGCATTTGAGTTTAGTGGTCATGCAGATGCACTTGGATATAGTTGGGCGCAAAATTGTATCTGTGCATCTTTTTAAACGCATTGCAATAACTTGTGGACCTTCCATGCCAATTTCAGTAGTGCAGATTTGGCCTTATGGGTTTGGTTAAAGTAGATGCGCCTAGGGCATCCTAGGGTGATGTACTGCTTGTGAGTTTCCATAATGTAAAGTGAGTGATTCGTGCAGATGATTGTACATGATTGTAGATGGACTCGTGAGAACTTACTGGACATGACCGAGACGGAGTTGTGAACCTGTAGCTTCAGCTCTCAATGCATTTGTGCCTCGTTTGCAGGTGCACGAATCGGAGTCCTGGCCATCATCATTTGCGTGCCCCGCTTGCAATCAAGATTGTCTTAATATGAATATGTCTTAAACATTCTTAAAATATCTCGATGAGAAGGGCCTAGTTGATCCTTATGATTGATAGACACTTTGGCATTTGTAACCAATTGCAAGTGTTGGACCGTTTTCACCACAGTTTTGGGATGATCCTGCACCATCCTGCACCCTTTTATCCTCTGATCACCAGTTGGGTTCGAGCCAAACTTGGAGCCAAACTGTGGCCAGATTGGCATCTTCATCATCGGTTGGCTCACAGACCGCAAAGATCCCAGCAATCCTGACAGTCCTGCCACTTGGCTCTAGCCACGAGTAGATGGCAAGAGTGTAGCTTGCACAAGTCGTGCGCTGGCCTTCGTCTTGCGTAAACAGACAGCTTCTAATTGAAGAAAGAGATTTGTAGGGCTACCAAGATGCTACCAGGCTCAAATCCAAAAGAAGTGATCACACTGCAGAGCCATTGAGCACCGGCGACGAGTATCGAGTACACCCGGTGTATTTGGTAAGGCTTGGCTCTATATGATTCTGGTGTCCGTCACCCTGGCAGTGGCCGCCATCCCGGAAGGAATTCCTCTGTGCGTCACCATCTCTCTGCCATTTGGCTGGACGAATAGTGACAGTTTTGGGATAGAGTCGGATAGAGCATAGCCCGGGGTCTTTGGGAACTGGATGCAGCACTTGATTTGGATGTCAAAAATGTTTGATAATGTTTGGCACAATGCACCACGTTTTCTCTCTTTTCATGTTGTGATGCGGTCGCAGTGACGCAAAGTCGCATGAACGTACGGAAATGTGAGGACCTGTCAGGGCAATGCAATGGATTACACAAACGTAAACATCATTCTGTTCAGTATAATATTTTTTGCTTGCAAAATCTTGCACATGCATATAACGGTCAGAAATGGACGATATATGACCATATCATGTTCATAAAAAGGCTCTCATTTGTACATCCCCGAGGGCGACAACTCGAAAACCTTCCCAAAAATTTGTGTCAGACGCTTGAACAGCCAAAGGTCCATTGGATGCAGCGATGCTTATTCGCAATAATTACGAACAGCAGTTCTGGCCGTTTCACACCAGAATAAAGTGAAGGATTTGCCTTCATAGGCCACCAGGGTAGACTGGTAGACGATGCTCTTACACCACTTTAAGACTTTAAGCAATGGGCCTCTGAAATGCCCCCATTAAAAAGACCACATGGGGATGGAACTAGATTTTTCAAGCCAAGTCACAGCAGGTCTTGCAGGAATGTCAGTTGTTGGGTTTGCATCTGGTTCTATAATGGGAAGGCGCGCATGTATGCAGAGTTATGCAGTATATGCAGAATACGATATGTATGAAAGGAACAAAAAATGAGCAGTCCTACAGGCAGTCACAATGATCGGTTGATTTCCGATATTTCCGTGGCAACCACGCAGTTGCACGCACTTACCTTAACAATCTCGAAGTTGCGCGTCAATCCAAGGACATGGTTGGGCCCTCAGAATCCAAGCCAGTGGAGGTATTTCTCTAGCAGCAGGATGGAATAACCTTATATAAACAATTATAAAATATTATAAACATATTTGATCATTCTGTAACATTCTGAGCCCTTGTAAAGGCATGCGCCATGTCGGCATTGCTTTGATTTGTCTGATCCCTCTGGCGGAGAAGCCTTAAAGATTCATAGCTCTTCATTGATAGAAAGACTTGATGTACATCCGATTTGTTGGAACCCCCTTCCACAACCGTCACAACCGTTATGATTCACAAAGGTCCAGCAAGAAGTGCTGGTACGAAAGATTGCTGCTGTGGAGACTCTGGGCTCTGCCTCCGTGATTTGCAGTGACAAGACGGGCACTTTGACGGAAGGCCCTGACAATTGAGGGCCAAGTTTGCAGCATCCAAGGTGGTAGGAAGGGCCTCACAGACTCGGGGCCTGGTTGTGGCATTTTTGATCATTTTTTGCAAATTCAATTGCATCGTGCAGGAAAGATGACCATGGTAGGCATGTATGCTGCGGGCAACACCTACGAAGTCACCGGCAAGGGCTTTGACCCAGAGGCACCCTGAAGCCCAGGAAGCGTTCGAGGGAACTGTTCTCCGGAATTCAATGGCTTTATTGCGTTTGTTATTTTTGTTTCTATCATCACATTCACAAGCACATTCACAATCACATTCACAATCACATTGACAATCACATTCATAATCATAATAGAGTGGTAGAACTACTCCTAAAAATACTAATCATCACATTTTTTCATCATTATTATTTTATTAAATTATTACCATTTTCATTATCATCATCATTTGTTAGGTGTTATTACTACTATTATTATTAGCAACTAGTATCATTATTATCATTACTGCTACTATTACTAGTATTGTTATGCATGTTCTCTTTTTCTTCAAGGCCTTTCTGGGTGGGTCATATCCTAGAATCAATTCATTTGAGAGCGCCGGCGCATGCGAGTGGAAGTCCATAGCCCACATTTCCAGGTCGGCGGAGTGATGCGTCAGGACGGCACTGATGGTAGGGGTGATATGGGTCACTCAGCTGCAGGTAGCCGGCTGACATCGCCTGACCGCTGAATAGTTGTTGACTGATGTTGACTGACGTTAAGGACGGCTAGTTTGTCACACAAGGTATTATTCTCTCCTTGCAGCTGCCTTGGCACCAGACCAAGCCTTTCCAAACCTGACCGTTCAAAATTTAGAAAGATCGAGAAAGGCAACCCTCTGACAGCTCCAAGGCGTGAAGAGCAATTTGCTGACAGCATCATGGCTAGCATTTCTCAGGTGGCCCGCAGAACCTCAAATTCCACAGCAAGTGCCCGTGGAAATGGCCCAGATTGGGGACAACATATTCAGTTACCTTGATGTCACGGAAGTAAGTGTTCCCCACAAGCTCAGCTGAAGACGCTGGAGAAGAAAGAGACATGTTTCTACGTTCATATACGTTCGTAATTTATCAGGACAGGCCGTCAGATACTCTTGGGCCATCGGTAGGGTCAGAAGCCAAGGCCATTCTTTGCTGCAACACTACTCTGAGCAAAGAGAAGGATGAGGCACGCGGGTACTGTGGAAATTGGCCGTGAGCTTGGTGCAGGTCCCACCAAACCCAAGTCATACCTGTTGCACGTTGCTACAGAAGGAGATGTACCAGTATATACAGTAGCCAGAATGGCAATGAGTCAGAGTTACATAGAAGTCCTGCTGCTCGATCCGTTCATTTCACATCCATTTTCAACCTGCTTTGGTGCCAGGCCGGCGTAATGAAGTGGACGCCCAAGGCACTGGGTTGGCAAGGGAGTCTCTCTTGTTTTCCTCCTCCTTGATTGATCACAGTTCTGTCATGTTCTGTCACAGATCACTTTAATGCGGAAGTTGTGTTAGAGTTTCTCACAAGTCAAACGGGCTTGCTCCAGGGCAATTCTTCCGAAGCTCCTATCGTAGTGGCAGCTCGCAAAGTCGGTCTCTCTGAGAACATCGCTGGCAGCTCGAAGTGAGAGGGGATTGGTGCCGAACTAGTGCAGACTGATTCATTAAGCAAAATAACTGCCCCGACATTGTTTCTGGTGCGAATCAGTGTCATCATTTGGGTCTTAGCAAATTTATGAGCGTTGGGCTGACATCTCCACCCCAAAATCAAAGTGCATTTAGTGCACCACCAATCCACTCTTCCCATTAGAGTTTGTTTGTGGGGCTGAGCTCGATCCTGCAAGCACCTTTACCTAGTCCAAGTTAACAGTTGTGGTATGCACTCATGGTGATCAGTTCTAGTTGGGTGTTTGTGAGGCTCACCCTTGGCTTTCCGAGGCGACTACCCTCGCGTGCTCGAAGTTCCATTTTCCTCCTCTCGCAAGATGATGTTGCTTGTTTGGTTCAGTTTAGTTCAGTTTGGTTGCCACAAAGCAACCGGCAGGCGGCACATCTCTGCATTGCGCCCTGTGAGGCTTACCGTGTCAAAGGTTGGTGGAACACACCTCTGTGATGGTGGCATGCCTTTGCCTGCAGGCTGGACAAGTCGGCTTCGTGCCCCGAACTGACTAAGACTGGTGCATCTCAAGTCCTATAATCCGTTGAGAAGAGATCAGGATGATCATGGCCTACTACAAGCCACTATCTTAAGTCGTGCGGCTCAAGGATTACTAGAACGTCTCAAGTCGATCCTATTCGATTCATACTCATCCAAAGAACTTCGTTGAGGTGATAAGTATTTGCAACTGCAAGCATTTTGGTGGGTTTTGCTGTGCTGAAAGCGGTTGCAGGCACAAACTACTTGGCTGTTTGCAAGGGAGCAGGGTCCCCAGAGCATCTGTTGAACGGAGCATAGAGACTGCACAATGAGAAGCAAATCAACATCCATCAGCAGCACCGACTCAGCACGTCTCAGCGTTTGCCCACCCTCTTTGATCTCTTTGAGCCTCAGAGTCGCCCAGGCTCCTAACTACATCATTGACTTGTGCTGTGAGCAGCTGAAGGCTGATGGAAGCGTCTCAGCTGCAATGCCCAAGGGCTAAAAGTCTGACCTTTTCACAGCATGAAGACCATGAAGATTCATCATCCGCATCCATCCGCTCTATCCTGATATATCCTGATATATCCTGATATATCCTGATATTGTAGTCGGCACTAAAAAGAACTTCTGCTTGTGCCCGTGGCACCTACACAGTGGCGGGCGACACCTCCAGGAAAAGGGCGCACAGCGATGTTTGTGTGACACTGTGATGCGATGTGACCTCCAACCCTCAACAGGATGAAGCTGCTTGCAGCTGCCGTGGGCACCACCGAGTGCCGTCGCACCACCGAGTGCCACCAATGGTCAAGAAACTTTTAGGGAAAATCAAGTTCAGAGGAACTAAATGTAGTTGTGCCGATTTTGTTTTTACATATATAGGAATGCATAGGGCCTCTCTAATTCTCTTTCTGTTTGGGCGGACAAAATTTAGTTGGTGTGATGTGCTTCTGCAGGTGTCGACAAGTTGACCGATGACGACAAGGCCAACATCTTGAAGATTGTTGATGGCCCGCTGACAGCACAAGAGATATACGACTGAACGATCTTGCTTATCCTTGCTTACATTTTGGATATTGACATGTAGTGAGTCTCTGTCTGTAGAATAAGAGCCCTCGGCAAGATCCCCTGGCAAGCTCGCAAGCAGCAATCAACCTTGAACCGCAGTTTGATTTGAAGCCGTCTTGACATGTGCATTTTGTGGCGGAGACGTTTTGTTTACAAAACTCCGACCGCTTGGGTGCCTGGCAACACTCAGGCTACTCAGCACGAGCTCTGCGTGTGCTGGCCATTGCTGCAAGGCCAATGTCAAAGCTTCCGTTCCTTGGCACTGAAACTCTTGGAACAGTAGAGAAACTGAGCAGAGCCGTTCCGTTTCACAAAGTGTTCACTGTTGTATGGGGGCTGCAGTCAAAGAACAGTTTGAGGTATGATGAAAGCAATGATGACGCCTTGGGCTCAGCGTCCAGTGCTTGTGCCTGTGCAGTTTCGCTAGTTTTCCGTCACCGCCCGGTTGTGGATATTGCCTCGCACCGCCAAGATCACCACGGACCAGAAGTTCGAGGCCTGCCGCAAGCAGCTGCGTTTGATCGGCCTTGTGGCATCCATCGATCCTGAACGTGCCTTGCCCAACATCTATAAATGATATCTATCGTCGCCGCATCTCGCAACGGACGGGATGGTACAATGAAAGACGGCGATGCCTAGAGAGAGAGAGAGAGAGAGAGAGAGAGTGACGATTGACGATTGACGGAGGCGACCCAGGCGACGCAGGGGGTTTCAATCTAACGCGTCGATCCATGTCGATCCTAGGTGACGGTGTGCCCGACTCTGTGGTTGCTGCACGTGGTGCTGGCATCCGTGTGGTGATGATCACGGGTGACTATTTGTTGACGGCCATCGCCATTGCCAAAAATGTGACCCGATCCTGGCCATGGAGGGATGGGCCCTCGCACACTTTCCAACCACTGCGGCTATTCCCAAAGGCTTTTGATGCGCAGTCATTCTTGCCTGCTTCACCTACAACTGCCCAACAGCATTGGAGGCTGCACACATCTCCACACAACGATGTACAGTTAATTGCTGTTAGGTACAACTTAGAACATCTTATGATTATATATATATATATGTATATATACTTATGACAACATAATCATGGCATGAAATGATATGATATGATATGATATGCAATGATATGCAATGATATGTAATGATATGGTACACTTAATTGCGTATGATTTTTTTCTTATAGAGTTACTGTACTATATGATACTATATGTTATTATTTTATGTTATTAATAACTGTGTTATTATATTTTTCATTATTCATAGATGCTTCATTGTGATGCATTCATACACAGTGCAAGGAGGTGCATGGCGCCGCATAGACATGTAACAGATGTAACATATTAATACATATCATAAAATCATATCCATTGCGTGCACACACACACATGCATATATATATATATGTATGTATGTAATGTAATGTAATGTAATGTAATGTAATGTTATGTATGTAATGTAATGTAATGTAATGTAATGTAATGTAATGTATGGTAATGTAATGTAATGTAATGTAATGTAATGTAATGTATGTATGTATGTAGTAATGTAATGTAATGTATGTATGTATGTATGTATGTAGTAATGTAATGTAATGTAATGTTATGTTATGGTATGGTATGGTATGGTATGGTATGGTATGTATGTATGTATGTATGTATACATTGCTACACAATGATATGCATACATGAATACCCTTCTGGCTTTTGCAGACTCAGTTTCGTCAGTCGGCTTGAGGTGAACATCCTGCAGCCATCAGATGATGTGGAGACCTCTGCCATGGACTGCGCCAATCTGAGACCTGATGGCGAATATCTGCGGCCCGAGGAGCCACTGAAGTAATCACATGTAATCACCACATTGGAACAGAAGAGTGATGGCAGAGCAGAAGCGAGTCGCACGGACTTTGCTCTGGAATTTTGCAAGCAGGAGATGGATTTGATCACTCGATCTACCCGCGTTTTTGCGCGTGCCAAGCCAGAGGACATGGTGACCTTGACCAGCCACAGGGTTCTGTGGGAACATATCTCGAAAGGTAGCGGTGAGCTACCTGAGTTCCCCCTTGCGTAGCAAGTATTAGGGGGCGAGCGGTGCAAGTGCAAGCGTTTGGGCCGGTTATGTCTCGGTCCGCCTTAACCGAAGTCAAGACCCGCACTGAAACTCGACAATGTCAGATTGCTCAAGAACTTTGTTTCGTTCACCCTAACAACCGCGATGAACAATGTCGTAGCAAGAACGTTGCGACGGACTGCGTTGCAGTAGTCTCAAAAATCGTACATGATATACCAGTAGTACCGCACAAGGCGGTGGCGGAAGTTTCAAAAATAGGAAACCTATAGGAGAGATTGGTTGTTGTGAATCAGAGATGGCAGAGCGAAGCCACTGCTGGACTGAAAGGCGATTGATCTCTCTCACTCTTGTCTACCTGATCTATCTATCTATCTATATCTAATCTATCTATCTATCGATCTATCTATCTATCCATCTATCCTATCTATCATATCTATCATATCTATCCTATCTATCATATCTATCCTATCTATCCTATCTATCCTATCTATCATATCTATCTATCTATCATATCTATCATATCTATCATATCTATCATATCTATCTATCTATCTATCTATCTATCTATCTATCTATCATATCTATCTATCTATCATATCTATCATATCTATCATATCTATCATATCTATCATATCTATCATATCTATCATATCTATCATATCTATCATATCTATCATATCTATCATATCTATCATCTATCTATCATCTATCTATCATATCTATCTATCTATATCTATCATCTATCTATCTATCTATCTCGTATCTATCATATCTATCATATCTATCTATCTATCTATCTATCTATCTATCTATCTATCTATCTATCATATCTATCTATCTATCTATCTATCTATCTATCTATCTATCTATCTATCTATCTATCTATCTTATCTATCTATCTGTCTAGCTGTCTACCTGTCTATCTTTTGTGCAGTGTCATTCAGTGTAATGTAGTGTAGTGTAATGTAGTGTAATGTAGTGGAGTGTAGTTGTAGTTGTAGGTGGTAGTGGAGTGTAGTGTAGAGTAGTGTCGTGAAGTGTAGCGGCAGGTAGTGTAGTGTAGTGTAATGTAGTGTAGTGTAGTGGAGTCTAGTGTAGTGTAATGTAGTGTAGTGTAAGGTAGTGTAGTGTAGTGGAGTGTAGTTGTGTAGTTTTAGTTGTAGTGTTGTGGAGTGTAGTGTAGTGTAAGGTAGTGTAGTGTAGTTTAATGTTGTGTAGTGTAGTGGAGTGTAGTTGGGTAGGTGTAGTTGTATTTGTAGTGTAGTGGAGTGTAGTGTAGTGTAATGTAGTGAAGTGTAGTGTAGAGAGTGTAGTGCAGTGTAATTTAGTGTAGTGGACTGTAGTGGACTGTAGTTGTGTAGTTGTAGTTGTAACCTGTAGTGTTGTGAAGTGTAGTGTAATGTAATGTAGTGTAATGTAGTGTAGTGCAGCAAAGTGTAGTGTCATGTAGTGTAGTCGAGTTAAGCGAAGCAACATCTGAACCGCCAAAAGTGGTCCGAAACCCTAGTGTTTTTAACATGTTAACTTCCAAATCTGCTTCGCGCCACAACGGCGTGCACTTTTTCGAAACTCGACATCTCAGCCTCCAAAAGTGGTCCGAACATGGTGTGGTTTGTACATTTTGACTTCGAAATGTGCTTCGCGCCACAGCGGCGTGCACTTTTTCGAAACTCGACCTCTGAGCCTCCAAAAGTGGTTCGAACCCCTGGTGTTTTGCACATTTTGACTTCGAAATGTGCTTCGTGCCACAACGGCGTGCACTTTTTCGAAACTCGACCTCTGAGCCTCCAAAAGTGGTCCGAACCCCTAGTGTTTTTAACATTTTGACTTGGAAATGTGCTTCGCGCCACAACGGCGTGCATTTTTTCGACATCTTAAGTGCCAAAAGTGGTCCGCACTTGGTGTGTTTTCTACATTTTGACTTGGACATGTGCTTCGCGCCACAACGGTGTGCACTTTTTCGACATCGCAACTTCCAAAAGTGGTCAGACCCTGGTGTGTTTTGTACATTTTGACTTGGGGATGTGCTTCGCGCCACAACGGCGTGCACTTTTTCGACATCTGAAGCGCCAAAAGTGGTCCGATCCTCTGGTGTTTTGTGCATTTTGACTTGGAAATGTGCTTCGCGCCACAACGGCGTGCAATTTTTCATGTCTCATCTCCCCATATGTCTCCGCACCCGCCGCTTTAGCGAGCCTACTTTTCGACCCTCCGGAACCACAAATCATTGGAAAAACACAGTGAATCGCGACTTTCCTACCTTTTCGCGCATCTGCATCTTCTTTCTTCTGACTCTTTCTCTTCTGAACTTTCTCTTCTCTCTGCCTCTGCCCTGCTCTGCTTTTCATCTGTCCATATTGTCGGAAGTTTAGCTTCTCAACTTCCTTCGACAATATAGTTAAAGATATGTATCTATATATATATATACACATAATAATTCCATGATATATATATATATACTAAATAATCTCAATATACATATAGATTCGTATATATATATATATATGCATACTCTACCCAGCAATTGTGGGATATTGCGCTTTGGCTAGTGGTTGCCGAAGCATAATCGCTGCCCCTTGCTCAGCATATCTAGATCATTTGGTGGATTTTCCGCAAGGGTTCCTCCAAGATATTCTCTTCAACCAAAAGACTTCGCTAATGACATTTCAATATGTTTCATATATATGTATATTCGTATATATATAGTTATCATGTATAATAACTAGAACACCTATAATGACTAGAATTACTATAATAACTAGAACATAATTATCACAACTATATTGAACCCCCCCCTTCGATTCCCCCAAGGTCCGCCTCTAAAGCCGCGTTTGCAAGAAGTCACCCCGCGGGCCCACTTTTTGCACCAAGATTCCAGCACCAGGATAGCCCTAAGTCAGTTGCTTTGGGTACATGCTGGGGTCAAAACACCACGTTTGTGAATCCCACACTGTTCTACACATGTACACACCAGAATCAACCCCATCCGCGTTGCAACAATGTGCTGCCCCCAGTTACACGTTGCCTCGCAAACCCCATAACCTGATATTTATACATATATCTAACTATATGTATGTATTATATATATATATATATGTCTGTGTGTCTGTGTGTGTGTGTCGTGTCCCCCCTCCCTGAAACCTACCTTTTTGGTACCCGCCCTCGAGTCCAAGCCCAGAAGACTTTTTTCGATATCCGCCCCAACTCCACCCACGTCCGTCCGCAGCGGATATGCCTCGTTCCCTTGCTCTCTTCTCCTGTTCCAACCCACGCCTACCTTTCGATCTTTCACCCTTCCCTCTCAAGTGGGGACCATACCAACGTGGTGCTTGTGAGAGGAGTTAGCAACAAAAACCACTGGAGGTTGCCAACCATGGCGTCTGAGATGCTGATGTCAATAAACTGACTGCTATTTGATTCTTATGCTGCATGCCGGAAGTAGGACAAGCTGGAAATTGTGAAGAGCATTCAGCGTCAAGGCGTGGTGGGCGTGGAGCTTTGGAATCCTTTCCCCTCAGTAAGAACAGCTTATCCAGAAACCCTGGTTGAGTGGTGGGTTTGTTCCTTTTGAGAGAGAGAGAGAGAGAAGCAGACTATGATTCAAACAAATGTAACATAGCTAGGCATCAGTGAACACACACACACACATGTAGAAACATAACTTAAACCGTCTATAAAATTTGTCCTCATATTTATATTGATATTTCTACTGATATTGAGGTTGATATTGACTGTACACATATTATGTACACTTATGTGCATATAGGATCATATAGACATATTGCACGTACGGTTTAGAGTCTCACTCTCCCCATATTGGCGCCAGGTCAAGTTGCGGCAATGACTGGCGATGGAGCTACTTGGATGGCCTTTTAAACAGCTTTGAACGGTCTGTGACGGGTTTGACAAAAGGTCACTTTAGAAGGTGTTGGTGGGTGAGAATTGGCTGCGGCTACTGCAGTGTGAGGTGAATGATGCCCCAGCGTTGAACCAAGCGGATATTGGCGTGGCCATGGGCATCCAGGGTACTGAGGTGGCGAAAGGTGCCTCCGATATGTGTCTTGGCGTTGGCGTTGAGTGGGGCGGTTTGGTCTCGAGTGGCGCGGTATGGCGCGGGGATGCATGTGACCACCATGGGTTTTGCATCTCCTTTGTTGGGGAGATAGCTGGATGCTCAAACATTCAGGACATTCAGGGACGTGCATCTCGAACATCCAACCTTACAACATCCATCAATGATGCCACGACAATGTATAAGACAATGTCATGACCTGCCACCAAACATCTACAGCATCACACAGACTGAAGGAAGAGAAGTTGACAGGAGGCAAACCCTCTGGCCTAGAGAGACAGAGAAAACGCAATCCACTAAAACATGACATGATGCGACAGAAGCTTTGAAAGGGCATAGCATGGCATAGCCATTGTGAGCATAGATAATCATAGATACATAGTCCCTCGGAAATAGAATACCGTATGCTGTATCTCATTATTTTATGTAACCATTTAACAGCGGATAGATGGCTCACTCCAGCTTGCACCTCAAGTGTAGGCGTTTGGATTACAGACGCACGCCACATTTGTTTGCGCATGTATGTGCATGCGCAACACATGTTTGTTATCGCGCTGCAAGCCGCAATGGGCCTTCTGATTACGACCTGGCCACATGGCAGCGCTAAGGGTTCTCACTGATGACAACTTCTGCTCCATTGTCAATGCAGTGGCTTGGAATTCGAGTTGCGCACAACTGTACTTTGACCGGGTTTTTGGGGCTGCAATCATTTCCACCTCATAGACCTGTGAAGGCAACAACAGCTGCACATGCCTCATCCTAATCTATCAGCTTGCCATTTGACCGAAGTATTCAAGCATGCTGACTTTAATCCTTTGACTTCAGTGTCTAATTGCATTGACTCCACATTATATATTATATACTCTGTCCTCAATGTTGGGACTGACAACTGACAGCCAGCCTCTACAAGACGAATCCACCATATGCAGATGAACGAAGGATGTACACGAAGTCCAGCATTTTTACATTTATGCAGGTGGAAAAGGGACGTTCTATCTATGCGGGCATCCAGAAGTTTGTGGCTTTCATCATGTCCGTGCACATTGCTGAGGCAAGACTGAAGAAACGAGCATCAAACTAGCTAAGATGCCAAGTTCTCGATGAACCGAAGACACTGCGATAGTGAGCTTTTGTCGTTATTGGTTCTGCTGTTGTTTGGGTTCTCTGTGGCTATGTGCTTATTATATTTATTACTATTTATTATGCCCATCGTTTTGCGGATTTGGGGCACTTTCTTTTGTTGCCGCGGTGTCTTGCAGGTCATGCAGATCTTTATTTGTATCGTCGTGGGCATCCCAGTGGCTTGGCAGACACTTGTGACCTGTTCGGCATCGTGCGGCTAAGCTTTAGATTTGTCTCACCGTGCAGATGTGAAGTTTGTGAAGTGGCGTGTGAAGTGGCGGCCTGACCTGAGCACGTGGCCGAGATTGCCCAGAGACAACAAAGATGCAATAAAAATGAAACCAGAAGTAGTTCAGTACAGAAAAGAGTTGCCGACAAAAAGGTCGTCACAAGGAAACCAGCAAAGAGGACTAAGATCAATAAATATATTATAGAAAACGAATGAAAACGACTGGAAGAGAACCAAGTCTCAGATATTTGGCATCGAACGAGTGGCGTGTACCAGCAGACAGATGTTCATTATCTTTACCGGACCTGGGCCGGATCGTCAGGTGATGCGAACACCCTTGCAGATCCTTTTCCTGATCCTTGTGACCGATCTGCCACCTTCCATTGCTTTGGGCATGGAGCCAGGCCCTACCATCCGCAGATCTCACAGATTTTGCCAAACCATAAGCATGCATTACAAATTGCGGTATCATAATTTGGCTATGTCGGGCCGAAGTGTTGTTGGTGACCCTCGCACCAGAAAAGTCTTCAGATTCCTTTCTTGTTGCAGGAGAGGCCAACATTTTGAAGATGCGCCCACGACCCAAGGACTGCACTGGGAAAGGGCGGGGAGTCAGTGTGGTAGAGGAGAGGCTTAGAGAATGGGCATGTTTGCAGTCAACTCTGCTGCCGGATGACTCGACATTCGCCGCCACCGATCATGTTTTCATAATGTTCTCCAGTGCTATGATTGCAGGCACAACCGGCTTTCTAGATGCATAGCTTCACTCAGGGATGCGTGATTTGTATTGATTTGTGACAAAGAGTTGCCCTGCTATATGATTGTACGGGCCCTTGTTCCGACATTGCAGGAAGAGCCCATTGTGTTGATGTGGTCCCCTGGATGCAATTGTCAGTGTTGAATGGCTGTCCATGATGAGCACCATGTGCATTAAAGTCGGCAGGGTCTCATCACATTCCTATGGTCTTGGCTTCCAGCATAGCTTGTAGCAGCAACTAGAAGTATCCAAGAGTGGGCATAAAAGATAGTGAAAGCTTGCTCTTGCATTTGTTACGATTTTTGTGAGCATTGCGAGAGAACAACTACTCATATGATAACTCATATGGTGCTCAAATGCCATGTTGGTGCGAGTCAGCATGTCCTGATATGTCCTGGTCATACTGAGGATGTGGCTGGCAATGATCATGAACGGCGCCGTGCTCACGGTTCCTAGATTCCAATAGCAGCCAACAGCAAAAGCCAAGCGGAAAGGATCGGATGCGCATCGCATCAATAGCAAACATAGCAACAAAATTGACAATTCAACAAGTTTTATTCAGAATTGGGTGGCACCTCGGGTGACACCTCGTAGCATTGATTCAGACTACAGATATCCACAGATGTACTCTGAGATTGTCGTCGTGGCCGTCTACCTGATCTCCCTGGTCAATTATTGCGACGGCGAAATCCTTCAGGAAAACATCTATTTGCTCGACAGCTTGGAGCCTAGAACAGGGTCAAGAACTTGCAAATTATGCGACAATACAAACAAAATACTACGCTTAAACTGAGAGGTTCCTGTTTCCAGTGGCTGAAGCTTTGAGGTTATACTGAGAGGCACTGGTCAGCTGAGCCTACAATTAATGCGCTAAGGTAAGGTCACGGAAAATCATAATGGTTTACAGTTTACAAAGTCCTGCGATCCAACATGATCACAGACTTGCTTGCACGGTCGGGGTGCCCTTTGGAGAATGATTCTAGCTCCAACCTGCTGGCAGGCTCAGCAAAGCGCAGACCGTCGCTTTCATCTCCCTGGTGTGGTTTGGATCCCAGTGTTCCGATGGCGCTTTCCAAACGTTTCAAAGCATGTCGTGATCCTGAAGCTTTCTGCAGACATGGTCCCAGATGGTCTCAGAGGCTGATCTGGCTGCAGGTCGGAAAATATCCGTGCCTACATCTCACGATCCTTCACAAACCCAATGTGGCATGATATTCTTGGGAACAAGCACATGCAGAAGGCTATCGTGATGGCGCAGATCTGCCTTTATGTTGTCCCTTGGCAGAGCTAAAGGCTAATCATCATCCAGGAGTCAAGCTTGTTGTATCAAACAATGATTGCAATACTATGGTCTCTCAAAGCTTGCTACTCTCCAGCCGAGTGGTCACATGCAAAGCTGACCAAGTGAGGACTCAAGGTTACACATGGTTCGGCCCGAGGTTAGGCCAAGGTTAGGCCAAGGTTGGGCTCTGTTTTGGTGTCCAGTTGCCAGTGCCCAGGCTGTCCTGACCCCCTACCTGTCGGACCGAATCTTGGGCCTTCGCGGCTTGGAGATTGGAGCCTTGGACATCTTGGAATATCGGATATATCGACTTGTTTCCTGAGCTTTTCCTGAGTGAATGATGTTAATTTGCCACAACTGGGCCACAAGGAACAGCTCGAAAAAACTAGTTCCATGTGATCCCAGATGATTCCACAATATTCCTTTGCATGGCATAGCATTGCCAACAATCAATGCAACCAGGTGATCGGCCTCCAAAAAAAAAATCAGATATGACTACCGTATCTATGAATCTATGTCATCATCAGTCTATATCTGTTTACTGTGCAATCAACATAATTTCATCCCAGTGCATTGTGAACATGACATGTTGGACACAGTATGGAAAGGTGGCGAGTATGAAATTGTCATGGCCAAATATGGCTAGCCTGGAACGGAGCCAATGGCCAAGTCACACAGTGCTGATGCCCATGATGCCATGATAGATCAGAGTCCCAGCTTCAGACGCCATGGTAGATTCGGCAGTTCGGCAGTCACCTTATGATTCTTTTGCGACCCTGCCAGCTGTGGTCACAGTGGTCGCACATACGGTTCTATTCCATGCTCTGGAGAGCTAAGGATTCTTCGGTTGGGTTTTGGCACTGGCAGGCCCCGTGGGCTGCTTCATCCTGAGTGAGTCCTGCAAGCTCATCAGCCACTGGGATCCACTTGGCTTTCACTCCTTGGGATTCGGATTCGTGTCGAAGTCAGCATAGTCAGCTAGACTGGGCAGGTTCCGAAAATTTCTGAAATCCTTGGACCAACTTTCGCATCTTTGACCCATTCGTGTGTTGCACCATGTCGAACCGCAGCCTCCTTTACGGAGCCAGTGCTGGCTTTCGCAACTAAGATAACTGAGGTGCGTACCAGGCCAAGAAGCATCAGGACCTGTCGCAGCTTTGTCACAAAAGCGACAAATTTCCCTGGACAATAAGGGATGATGAGGAATTCCTGGCTCGATTGAAGATCTCCAAGAATCTCCAAGACTTTGCGGTGGAAACTTGGGCCACCCCTGGCAGGACAGCCTCTCCATGGCAGACACGCCGCCTGCAGCTGCTCCCATCAAGGCAACGCAACTGGTTGGTTCAGTCACACAGCAGGCTACGAGAATCTATGAGGCTTTCAAAATTTGGGAAGGAAAGCCCGGAGAATGTAAGAAGATGTAAGAGGCATCGTCATGTGAGGTCAGGTGCGTTTTGTTAAAGGCTTTCTAGTACCTGTGGGGCTGGGCCAGGATGCAGGTTCGTGGAAACTATTCCAGACCCTGAACATGCCCAGTTTATCTTTGGAGTAATGCCTCAGTTTTGCAGAAAGATGACCAAAAAGGGCAACTCGGGCAAGCTCCAAACTGGGGGGCATGGTCCTTGCCGAGGTGGTGGGATCGAAGCTCCTCGGCAAAAACATAACCTGACATAACACATGATTCCGCATGATGTTGATTGATGTTGTACATCACAAAGTGTCAGAAAGAGGTAGAGAGAGAGAGAGAGCAACTCGTTTGCGTGTGTCTCAGCTTTGGGTGTCCAATGATTAGAATGATTAGACTAGCAGTTTCAAGATTGAGCCACCAGGAATGCGAAAATGGCCGCACCCGTTCCTGTGCAGCCTGTGAAGAAGGGATGGTTCCAGTGCTGTATGGGAGTGTCCTGGCTTACTTAATTGGACAGTTTCTCGTCCTGGCATCGCTTAGGAAGCTTTCGTTTTTCTTTCCCATGTTGAGAGTATTTGAGCACCACTCCAACTTACAGTGCTACCATGTGCTACCACTCATGGCTGCAACGCTTGAACATGGAGATAGGATCCTGAATCAATGAGCACTTAGGTGGCACCCACTTGGCTTGCAAATGTACCCATATAATCCCATATACATATATCATCATATATCATATATGCTCAAATATACTCACTCACTCTCTCTCTCTCTCTATATATATATATATATGTATATTGTTATTTTATGTAGAATACTTGCGCAATCTTGCGCACATACACGATATTTATGTTTATATACTTTTTTCATCTTTTTTTCCCCTATATATATATATATAGAGATTCATAATAGATCTATTATTTCTCGGGGACAGGTCGTGACAAGTCCCACTCTGCAGATGGACATGTTGGCACTTAGGGGATCTTTTGAGCCTCTCTGAGCCTCTCTCCGCGACACGTCCAGCCTCCCACTGAGTGGTTCAGGCAGGCGACAGCAGGAAATCTGTAGTGGGATGTCATCTCGTTTCTCTATGTGAATGATAGCATATGATAGCGGATCTAGATGGATCTAGTAGGGTACACAAACAAAACAGGCACGGCTTCTGTCGGAACTCACTTCTCAAGTTTCTCAAGATATGGCATCTACGATGATCCACGATGATCTACGATGTAGGTGTGCCAAATAAAGACTTCATGGCAGCAATTCCTCACGGCCTTCGAAGCCAACCGTTGACCTGACAGGGACGAAGGGCCCACTGCTGGTCCATTCAAGTCATTGACAATTCCACCAGACCCTGGCGGGAGGACCCCGTAGGAGTATAAAATAAATTAAAACAATATACATAAAAGATCATAAAAGGATATAAAAGTTTTAAAGTTTTAAAGGATATAAAAAGCATCAAAAAGCTTCTAAAACTCTGAAGCATGAAGCAGTGTTCTGTTGAGCAACCGAATGCAAGCTGCTCGCGCCAGGCTGGCGAATACCACAGATGGTCGCTTGAGCCACTTTTGGCGCCGGATTCGTCGCTTAGTGACGAATACGGCGATGTGTTGCGAAGCCTCAAACCGCGCAGACACTGCTGCGGGGAGCTCGGCGAGTCGCAGGTCTGTAACAGAGCGCCAAAATGATAAGAACTTGAAAAGATGTGCCAAGCTCACAAGTTCCCTTTTCAACCATGTTCAACCAACAGCTTCCTCAGTAGCTTCATACATGTTCACACCGGTGGCGATTTCATGGATTGTCCAATGGATTACCCTGATTCATGAAAACTTGATGATATTTAGTGGTGTAGAATTAAGTGGCCGCTGTTGCTCAGAGGTTGCACCTGTTTTTGGCGCAGCAACTGTTTTTATTCTCACGAGTCACTCTCTTACACCAATCAAGGCCTGAAGAACACGGACCTGAAAAAAAACATTATATTTCAGTATACGTAACTACCTTGTGCATCCAAACCCTCAAATACCTCGGTGAGGGTAAACTCTGGTTATGCCCCTATTCAGTGGGTAAAACTGCATTTTCCTGGTAAACACCTAGGTTTAGGGTAAAACCCAACTGTTTCCTTTTTAGTGGTGGTGCCAAAACATGTCTCGTTTATCGGCTAGAACAACATCCAAAGAGCTTGGGATTTGAAGGGGTTTATAGCGGTCTAGTTGCATTTCTTTCGGCCACCGACCACCGGCAACCGGCCACCGTCCACCGAAAACCGGCCACCGACCACCGGCCAGGCACCGGCCACCGACCACTGCCCACCAGCCACCGGCCACCGAGCATTGACTAAGCAGCGGCCACCAGCCACCAGATGCAATATCAATCCACATGTTGCCACAGTGATAACTGCTGCAAAACGATGTCCGTTGTGCTTGGAATCAAAGGTTTCAATACGCACTTCACTGCGGAAAACGGGGAATTTTTGTCACATGTTTTCCGCGAAAGCTCGCGAAAGTGAATTTCAGACACATGGATGCCGCGAAAGAAAAACCCTGCATCGCGAAAGGTTCGCGAAAGAGATGGTGAAAGGGAAGGCAGAATAGAACACAAAGCATCGGGGTTTCGGCAACCGCTCAGTTGAAGGCTTTCCGCAACACCAACCCGTGATTTACCCGTGATTTACTCGTCCAAATATGTCCAAATCTGTGATTTAAATCATGGAATTGGCGTACTTCTTCAACCGAACAACAGCCGACCACCAGGTCGCCAGGGAAGCCAAAAGATGCACCACCTGACGGGGCTGAATGGTGAGTCAGGGGTAAAACCTGGTTTTTCAAGAAACCCTAGTTTTCCCAGGTAATTGCATTTTACCCGTGAAACCATCATTTTTCTCGGTTATTGGAGGCTAGGGCATATAATATCCCTCTTTGCATAAGATGATTGAAGATGATGATTCCAACCTACGCAGAAATTTGAGCTAGATTCTGTGCGCGTGGGATAGAACTTGATTGCATGCGACAGCCAAATGAAAGATTGAACGCGCAATGGCGGAAATTATCACCCCAGCCACTCAGCCACTCAGCCACTCTCTCTGGGAGAGTGGCTGAGTGGCTGAGTGGCTGAGTGGCTGAGTGGCTGGTCCAGCCACTCTGGCAGAGTGGCTGAGTGGCTGAGTGTCAGCCGCTCTGGCAGACTGGCTGAGTGGCTGAGTGGCTGGTCCAGCCACTCTGGGAGAGTGGCTGAGTGGCTGAGTGGCTGGTCCAGCCACTCTGTTAGAGTGGCTGAGTGGCTGAGTGGCTGAGTGGCTGAGTGGCCAGGATGGATAACAAACTTCCTTCACTGGTAGCAGATTACTGTAGCTGTATGGAAAAGTTTTTTCGATACATACGTACCTTAAGCCCCGTAAAAAACATCTCTGCACACATTGCATCTGAATTTATATTCTTTGCTGGCTCGGTTTCGCGATAATGTTAGTTATTTGTATGTAGTGTTTCAACACGCTATGAACCAAACTACATTCGAACTCTACCATTTTCTTGTCAATAGTTTTGGCCAATGCAAATAAATATATCCATACGTATACACGTTGAACACAAAATTATCATAATTGATCTTTCGGTCAATGTGATGCCGACAATGCTTTGCACAAGGAATTCATTTGTTGAGAACACCACTACTTTTACTTTTATCCTTTCGTCCGTCATTGCATGCCGGACGCGCTGCTGTCTTCAGCGCTGTGTACGGCAGCACCTGGTGGGAACGGATTAACAATAGGTCCTAAGTCCGTTATGCAAGCACCAGAAGCTATTTGGCATTGTTTGTGAATTGCTTATGTTCTTGAAATGTGTTCTACACCAACAGTCCGAAACTGCCAAGAACCAGCCTGAACATTGCTACTGTTAGTCAATGGTATCCCCTAGATCGCAGCTGTTCCATGCATACTGCAGCCGTCAACATTTGATCTTCAAAAAAATCAGTGCGAAACGGCATCTTTGAATTGTTCATCCAAATTCACTAAGGAGATTTTGGGTTGAGCACGAGATGGCAACAAGGTCGATACGCTTCGAATCTACGCCAAGTTACTAAAGCCAAAATCCATAAAATATGATATGGTAAACCCAACTATAAATCGTTCCCATTGGTTCAAAGATCTATCAACCTTTTTGCAAAACATATCGCATGTGAATTTATTCACGTCGCTTCGCGACGGCAACCGCCCGCACCGCATCGTTGGGCAGCCGCTCGTAACTGCCAATGATGTCGGCCATTGAGACCAAAAACATCCGAAAGTACTGATTGTCGGAAAAAAAAACGCGAAGAATTTGATAGCCATGTATAGCGGACCAACACAGTTCAAAAAATAACGAAAAACATGGAAAAAACGGCGAAATTGCTGTTATTTACAGTGTTTTTGCGCGGTGAGAAGCAGAAACCACTGCAAATACCATGGTTTTTGAGGGTCAGGTGGCCAAAAACACTGTAATTTACAGTGTTTTTTTAACCAACGTCAAAAAACACTGGTATTTACGATGTTTTCATTCACACCGTAACATAAAACAGCGTAATTTACGAGGTTTTTGGAAGTTTTGAAGCTAGCCGTCAAGCATGCAGAAAACAGAAAAACACTGTAAAAACCAGTGTTTCTGCTATCACAAAACGACGAAAATCAGTCCGAAAACGGGTCCAAAAACTCAAAAATCCGCCTCCGGGCCCGGCCACCTGCGGAACCGCAAAAAAAGATGTTGCAAACCAAAAAATTGAGGTCAAAAAGTTGAAAAACACGGGGTTTTTTCACTTTTCGCTTGCCGATTTTGGACGGGCGCGTTCACGAACAGGTGTCTTCCGTACTGTTTTTTACAGTGTTTTTTGAAGGCGAGCGTCACGACCTATCAAAAACAGGAGGTTTTGGCCGAAAAATGCCCCCCCCCCCTCCCCCCAGGTAAACCTGTAACCTTTTTACGAGTGCCATCCGGAAGATCACGCCCCAGCACCTTCGGTGCGGGCGGATTTGCTAGTAGTCTTCTGGCAAAGTATTAAGTCGAAGGTCAGCCGTCAGATAAACGAAAGCCCCCCAGAAAGAGAGGGAACGATGGAAGCGAAGATACTTTCGATTCTTTTCTTAATTCTAAAGTTGAATGCATCCCGATTGTTTTTTTTGATTCAACAATTACCAGCTGAAGAGGTGTGCCCGGTAATGACACTAACCACTAACAATTTGCATCAAATTTGCAACATAGACCCTCACCATTTTGTACACAAATTGTTAAACTAGCTCGACCATGTAATAACAATCCATAGCACACAATGAAGTGACCATAACTTTTCAAAGCGATAGAGAAGTAATAATATATATATATATATATGTATCTTTAATAACTTGCATACATAAAAAGATTAGAACTATACTCAAATGTATCCTTCCTTTCGCCATAATGATCCGCAGAGACCCACAGAGCGAACCCCTTTAACAAAAGTGACTAATAACTTCTTTCTTACAACCCTTTAACACAGATGTTTGCATAAAATTCCATTCAATCCATAAGAATATATGCCCCCGTTCCCTACAAGATAAAGGAAGAAACCCTAAATTAACATAAAACCTCACTCAAAAAACTACCCAGACCTAAGAAAAATTAGGTCTGGGTAATGCTGCTTAGTCTCCATTGGCTAAGTTGCACATGACTTCTTTCTCGCAACCCTTTAACACAAATGTTTGCATAAAATTCCATTCAATCCATAAGAATATATGCCCCCGTTCCCTACAAGATAAAGGAAGAAACCCTAAATTAGCTTCAAACCTCACTTTAAAAAATACCCAGACCTAAGAAAAATTAAGTCTGGGTAATACTGCTTACACTCTATTGGCTAAGTTGCACATGACTTCTTTCTCACAACCCTTTAACACAGATGTTTGCATAAAATTCCATTCAATCCATAAGAATATGCCCCCGTTCCCTACAAGATAAAGGAAGAAACCCTAAATTAGCTTCAAACCTCACTTTAAAAAATACCCAGACCTAAAAAAAAATAGGTCTGGGTAATACTGCTTACACTCTATTGGCTAAGTTGCACATGACTTCTTTCTCACAACCCTTTAACACAAATGTTTGCATAAAATTCCATTCAATCCATAAGAATATATGCCCCCGTTCCCTACAAGATAAAGGAAGAAACCCTAAATTAGCTTCAAACCTCACTTAAAAAATTACCCAGACCTAAGACAAATTAGGTCTAGGTAATACTGCTTACACTCTATTGGCTAAGTTGCACGTGACTTCTTTCTCACAACCGTTTAGCACAAATGTTTGCATAAAATTCCATTCAATCCATAAGAATATGCCCCCGTTCCCTACAAGAGAGAGGAAGAAACCATAAATTAGCTTCACACCTCACTTAAAAAATTACCCAGACCTAAGAAAAATTAGGTCTGGGTAATACTGCTTAGTCTCCATTGGCAAAGCTGCACTAGCTATTCACCCACTGAGACATTCTGCCAGAGTGGCTTGGTGCAGCCACTCAGCCACTCAGCCGCTCTGCCAGAGTGGCTGGAGCAGCCACTCAGCCACTCAGAGTGGTGAGTGGCTGAGTGGCTGGTCCAGCCGCTCTGCCAGAGTGGCTGAGTGGCTGCTCCAGCCACTCTGCCACAGCCACTCAGCCACTCAGCCACTCAGCCACTCAGACGCTCTGGTAAGAGTGGCTGGACCAGCCAATCTGCCAGAGTGGCTGAGTGGCTGAGTGGCTGGTCCAGCCACTCTGGCAGAGTGGCTGAGTGGCTGAGTGGCTGCTCCGATTTCGCGAGCCGTGTTGCACATCCACTCATAAAACACCGAAACTGTCGACCCCAACTGGTAGGGGCAGCCAAGTCAGATCTCATTTTTTTATGCGAACCTCCCGATTCGATTCGTTTGCACATCGAAGTTGGTTCCAGAATCAATCTAATTAATTGTTTGAACTTCCGGTCAGCAATGTCGATCAGCATCTCCATCCACAAATCCATAAACTTGCATGTGTTCTTGAGACCAATGAGCGGGTGAGAACTCCTAGTTAAGTCCCACATCGAAAGGAGTGGGACAAAATCGCCACAGCGAGATTGGAGCTGTCTGAGGGACACCGTGTCGGATTGGAGATCGGCCCTGCCCTGTCAAGATTATCAAGTTGAACATGTTTGAAAGATTTTGAAAGACAATGAAACAGACACGCACGAAGAGGATGATCATGCGTGTGGGGATGAACATGGATTCATGGATGGACATGGATGAACCATAAAAGAACTGTTATGTTTTGCTTGGGCGGCGGTGTAGCTTCGATAGCTTCGTGGATGAGATGTACTGTACAGGGATGTTAGGAGAATCAATTGGAGGCGCATGTTTTCCCAAGATGTGGGTCGGTATCCTCGGCCCTTGGCACTGCCTTCCTGATGGTCCTGGCGGACCATGATAAGTCTGATGTCCTTCTGATGTCCTTCTGTCCTTCTTCTCCGCTGGAGTGCGGAGGAGATACGCTGAGGCTTTTTAGCAACGCTATCACCGTGAGAAACTCGCTGAATACATGCGTTATGGGCGTTCCTACTGGGCGCTATTGCCATTTGACCGTTAAAATTTCAAAACGGCTGGCAAACCCAACGCTCTCGACTTGCACAAAGAGGCTGCCCGCTGGCCCGCAGACTGCTTCCTCTGAAGAATTCTAGATAATTTTAGAATTATTAGACGTGGACGACGTAAAGGTTTGGATAGCGATGAGTAGCAGCTAGCCCAGAACCTCTCTGAAACTATATAATACAAAAGCTAGACATTTCTCTTGGGTTTTGTACATTATACTGAGACTTCCAGGCAAGATCCTTCAAATGCACGGCCTCTAGTTCGAACCAAGAGCGCAACGTTCAATGAAGATCAACCTTTCTATAATTTATGCAAGGAACTTGGGGCTTGTTTTGACTGAGATAGGAATTTTGTATTGCCTGCCCAATTTACGTTTCAATTGAGTTCTCTGACCATGGCAGCTGTGAACTCAGGTAATGCAAGAAGCACCCATATTTGGCATCATTAACTGCATAATTCGGACCAAGGGAAGGAACATTTACGCATGCTAGATATTACCAGATCCATGTTGTGTGAACATGTGGCGGTCTGCGCGAGTCCATGTTGCGTTTACAGTTTGATAAAAGCACAGGTACCATCGCCGCGGTCATGTCCGGGGTCCCGATGTGAGAAGGCAATACGTACCCTGGATTTACAGAGCTTTGCAGAACATTTTTGGGAAAGCCAGTCAAGGCCAGTGCCAAAGAAGCTCAACTTCCCAAAGCATCCAAAGTTAAGGAGCGCATTGTCTCCGCGCCTCTCCAGTGCAGAGGTATGCAAATGACTTTTAAAGAACCTTATATCATCACATTACGATACATTACGCATTTAGTTTGTGCAGGAGGGTGCAAGTTCCTGTGAGCAGATATGCTTCTTTTCTAAGGCTCTCTTTCATCTTGGCCGGTACAATGAGGTGTGCGATGCAGCCGGGCATGTGTTCAAGCGAGATTGCAGCGCTGCTGTCTTCCCAATCCAAGTTGCAAGCTGTTGCAAGTATGAATTATGAGAGCAGCAGCTTTTCTCGAATTTTCTCGACCAATGACAGCATGATTGCGGCTATGTTTTTAGATGGTTCTTCAACCTCAACCAACCTAGCCGCATCTAGCTGCGCTATGGTGACAGCTTTTTTGGCAGCCGAGAAGCATCCCAAAACCAGCATCATCGGAAACAAGCCAAAAAGAATCCAAAACACATCCAAAGAGAAACACAAAACAAACACAATACAAACCAAGACTTCAAGACAATCCCAACCGTCCCCGGGCTTGGAACGATTTGGAACGCATTGCACGATGTTGAACGCATGGATGTAGCGACCAGATCCGACCAGGCTGTAGCCACGATCGAGGAAGGGCTCAGGCTGGATGAGAAGGAGGGGGCAGTACCTGATGGCACTGGATGGCACTGGGATGCACTGGGATGTGCAAATGGAAAGACATGGAAAGACATGGAAAGACCATCAAAGACAAAAAAATGGAAAGATTACAAGAGAATCAGCCTTTTCCTTTTCATTCCTATTCGTGCACGCACGCACACAAGATACACACGCAGATGTATGCATTTTTGAAATACTGTAGATAAGTCTTAATATAATTTAATATATTTTTTTTTCATTATATATATATGTATGCAGAAGATTAGAAGTTTGTACGCCGTGTAGATGTGCAATATTTTGCGTGTCAGCAAGCGCCGTATAATATAGACGTGAAATATTGCACGTGCGACCAAGCACACTGGACACACGTCCGGGTATCTGTATAATAAATTGCAATTACTTTTATCATGCACTTATCTTTGCATATCATTTTTTACATGGATGAATATGATTATCATGACTAAAAACTAAATTATATAAATTTATACATATTACATATCAATACATATCATATTACCTGCATGCAGTTGAGATCCCTTGCATAATCCTAAATCCTGAGCCCAACGCGGCCAAACAGTTTACGCCGAGGATGGCGGTGAAGAGTCTAAGAAGGGGAGGGAGAGAGAGAGAGAGAGAGAGGATTTTTACGTAGAGCCCACATACACTCACATTTCAGTGCCTTTGCATGCGCTTGGATCATGGATCAAGCTTGAACACATCTAGAGATGTGTCTCAAGGCTTCAGGATCGCATGGAAGGTTGAAGACGGTTGAGCAACTTCTTTCATCCTTTTCTACCCGCGAGAAGACGTCACTTGTTGAAATCATGTTCTGGCAATCGCATGCAATCGCTGCATGGTTGTTAGTCACAGACTGCTGAAAGAACCACGAGTCACATGAGTGACAGTCATATGAGTCATATGAGTCGTATGAGTGTGATTTTGCATGATGTTGCTCCGAAGGATGGTGCATTGCTCGAGGCCGCAGCAAAATTGAAGGAGTACACCGAACCAGGCCGGGGTGCGCGGATGAATCAGATGAGTCGCTGATGTTTGAGCCGTTTAAGCTCTGTGCTGGCAGAGAATGTAGGCGGAAAATTCCCCAAATGCCCCGAAACTCAACTATATGGACTCTATTAGGTCAGAAGCTCATGCAGCATGCAAGTTTTCAGGCAGGGTTTTCATGGTTTTACTATTTTTCCCTTTGTGTCTTCAGACTGCAGGAGTGGCTAGGATGCAAAAGACTGCCTTTTTGCTTCAAGCTATACAAGTAGGTTGTGACATATTTTGATCTTTGCAGATACGGACTGGATTATCCATAGAACAACCTTGGAATGATGTTCTCCCCTGCTTCACTTGAACCTCTCTTATGATTTTCTGCGGGGTGACCTCTTGAAGAGTCATGTGAAATTGGATGAAATTGGGGTGTGCTTTTGTTATAGTCATGGTTTCGTTGTGGCGAAGCCAGGAGATGACTTCTGGCTTGACACTTCGAGCGCGACCAGCGCCTCACCAGAGCAACCCATTCCAGAGGCCAACCGCGTTTTGGAAGTTTCATGTAAACTTCGGTTGACTTCGGTCGACTTCTTATTTATTGTAAGCCTGTACAGTAGCGTGAAAGATATTGAAAGATAGCCTGCGCTTTGAAATCCCACAACTTCATGTGACTGATGTGACTGGACTGAGTTGATGCGGGCTGAAATCATCCTTCGATTCTATGTGGGATGAAGCAATATATGACAGTAGTAATGATGAGGGATGTTTCCGATCCCATGACATTCTACACATTCTACACATTCTGCTGTACTTATCACAAGTTGAACCTCTGTACCAGTTAGCATAGCTAGCTTCCAGGAGGCCAATCCTGCCGCCGCAACACGCTCTGTCCCACGAGTTCGGGAGCCCAACCACTGGCTACGAGAGGTTTGCTACTCACATGTAGCGGCTGTAGCGGCTGTAGCGGTCAAGAATTGCAGTAGGAACATGTTCATTTGAGCAGACATCATCAGACATCCCTGTTCCTGAGAGAAGACTGAGAAGTTTACAGTTTACATGTTACAAGTGAACGGCAGAGACATAGACCTGCAGGTTCCGCTTGGTAGACCAACTTGGAGTGCTTTTGTTTGGATTTCTCACCTTTCAATATGCTGCGAAACTAGACACATTTCCTGGGGAGATGAGTTGGATGCAGGAGCAGATGTTCTCGAAATTTGGTCCTCAGTCACTAAGACTTATCCTCCACTTCAGCTGCTTCTTGCTTTTGCATGCTTTTGCGACCTTTGGCTTTTCAAGACCCAGCTGAGTCACTTTTTTGAGAGTTTGTTTAACAAGTAGGTCAGTGGCATTGCTGCGGGCCAGATATAATACATGGCTTGGAAAACAACCGGAATCTCAAACAGCAGCTGCTTGGTAAACTCTCTACACTGCATTCCACTGCAATGCAGTTCACCCCCCCTGTCAGTTGCAGTCAAGCAGTTCTAGTCGTTTCGATCGATTTGCTGTTGCAGACGCCATGGCTTTGGATGTAGCACCGGTGGTGTTGCCCCCCGCGGCAGAGCCCATTGTGCTGCCAGTGCCTCCAGGGGCCGTGAAGGTGATGCCACGATGGGCAGAGGAGGAACAGACATTGAACACAGACGACACAGAGACATTTGTGACATAACTAGAACTGTGACATGACCGTGACGCGACTGTGAATGTTGGGAGATCTTGCAGCTGGGAGGGCTTTGCGTAGTTCAGGGGGTAAGGCTCTGGGGATATCTATAGGGCACTTTGTTGGCCGAAAAGGCCTCCAAGCATTTTTGCTAGAGGTCGACAGGTCGACAGGATTTAATGTTTCATTTAGGTTCATTCAAACGTATTCAAACATTGTGTGTGTATGAGTATGCGTGTGCGTGTCTCTAGCATTGTCTCTCGGATCTTGATTGGCTGACCTGAGCCGCTACACTGCCAGAGAGTACGCTTCCCGGACTGTTTCAGATTCTGCACAGTGATCATGTTCTGTTTGTGTTTGTGCAAACCGTTGTCAGATGAAGTACAGTAAAGCAACCCCAAAAACATAGAAAAGTAACATCCGTAACATCCACAGCGCTAAAATATGCTAAAATAGTGATAAAGAGGGGGAGGGAGAGAGAGAGAGAGAGTGAATGATATATTATATATATATAATATATATATATATATTATAGATATGACATACATATATATATATACATACATACTTGTATGTGATATACAATATATATATATATATATATATACACTGTATATACACATGCTCGTAAGTCGCTGTCTGGATTACTATAGAAATCTTTTGTCCCTGTTCGAAGGACGAAGTGTCCAAATGGCGAGTGAAATATCGTCTACACAGTCCGCACACTCCAGCAGATCCAGATAGCGCCTTGCCAAGTGGGCGCTGTTTGCCCAATAGGTGACATATTTGGCTGTGCAAGCTCCAAGCACCCCTGGTGGGTGGAGATTGTTGGAGTTTGGAGATGTCTAAGGTATAATACATTGCACTTCAGGTTTACATGCCTAGAAAATTCGAGAAACACAGAGATCATCACGCTATGCACCATGTGACACTAGTCACTAGTCTCTCGGATTCTTCCGCACTCTAAGGTGAATGGATTGAATTGGAGCTGCGACACTTCACCCGCGAGCTGCCCTTGTCAAACCTGCCTGCAGGCACAGGGAGAGTATGGTCAGATATGACCAGGTTGTTTGGCATTGGGCCTCACAGTGTCACGATGGGTCCCACTGATTCGAATACAAAGGACATCAAAGGACAAAGTTGATACATGTTGACACACTACATCACACTACATCACACTACATCACACTACATCACACTACCTGTCAATAGTCAGAACGTGGCATTGGACCTGGTGACCTGATGTGACCTGAGACTTCACTTGATTCCGCAGATGTTTCCGAGGACAGCACCATTTCAAGGTAGCCATTGAGACTCCAGATGGCTGGTCAGACTGGAGCTCTGTGGCTCCTTGGCTATGAAATTTCGGGCGGCCATGTGTATGTCTATTTTCTTGCAGTATGTGTATGGTGTTCTTGTTCTTTCATCATTTTCCAGCTGTGTACCGTCTAAACGGTTCAGATAGCTGGACTGGATAGCAATATATGTGCTTCTTATTGCTTCTTTTTCATTAAGTAGCAAACAATTTGCTCTGACCACACTGACCCCTGCCGGGCTGCGCACAACAAGGTGGAGTGTGAACCACCTTGCCCTCAGGCACAGTGTTCAGGGGCATAGTGGCTGGGCTAGTGCAGTTGGCAAGTTACAAGTTGGCAGCAGTAGAAGCTGCGTCTGGAGCAAACAATGGTCTCTGCAGCTCTTTATCAATTTTTGGAATCATCCTTTCATATTCTTTGTCGAATTCCGCTGTCAGTAGTATCTTCTGCGAAGCCAGTTGCGTGCGATTGCGAAACCGTCCAACAATGTGCAGCCAAGAGCAGTCAGTAGGATCTTGGAGCAGTTGCAGGTGTAAGGTAACAACATGCAACAACCCTTCCTGGTGGTGGAGATGTGGTCGATGTGTTCTGCAGCCCCTTTAGGCTTTTTGCCCCTTGGGCCTTTTGCCTTAGACGTTTGGCTTCAACATTTTAACTTGCTTGGCACGTCTTAGCAATAGTTTCACTTTCAGCGAGAGAGATGTGCAAGAACATGAACATAAGAACCTTTGCGTGCATGTCACAGGAAGGCGCGCTTTTCATCAAAAATCTTGAATTTATATGAATTTATTGCCTAACCCTGTTGTACTCTCTAGTTATGTTTGTATCAGGCATCTCTTGACATGTATTTATATCAGCACATGTCGTGTTCAAGCTGATTCAAAAACCTGTTTTGTTTTTTTTAATGCTGGATGTCCGGTGCCTTGGTGCTGTGAGTCTTGCAACAACTGTGCGTCGCCGATAGGGTAGCAATGTCAAAGAGGAAACTTGATGCTGATGAGCCAGCAGCTTCAGGCGGTTCCAAACCTGAGGCTGCAGGCGGCACAGAAGGTCAACAAAAACCGAGCCTTGCCATATTTGTTGATCTGAAGCGGGCAAGAGCACCCAAGGAATTTGGTCCTTTGCAGGTTCTTCCGGGATGAATTTGAATGAATCGAATCGAACTGATATGATTATATATATATATATATATAAGTTGGGGTTTTAGAATCTCCTTCAAACTTCTCTCATTTATCTCTTTTATACAGTTGGCCCTCGGGGAGAAGCAGCGCCTCGTGCTAGGAGGACCTCTTTCACGCTCACCTTCATTGAGATCCTTCTCATAACTTTTAACATTTTGAAGGCTAGAATAGGCTAGAACTCTTGGTTGAAATTTGACTCTTGAAAATTGCCAGCATGGTGTAAGGTTTGGCACGTGTTTTTGAAGAGCAAGTAGATCGATTGGTAGCGCCATTAGAGATGTTGTGATCTTGAGAGTTGGCACAGCTGGCAAATTTCGATACTTCAGGCCCTTGGTCTTTCACTTGGAAGCGACCTGTGGCCGAGCTCGGGCGTCAACTGTGACATTGCCTCATGGGGATGTTCTGACACCGGTCTTCATGCCAGTTGGGACCCAGGGCACCATCAAAGGCATGTCTTCGGAGGACATGAAAACGCTTGGGTGCCGCATTTTGCTTGGGAATACCTTTCATTTGGCCAATCGGCCCACTTGCGAGCTGTTGCGCAAATGTGGAGGGCTACACAATTTGATGAAATGGAATGGCAACATTTTGACCGACAGCGGGGGCTTTCAGATGGTTTCCCTGCTGAAGCTGGCAGTGATCACCGAAGCTGGCGTCGAGTTTGAGGATCCAAAGAAGCCTGGAAGCCGAATGCTGCTGACGCCGGAGAAGTCCATTGAGTCGCAGAATGACATAGGTGCTGACATCATGATGGCCCTGGATGATGTTGTATCTTGAATATCTTTAAATATCTGCAATTTAATTCAATTTGCTTCCGCCATTCTTGTTTCAATTTCCACTCTTGGGATGCCCCTGGCAGATTCTGGTTCTAGATGATTCAAGATGATTCTAGATATTCTAGGACCTTGAGATCCTTGAGTCTTGCGAAGACCTTTGTGTGCCACGTTCAGGTATCCTCGACCCTGGATCCAGTCAAGGACGAGTTTCGCATCAAGGAAGCGACAGACAGGACCTTGCGGTGGATTGATCGATGTATCTCCGCTCATCGCAAACCGGAGAGCCAAAATCTCTTCGGCATTGTCCAGGGCCATTTGGATACGAAGCCTGGTGGACTGCGGGAATATTCTCTCAAGGACCTTGGATTGACGTACAACATTGACTTGCTTTGAGCGACTATATTACTCTACATTGATATTATATGATATTATATTCATATACATATTCATAATATTTCATGATATATTCATGCTATATTGATATGTGGTAATTAATGTGGCATAATGTGGCAACTCATTATTTGCCTTTGGATGGATATGCATCAAGTGTACGATGTGACAAGGTGACAAGGTGTCCGTGCGGGGTGATGGCTTGATGCTTGAGAAATGTGCAATTGGTGGTATCACCGGGTCATCTGATTCCACATTCGCCATAAGATTCCATAGGATTTAAAAGGATTTTTATAGGTGGATTATGGTAGATTCTATTTCAGCTCAGGATATACACTGCAACGTAGGGCAGTTTCTGTCGGTCCCTCACAATCCGTTTGAGAAACATATGAGTACATTCTATCAAAATAGATGAACAGATCAACAGGCAATAGATTGATTCCGTCATATTCAGTCATGGCATTTCCTTGGTATTTTAGAAGGTGGTACCAGTGGTGCTTAGTGAAACGAGGAGATGATCAAGAGAGATCTACCGGGTTATGCCATTGGTGGGCTCAGTGGTGGCGAGGCCAAGAACGAGTTTTGGCGCGTGGTGGAGCAGTGCACTCGGCCAGGAGCCGGACTTCCAGAGCAAAAACCGCGGTATTTGATGGGTGTCGGTTATCCACTGGACATTGTGATCTGCGTCGCCTTAGGGGTTGACATGTTTGATTGCGTTTATCCCTGCAGAACAGCACGCTTTGGGACTGCCTTGGTTCGAAGTGGCCAGTTGCGACTGACCAGCGCAGAATTTGCCAATGATTTCCGGCCACCTATCACTAGCTCCAGATCATTCTGTTTCTATTTATTCCTAATATTCCTATGTATTTTTTGCTGTATTTCATCCCGGTTCCTATTTGATTTTTTGCATCTGACTTTTCAATGCCTGAGGCCATTGGAGCCTGGTGGCAAGGGCCCCCTGAAGGAGTACACCCGAGCCATGCATCACAGTATCGTGACCAAAGAGACAGTAGCTGCGCAGCTCATTACCTGGCACAATTTGTGGTTCATGCTGAATCTGCTGACGGAGACTTGGATGATTTGGAGCTGATAGTGTTGCAATCTGATGACATACGACAATTTGAGGTGGTTTTGAGGATGTGTTTAGTGATGATTGATGTGTTGCGATGTGCCATTTTCCAAATGAAGACTTCAAGTGCGGAAGTTTCTTCAGGAGATGCGAGAGGCCATCAAAGCAAACACCTTCCCAGACTCTTGGCTAAAAAAATGCCACTTGGATCCAAGTAGTGCCAATGGTCCCGTGCTTGCGTTGCCAATCAATGTCAACCTGGAGACGAGCAGTTTTCTAGCCGTTCAAGTCATTTTGCAGCGTGTGTTTAAAGACTATGTTGTAAATGTTGTAAATGGTGCACGACAGGGGCGCAGCGACAAACAGCTACACAATCACGTCCATCATCTCAGAGTCTCATGGTCCATGGATGCCAATGGTAACATCAGCACCTTGAGCTTCAACCAATGGCCTGCCGCAGGATTGGGTGCGACAGTTCTTGAAAGACTTTTTTCCATCAGCAGGCCCAGCACCTTGTGCAGTCTGCCCTCCACGCTGGGTGAAAGATGCGCTGGAGGTGTGTGGCATACCTTTGGATGATCTATTCGAACGCCTTGATTTGCTTTTGGACAGTTTGTTCCCGTTTTGCACACCAAAAGTCCCGAAGGCGCAAGCAATTCTTAGTGGAGGATCCTAAAGCATAGGAGCTATAGGATCCTAAAGCATATGAAGAATCTAATCTAATTGTTTGTTTTCACGACGACCCTTGTTACTTTGATTGCTTACTCTCAGGATTGGAGCGAGACAGCGCAAGAACTGCCAGACATGCCCAAGGACTCCGCGAAGAATTCCAAACAATAAGCCTCTCGAGCTTGACTTTGTATGCTCCGCACCATGCACGTCTATTCGAAGGAAGTTTAGAAGTCAAACTTCCGACAATATGGACAGATGGAAAAGCAGAGGTGGGAAGAGTCAGAGAAGATAAGAGAAGAAGAAAGAAGATCAAGGAAGAGAAATTCAGAAGAGAAGAAGATCCAGGTGCGCGAAAAGGTAGGAAAACATAGGAAAGCCGCGAAACACTGTGTTTTTCCAATGATTTGTGGCTCCGGAGGGTGGAAAAGTAGGCTCGCTAAAGCGGCGGGTGCGGAGCCATGTGATCAGATGAGAGATGAAAAGTTGCACGCCCTTGTGGCGCGAAGCACGTTTCGAAGTCAAAACGTACAAAGCACATCAAAACACCACATGTTTGCGCCACTTTTGATGTGAAGCGTCGGCAGGCGCAAAGGATTCTCCACCTTGTCAAAAGTGAGCAAAACGTGAGGGCTTTGTAGCATTTCCAAAAACGATGGCAGGCTTGGGACATTTGAAGAGGATCTGCAAAGATGGATTTTCCGTGGCAGGCGCGGTACGAGAGACATGTTCATCAGAGATGTTAGGAGGTGAGGGCGCTGATTTCCTGAGATGGGTTGCATTTTAGAGGGTTTGCTGCGATGATTCTGCGTCACAGGTACAGCATTTCGTATGAGGCGCAGCACTTTAGACAGATGGAGTGGAAAAATCGCAAAACGGATTGGTACGAGGCCGTCATCTCTGCACTCAACTTTCCATTTTTGAAGGAAGTCTCGCAGAATTGCTTCGTTTTTGATGTTGTCAGCTTGAAAATTTGAGGAAGTCTCGCAGAATAGCTTCGTTTTCAGGGTTGCAGATAATTAGACAGATAGATAGCTAGACAGCTACAACTACAACTACCACTAAGGGGACATTGGTCGCTTGTGACCCTAATCACTGTTTCTACGTTTTGAAGTAAAAAAGATAGGGTCACAAGTGACCAGGTGTGCTCGAAGTCCCACACCTGCCACACGAAAATGGTGCGGCCCCTTTGTGGTCGCCTGTGACCCTATTCGTGCCCGAAGCATGATTTTTGGAGGAAGTCTCGCAGAAAAGCTTCGTTTTAGAGCTTTGAAGCTTCATTTTTGGAGGAAGTCTCGCAGAAAAGCTTCGTTTAAGGGCTTCGAAGCTTCATTTTTGAAGGAAGTCTCGCAGAAAAGCTTCGTTTAAGGGCTTCGAAGCTAGGTTTTTGAGTTTGGAAGCTTCAGTTTTGAAGGAAGTCTCGTAGAAAAGCTTCGTTTTAGAGCTTCGAAGCTTCATTTTTGAAGGAAGTCTCGCAGAAAAGTTTTTGTGTTTGAGTTTCGAAGCTTCATTTTTGTAGGAAGTCTCGCAGAAAAGCTTCGTTTAAGGGCTTCGAAGCTACATGTCATTTATTTATTTATCTATCTATCTATCTATGTATCTATCTATCTATCTACCTATCTAATTATCTATCTATCTATCTATTTATCTATCTATCTATCTATCTATCTCTATCTATCTCTCTCTCTATCTATCTTGTTATCTTATCTTATCTCATCTTATCTTATCTTATGTATCTATCTATCTATGTATCTATCTATCTATCTATCTATCTCTATCTCTATCTCTATCTATCTATCTCTCTCTATCTATCTTGTTATCTTATCTTATCTTATCTCATCTTATCTTATCTTATCTCATGTTATCTTATCTTATCTTATCTTAACTTATTTTATCTTATCTATCTATCTATCTATGTATCTATCTATCTATCTATCTATCAATCAATCTATCTCTATCTATCTATCTCTCTCTATCTATCTTGTTATCTTATCTTATCTCATCTTATCTTATCTTATCTATCTATCTATCTATCTATGTATCTATCTATCTTTCTATCTATCTATCTCTATCTATCTATCTCTCTCTATCTATCTTGTTATCTTATCTTATCTTATCTCATCTTATCTTATCTTATCTCATGTTATCTTATCTTATCTTAACTTATTTTATCTTATCTATCTATCTATCTATCTATCTATCTCTCTATCTCTCTCTATCTCTCTCTATCTCTCTATCTATCTATCTCTCTCGCTCTCCCTTTCTATCTTGTTATCGCTGTATCTCTTTACCTCAACTTCTAAAAACGGTCCGAACATGGTGTGTTTTGTACATGTTGACTCTCTCTCTCTCTCTCTCTCTCTCTCTCTTTCTATCTCTTTATCCCTCTATCTCTCCATCTCAACTGCTAAAGGCGGTCCGAACATGTTGGTTTTTGTGCATGTTGACTTCGAAATGGACGTCACGCCACAACGGCGTGCACAATTTTGTATTTCTCATCTGGGCAGCTGGCTCCGCGCCCGCCGCTGTAGCGAGCTTACTTGTCGACCCTCCGGAGCCACAAGGCATTGGAAAACACTACCTTTTGGCTCCTCTGCATCTTCTTTCTTCTGACTCGTTCTCTTCTCTGATCTGCTCTCTTCTACTCTTCTCTTCTCTCTGCCTCTTCCCATCTCTGCTTTTCATCTGCCCATATTGTCGGAAGTTTGATTTCGAAACTTCCTTCGATAATGCAAAATATATTCACGAAGAAAGTTATACACAGACAAACTCGCGGCCAGACAATTATACAGAAAGTTGCGGCCAACCTTAGCAATCCATGCGTCGGTGATGCACTGAATTTCACCACCATTGACAATGGTATAGTATGATAGTATACTGTTATATCCATGCATGTCCATCTATTTGTCCATTAGGGCATTAGGGCATATCCATTCACATTGTACATGGGTTGTACAAGTCTCGTGACCTTCCAATATGTTGCACTGTGGTGCTCAAGTGATTGCTGAAATCCTGGGAGAAAGATTAGTTTGTGAAGTTCATGCGCGCACTTGCGCTAAAGAACTTTCAAATCGCATGTGCCAAGTTGCAGTCCTCAATTGTGCCAAATTTGGTATTGTGTCGTCCGCAGTGGCATTTTGCCAAGGCAGAAGGTGGGTGCAGCATCACGTAGACAAGAAACATATAGTTACGTATTAGGCTTCAATCTGCTTCATGTCGTATCACCGTAACGAGTCAAGTAATGATGTAAGTACGATGATCCGTCCCCCCTAACCAAACCCTAAATGGCTGAGTCAAGTAATGATGTAAGTAGAATGATCCCTCCCCCCCAACCAAACCCTAAATGGCTGAGTCAAGTAATGATGTAAGTACGATGATCCCTCCCCCCTAACCAAACCCTAAATGGCTGAGTCAAGTAATGATGTAAGTAGAATGATCCCTCCCCCCCAACCAAACCCTAAGTGGCTGAGTCAAGTAATGATGTAAGTAGAATGATCCCTCCCCCCCAACCAAACCCTAAATGGCTGAGTCAAGTAATGATCTAAGTTGAATGATCCCCCCCCCCAACCAAACCCTAAATGGCTGAGTCAAGTAATGATGTAAGTACGATGATCCCTCCCCCCAACCAAACCCTAAATGGCTGAGTCAAGTAATGATGTAAGTAGAATGATCCCTCCCCCCCAACCAAACCCTAAATGGCTGAGTCAAGTAATGATCTAAGTACAATGATCCCCCCCCCCAACCAAACCCTAAATGGCTGAGTCAAGTAATGTATAACCCCTCCCCCCCAACCAAACCCTAAATGGCTGAGTCAAGTAATGATCTAAGTACAATGATCCCTCCCCCCCAACCAAACCCTAAATGGCTGAGTCAAGTAATGTATAACCCCTCCCCCCCCAACCAAACCCTAAATGGCTGAGTCAAGTAATGATATAAGTACCCCTCCCCCCCAACCAAACCCTAAATGGCTGAGTCAAGTAATGATGTAAGTAGAATGATCCCTCCCCCCAACCAAACACTAAGTGGCTGAGTCAAGTAATGATGTAAGTAGAATGATCCCTCCCCCCCAACCAAACCCTAAATGGCTGAGTCAAGTAATGATGTAAGTAGAATGATCCCTCCCCCCCAACCAAACCCCTGATCAAGTATGACAACAAACCCTAAATGGCTGAGTAGTATGATCTAGTAATGATCCCTCCCCCCCAACCAAACCCTAAATGGCTGAGTCAAGTAATGATGTAAGTACGATGATCCCTCCCCCCAACCAAACCCTAAATGGCTGAGTCAAGTAATGATGTAAGTAGAATGATCCCTCCCCCCCAACCAAACCCTAAATGGCTGAGTCAAGTGATGATCTAAGTTCAATGATCCCTCCCCCCCAACCAAACCCTAAATGGCTGAGTCAAGTAATGATGTAAGTAGAATGATCCCTCCCCCCCAACCAAACCCTAAATGGCTGAGTCAAGTAATGATCTAAGTTGAATGATCCCCCCCCCAACCAAACCCTAAATGGCTGAGTCAAGTAATGATGTAAGTACGATGATCCCTCCCCCCTAACCAAACCCTAAATGGCTGAGTCAAGTAATGATGTAAGTAGAATGATCCCTCCCCCCCAACCAAACCCTAAATGGCTGAGTCAAGTAATGATCTAAGTTGAATGATCCCTCCCCCCAACCAAACCCTAAATTGCTGAGTCAAGTAATGTATAACCCCTCCCCCCCAACCAAACCCTAAATGGCTGAGTCAAGTAATGATCTAAGTACAATGATCCCTCCCCCCCAACCAAACCCTAAATGGCTGAGTCAAGTAATGATCTAAGTTGAATGATCCCTCCCCCCCAACCAAACCCTAAATGGCTGAGTCAAGTAATGATGTAAGTAGAATGATCCCTCCCCCCAACCAAACCCTAAATGGCTGAGTCAAGTAATGATCTAAGTTGAATGATCCCTCCCCCCCAACCAAACCCTAAATGGCTGAGTCAAGTAATGATCTAAGTTGAATGATCCCTCCCCCCCAACCAAACCCTAAATGGCTGAGTCAAGTAATGATGTAAGTAGAATGATCCCTCCCCCCCAACCAAACCCTAAATGGCTGAGTCAAGTAATGATCTAAGTTGAATGATCCCTCCCCCCAACCAAACCCTAAATGGATGAGTCAAGTAATGATGTAAGTAGAATGATCCCTCCCCCCCAACCAAACAATTGCATGGTGGAGAGTTTTTAAAGGAGACAATTGCATGGTGGAACGCAGGGGGGGTGAGAGTTTTTAAAGGAATAGGGTCGCAAGTGACCGGGGATTTTAGGGTCACAAGTGACCGTTTTTTAGGGTCGCAAGTGACCATGGACCCCCACTAAGTCACTGCACTACTACTACAGCTACAACTGCAAAATACTACACGACATTGCACTACACTAATTAATTACACTACGTTACGCTAATTAATATAATTAACACCTATTTACACCACACTACAGCACACTAATAACACTAATTACATTATATAATTGCACCAATTACACAACAACAACAACCACTACTACTTCTGCTGCTACTAATACCACCACCACCACACTACCACAGTTACAATTACACTAACTACACTGCAGTACACTGCAACAACAGCCACCACCACCACAACAACAACAACAACAAAAACAACAACTACTACTACGACGACGACGACGACTACTACTACTACTACGACTACGACTACGACTACGACTACTACTACGACTACCACTACTACTACTACGACTACGACTACGACTACGACTACGACTACGGCGACGACCACAGCTACTACTACAATTACAACTACACTTCATTACACTACACTAAGTACACTGCAGTACACTACAGCCACAACTACAAATACAACTACGATTGCAACTACAACTACAACTGCCGGTACGTTACGCCACATTACACTAGACTACACTACGCTACACTACACTAATTACATTACACTACAACTACAACTACACTACTTTACAGCACACTGCGCTAGACTACATTACACTTTACCGTACCGATAGACTATACCACACTACAGTACACATCACTACGGTACACTACACTAGACTACCCTAATTACATCTAATTACACCACACCACAACCACAACTGCAACTACACCTGCGCTACACTAGTTACACTACACTACAACTACGACTCCATTGCGCTACAACTACAACTGCGCTACACCACACTGCATCCAGCAGTTGTGGTGAGGTGACCGCTGCAACCACTGCAGCCACTGCAACTGCAACCACTCCAACCAGCTTTTGGTCCATCAGTGGATTCGCTCTGCCATCTGTGATTTACAACAACCAACCTCTCCTATAGGTTTCCTTTTTTTGAAACTTCCGCCACCGCCTTGTGCGGTACTACTGGTGGAATCTATTATCAGTAGGCCTAGCCTAGGCCGCCCAATGTTCAATACACTTGCAAACGGCGTTCAGTCGATTGCAGCAAGGATACCTACGAATAGAACCTTGTTCCTTGCAAACCTATTCACTGAATCAAATCATCTCACACCACTTCCCATTACACCACACATAATCTGTCCCCCACAATTTGGCATTTGGTTCCGAATTGCACCGCTTTCGTAAAATGGCACCCCTCGTGCAGAGAAGTGCAGCAAGTCCTCATAGCCTTGGCTACTCAGAGGAGAAACATGTAATTCACGCCGGTGCTTGGTTGTCAAATGTTGTCAATTTTGGCCCTAAGGACCTGTTGCCAGGCATGGTCAGACATCGCAAGAATATCCGAAAGATATGTGACAGTGACTTGTGATCCTGCGGAGGAAACAAATTGGAGCTGGTCAGGGTGTGGAAAGATTGTGTGAATGTGGGCAATATTATTGGTTTCCTGACATGACCTCAGCCAATGCATACATTGGGCAAGCGATGGCACGATTAAATTCTTAGACTACAGGGATCTCCAGGGTGTCAAGAAACCACTAGAGTCACTAGAAAAAACATGCGCAGAATCTGAATTAGACTGCTGCAAACTTGTCTGTGTGCAGGCTTTATTTTGATTATTCATAGGGCCGAACATTTTTCCAGCTGGTGCGACAAGTCCGCAGTTTGCGACACCAGGTGCCTTCTAAGCTCGCAGCTCTGCTCCCAGAGGTGATGCGGAACTCACTTGTGTTCACAGTGAGCTCAGATATCCCAGAGTCATTCAAAGTCGTATATATATATATTCAAGATTGAATGATATGATATATAATATATATATATATAACGAGATATACTTGCAGAATCTTGGAGAGTATTGTACAGGTCGGAGAGTATTGCTTGCAGAGTTATTGATGGAGTTACATGAGCAGGTTGAGCAAGTGTCTTGCCGTTGCCACGATGAAAAGATTCCTACGAAACTCTACCGAAACAGCTTTCCTTTCAGAGCCTTTGAAGTTGTGGCAGGTGCTTGGGGTGGATGAAATCAAGTTGCGCTGGTCTCCACCTTTGGATGCTGCCACGGCCGGGACCAGGGCTCTCGGGGAGCGACATTGGTTTGTTTTGGCCGGTCTTGACTGATCTCAGATGCAGATTTCCTTCCAATGTCTTCCAATCCTTCGCATGCCTGGGCTTGAGATTCTATAAAAAGGTTCCACAGACTGTAGTAAAAACATATCCCACAAACTTCAAAGTAAAGGACAAGCTGACAAGCTGGAAGCAAACACTTGCTGAACCTTGCAGGTAATAGCAGACTTGCAAATCCTACGCTACAAGATTCGTGTCAACTGGCAAGAAGGTGAGGAGCCTTTGAGTCGAGAGAGCCTTGGCTAACCATTGGCCTGAATCCTTTTTTGATCCTTGTGTTTTGGTTCGGTGCTGCCAAGAAACCCAAATCAATGACTGTGATACTGGCTGTGCCAGCAACTTTGCGTGCAGCCTGCACGTTTGCTTCGCAACATTTGGCAACATCATTGAATCAGTTGAGGATTATAGCAGAAGACGCCACCGACTCCTTCATCGTAACTGATTTGAAAAGCCTCACCGACTACACATTCCAGATTGCAACTGAAAACTCTGCAGGAGCTGGGGTCACGGGTCACTTGTGTGACTAATGAATTTTATGAATTGACTGAGCTTGGGCTTGGCTAAAGTTATGTAGAAGTTCACTACATCAGCCGCAGCCCAGGATCTCCTGAGGAGTTCTGGGGAGACCGTAGGGAAGTACAGAGATTTGCCAATGTTCCGTGAATGAAACTCCTGATGTTGTCATCGTTGACCGTTGACCATATTGACCATGGTCAATTGTCTCAAAGGCCAGGAAGTTGTAAAGCAATCTGAGGCACATTAAGTTTAACATAAACATACATAAACATGATAAGTGATAAGTATTATTGATAGCAATCAATATATGTATTATATATATATAAGTTAATCAAAAACCACTGGAGGTGTGCAGCGGTTGCTTGACCAGGCTGGAGCGAGTGGTCAGAACCTAGCACCAAGCAGACGGACCCGCCTGTGCCCAAGACGCTGAATCAGCCAACACTGCGGAGGGCAACACATCACTCTGCGGATGCTTGCCTGAAAGATGCCGAAAGATGCCGAAAGATGCTGAAGGATGCTGAAAGCGTATATTATGTAGATGGTGCTATTTGACCTCTTGATACATTTTACATTATTTACATTTGGATATCCTTTGTAGGCAGTCTTTGCAGAACGTACTTTAGTTGAACCTTGCATTCGGCAAGTTTTGCTTTTGCTGCTGTTGTGATGATTTGGATTGACACTGCGTCGGTGCATGGCACCTCGCACCGGTTGAAGGGCCACTTTCATTCCTGGTGAAGCTAAGGTCATTCAGTGGCAGCACCCGCCTTTCACTGACGTGCCGGTGGATTCTTTTTCCTTCCGCCATACCACGTGACCAAGCTGTGACTAAGGAAAGCTGCCTCGACAGGGCTTTGTAAGAACTATGGAGATATGATTGCACAGGGATAAACAATGATAAACATCTTGCGATAAGAAATGATGGTTGCTTTCATTTGCTCCCAGAGCACCCTTTGCTGTAACAAAATGTCACAAACTTTGGACTGAATTGGAGTTTTGCAGGGTCGAGGTTCACTAAACAGGAGAACTGGTTCGGTGACCATAGGTGACCAATATGGTGACCAAGATTGACCAATGTTGCTGGCTCCCACCAGGCGGGCTCCCACAACACATCTCACAGGTCTGCTGACTGGAGCAACGAAGTGGTCGAGATCACGGATGTGTCGCCCAGTTTGTCGCAGTATGTCATCCCTGGCTTGCGCCCTGGGCAGGTCGGGACGATTCTGGACGGCTGAAATGGACATGTGAATGCTTGTACAATCTTGTGCAATCTTGTGCAATCTTGTACATTCTTGTACGTGTATCCATACGTAGCATTATGTATCCTACTCGTGGTGACTGGTAACTGGTAGTTTATTTTATTTTTTTTCTCTCAAGGGTGTCATAGTTGCATGAGGTTGCCACAAGCCATTTGTTGAAGAGTCCCCTGAGCCAGGTGTACATTTTCCAGGTGCGGGCAGTGCACCCTGGCAGCACACAGCTAGAAGGGACTTCAAGAGCCACATGTAGCGTGGATGGACACACCCAATATGGCCCATATGGGTTGAAAGATGATGATAGTGACTTTTGTCTGAGAATTTCCCTGACTGGACCAACGCAAGCTACTATGAATTCAAATGGATTCCAGTCCTCAATGCCTACATTATCTCGGTACTTCAAGTGTTGGTATGGGACGGTCATTATGTCCCTAAGTCCTCCGTTGCTAAGTTGCTTGTGAGCTTAAGGAATCGATATGGCATGGGTATTTGGAGTGAGAGCAGCATCCCCATCCGAACAACTGATGGACACATCCCTGCGAAGATTGAGACGCTGAAAGCCTCTGATGTCTACAAGTCTTTCATGCGACTCAAGCGGCCCGGCAAAGCTGTGACAGGTTGCATTTGCAGGTGCTGGCATGATTTCAGGCATGTCGGATGATGTGGGATGTTGAGGCCACATAATCGCATCATTTTGATTTTACATGATTTTACATTTTCTAGTGGAAGAAATGCAGTGCAAGTTGATGTCAGATTTCTAAATAAAGTGACTTCAGCCATCTTCAGCCTACTCACACACATACACACACACACACGATCATATATATATATATATACAGTATACTCATACCAGGACCTGTCAATGTCAAGGAACCGTAGCTATCTGTAGCTCAGGTGGTCTCCAGTTGACGAGAATGGATATCCAATTACTGGTTACCTTCTCCGATATGCACACGCTGAAGACATGGCTGACGCAGTGGAAGCGGTGCCTACAGTGGTGCTGACCTGAGCAGCCAAAAGGAGATGGTAGGAAAGCTGGCGCTGTGAGCGCCAAGCAAAGGCTGCAACACGTTTGAAACATTTAAACATCATTAAACACATGAATAATATTACATTAATATTTCAAAGTTGTTAGATCAGTTAGATCTTGAACTTTTCTCGGATCCCATTGAGTTTCCCCTCGAGCTTCCCAATTCTGTTGTTTGAACATGCCAGCAGGGCGAGGCAGCCACGAAAACTTTGTTGCATTTGCTTGAGCAATTGTCTTTGACACTCTCAGTTGTGACACGGTGACGTATGACGTGATGTGGTGTGCCATGTCTGAGGTCAGAGACAACGGCTGTGACAGTTGTGACATTCGACATTTGCGGAAGCTGAAGTACTACTTCCAGGCATCCGACAGCGATGCCATGACAACACATATAGGGCCAGCCCCGGGCCACGGGGTGAAGACCTGGTCGGATCAGATTGTGACTACTCAATCTTCGACTTTTGGTTTCACTCGTTTGCCAAAGTAGTTTTAAGAAATGTACTAGATAAATTAGATAAGAACAGTTGAATTCAAGTTTTGGTACGCAAAAATTGCAAACGAGCACAAAACCAAGATAACCAAAAAATCGAGCACCTTTTTCTCTAGGCTCATGATTCTCATTTGTTCGCCGATTTGCTCCTTTGGAATTGTTTTGAGACAAGTTGGGTTTACAATTCATTACAATTCAAGTTTTCTGACGTTTGGAACTGTTTACCAACATGCCCTTGAAAGATGCGGCTGACGCTGACGTGATAAGTGTGTACATCCTGGATCATCCCATATCATCCCCAAGCTGCACCATTGTGACCTTGTACTGGATGGCTGCATGTTGCTAACTTGCAACTCCTGTTTGTGAAACTGGAAAAAATGTGAAACGGTGCTCGCGCGAAACGGGCGCAAAATTCCGCGAAACGAGCGCAAAAATCCGCAAACGAGGGCAAAATCAAAACCTGTTCAATTGGATGTCTTACTTTAGCATTTTTTTGACAACTTTGCTTTGCTTCATATCACGTGGATGGAACCGCACAGTCCATCATTGCATCGCATGACATTTTGGTGATCATGCATGAACCAATCATGAACTCCATGCATGGAAGCTGATGACATCCATGACACTGCAGCACTTCATCGGACAGAAGCATCTATCGATCATGCATCCCGCATCCCCATGAAAAGACATGGAAACAACCATACACTTTAGAGGTTCTTGGTATTTCTTGGTCATATTCTTGGGCATGCATGTTTGTTATATATTTACATGGCATACATTTTTTCATCTTTATATCATATGACAATGCCTATACTAGACCTTCGTTGGCACACAAGAATCTCGAGCACATTTTTTGGGACCCAGGAAACGAGCAGAAAAAGTTGAATTGAGCAGAAATAAAGTGGTACACATTTTTCTGTACCAAATGAAGGTCTAGGATTCTAGGATATATATATATAATATATATATACATAGTATAATAATAATATATATATATATATATTATATGGGTAAATTATAACGACCTCACTGCGACCTCACTGGAATCATGGTTAGTAAGGGAAATCATCCCCAAATGGCCTTAATTCAGGTTAGTGAAATATTATAATTTACCCAGTTTAATATATATAGATATAGTTTTATAATTTTGGAGAGAGAGAGAGAGAGAATTCTATGTCTATAGTGTTTGATCTTACTCGTACTGTCCTTGCACGCTTGGCAGAGTCAGAAATGAACGATGGCTTCGTGTGTTGGAAGGCTGCAGCAATCAACCAGTTGGGCATGGCAGAGTGGAGCAACGTTGTGCTTGTGGATATGATGCATGGCACAATGCTTTGCATTGTTCACGGGGTGTTAGGTTCGGGGTGTTGGTCCTCTCTAGTGACTAGTGATTTCGTTCAACACACTATCAACTTGCCTGCACTCATGTCATAGAGGAGATTCAAACTTAAAGTGCTATGATTGCCAGTGGGCAGCTTTGGGTGTGCACATTGTCCATTTTCCCCCAATAGAGACTGACTGACTTACAGTGGAAGCCCATCTGTGTCTTTGTTCAAGAACACTGCAAAGACATAAACGTAATGCCTTTTCCTCAGCTGGAATCCGCTAGAGGGTGCTATGTATCGAGAAGAAACCAGTCAAAAATGGAGGCAAATGCTACTGCATGTGCTGCATACATCTGCATACTGCATAAAGAGGATTTGCAGAGACAGCCACTGCCTTGCCGTCCCAGGAGCACATGAAGCTGAAGGCCTGCAACAGATAAAACGAGACTTTGCAACCCAGCGATCTGCCGGATAGTAACCCTCTTTGTCTCAAGCGCAGGTTCTAGACTTTGTAGAAGTGGATCATGTGGTGGCAAGACATAAAAACACAAGAAGAGCGTGGCAGGTCACCTCAAATGAGGTGTCTTGTGGTGACATTGTGAGACCATCTAATTCATGCGAGGATTCTGGATATCATCCAGGTTCGAGCTGTTTCAGGGAGTTTCTGGATGACTTAATAACTTCTCTCCACTTCCGTAGGGAGTTCAACACCAAGTCAAGGTTTGACAGGGTCAAAGTTTGGAACCTTTTGGCCTTTTGGACCCGAGTCATAGCATGACCATACTGGATGGACCACTGACCACGACTTCCCCTTCTTGCACATGCACGTTCTCTGATCGTTTGGTGTATACTGCTTGAACTGTTTGATATAATTTGAGATAATTTGAATTTGAATATTTCCTGCTTTTTACTATCCTTTACTTGCAGATGGCTCGGACAACTTCCCTTCAACTCCAGAAGTTTCGGCCTTGTGTTCAGTGTTGTAGAGCACGACTGAATTATCTGAATTGGGAAGCTCCTTGAACCTCCAAACTTGTCGTGTGCTGTTGCTGAAAGTGTTGCTTTGATAAGTTCATTTCACATTCCCTTTTGTTGCGCTTGAAGCAACTCGGAGTTGCAAGTAGAAGGATGAAGATAACATGAGTCAATACAGATCAATACAGCATTGCTACATGCTATGGGTGTTGCGGCGGCCGCAAACACCAGTTCTTCATAGTTCTTCTGTTACTTCTAAGATTGGCACCTTCCAGGCAACGGACAAGTGACTCAGTTTTAACTCACAGGACAGTAACTCAGTAGACGGGTTCAACTTGATAACTGCAGTGCCAGATGAATGAGGATGGTTTGATGTGGTTTGCATATGTTTGCATCTACTGTCAGCAAAGAGTACATGACTGTGGTGTCACAAATCTGCTCACCGAAAAGCGGTGAACGCGGATCGATGCCCCTGGTGAGCCCAGTGGTAGGCCAAACATCTGGGAGCAGTAGAGGCGAAAAAGGTAATTGGATGTAATATGATGTAATTGGAAAATATCATGAAATCTATTGAAATCTCCTAACATCTCCTAATGTAGTATCCAGTTGTTGCCTTAAGGCGGCCGAATGTGACATCTCGTGCGTGTTCTGGTGCTACTCTATGCAATCCAGATGCTTATTGCATATTACCATTCATCTATCGGTTGGTGGTCAATGGTGCGCATTCAACTTGAGACAAGTTTCTAATTATATAACCCTTTTTCTTGTTTGACATACGCGCACATACACACCCAGATAGCTATTAAGAAGGACGGAGTGAAAGGGTGCCGCTTAGGTGCCGCTTAGGTGCCACACATTGGTTGTCCTTTCCAACAGTAGACATGACATTTGCCGTTGGAAGGTTGGATGTGGCCATGCCCAGCCTTTACAAAGCTGAGGCTGGAGCTTTCTCTTCGGCCAGCGCCAAGGCGAAAGGCACGTATTGCCGCGCCCGTGCACATACTAGAGCATGCCAAGCCAAGCATTTTTAGGGATTGCTCCTGAAGGTCTGGAAATGACTTGACCTTATTTTCTAAGGTGACAACTTGACCTCAACTTGACCTAAGGGGAAGAAATTTGAGTGGAAAGAAATGGTAAGACACTGACTATATTCAGGAGTTGGGGAGTTGATGCATTGAACATCATTGAACCCTACGGGACCCTACATGTTCTACCAGCTCTTCAGATCCAGGCAATGGCTCCACCTCTAGCTCCAAAAAGCTGAGTGCCGAGGTTGGGGCTGTGCTGTCATAGAACTACCGTGAACTGCCTGTGCCATCCTATGCCAGGAGCTAAGGGAGAAAGGAAATGCATTCTTTAGACTCTTGGCTGCAAACTTTTGAAAGACATGCTCATTTCCACAAGATCCACAAGTCACAAGTCATTCTCATCTTGGTATTCTTTTGAACCATTCCAACCAGACAATGACCAGGAGAACTTTGACTCTGCATGTGTTCAGTAGGTGGCTTTTGGGTGTAGCTTTGAGAAAGCGGGGAGCTCCGTTGCAGAACAAACGCTGGAGTTGCGCATCACCATGGTAATAAATGATCAAACCGTTACAGTGTTACAGTAGCAGTAGCATGCTGATAAAACGCAGGAGCTGTTTTGTCGTATAGTACTGCATATCTGACACTGTATGATTTGTAATATTGTCTTATTTGCATGTATATACGTCCTGTCATGTCCTGTCAAAGCGATAAACATTTGAACTGCACAAAAAGGCAGGCCCTAACACTTCCAAAAACTCAAGAGTCATGAATGCTGAAATGTAATGAAATGTAAGCATTTGGTTTTTCATACACGGGTTATTTTGGATAGATATGATATGATGTATATATGATATATATATATGGATATGGATATGTAATAGAGATATCCAATTTCGATCTTTTACTTGGTGGAAGCCGGAGGTTCTGCCACGTGACTCCTGGATCTCAGGAGACGGTGCTCACTCGAAAGCTGTGCGTGCTTACGATGAGGCAGTTGACCCGGTCGTGAAAGTGTCGGATTGAGACTGAGGAAACATGAGGAAACATGAGGAAACATGAGGAAACATGTAAAGATCATGTAAAGATCATGTAAAGATCATGTAAAGATCATGTAAAGTTAAGATCATGTAAGTCATGTAAAGGATCTTGCTTAAACAATTCGCGCCTGTTCCGTCTGGCAACCCCCACTAGCCCCACTGTTCCAGGCCATTCGCGCAAACCCTTCAGACGAGCGATGTGTGGCACTCAGCAAATCCAGATTTTGCTTCTCCCACAGCAGATCTATTGGAGAGAGCAAGGTTTTCCTCTCGCGCAAGTGATTCCTGGGACTGCCAACAGATGAACGATTGAGTCCTTCACAGTCACATCCTATGTCTGGAAATGGTAGAGGCTGTAACAAATGATTTCATTGCAGCAGCGGCTGCCTACAAGGTTGTGGTTCTTTCCAAAGTTTTATTTTTGTTATTCATACATATATCATCACCACACACACACACACTATATATATATATATATTGATCTATCTATCTATCTACCTAGCTAGCTAGCTAGCTAGCTATCTACCTACCTAGCTAGCTAGCTAGCTATCTATCTATCTATCTATCTCTCTCTCTCTCTCTTTCTCTCTATCTCTCTATATTTGTATGTGTATGCCAAGGCTACTCACAGCGTTCCTTGGTGATTGTAGACAGTTTCTGTTGGAATGCTGCTGTGGATTCCATTGCAGTCGTGATCAGTGACTGCCTGGTGGATTCACTCCCCGATTTGGATCGGTGCTTCTGTCGACAGTCTATTGTAATCATGGAACATTGCCTCAGGCTGGGCCAATCGCGCAGCAGCTGAGCCTCAGATTTTCGGAGCATGCATTAGGATCTGATGCTTGTAGTCAGTAGCCATCGCACATGCCAATCGAAATCAATCAACTATAGACAGATTATACAGTCTAGGAATTATTCTTTCTAGATTAATTGATTCACGCTTGCTGTGGCTTGACATTCATTGACAAGCAGTTGTTGCAGTAGCTGTCGAGTTCTGCTACGTGTTTGCACCCCAAGGTATAAACACAAGCATGTTCTTATATGTTCTTTCATGTTGCACTTCATTTGGAGTCGAGCCAAGATATCGGTGTGATGGCTGGAGAGTGGAGCCAGGCGCAGATGGCAATGCTGGCAGAGTTTGGAAGAGGATTATCGCCTGCTGCTATGCGTCACCAAGCACAATTGGTTTTGCAGTGTCGCAGTGTGTCGCAGTGTGTCGCAGTGTCGCAGTGTGTTGCAGTGTAGTTATTGCGTGGCTGCATTGCATCTTGTTTGATTGCTTTCACGGTTTCCTGCAAGAGAAGTTCAAGACTTCCAATCGTAACTGAAACATACTTAAGTGTTACTTAAGCCGTAAACGGATTCAGAAATAGTTCCTCAATGCTGCCATTTTTGACAATGCTTTCTCTATGCAGTACTGTGCCACCCCACACTGACAGAACTCACTGCGGAAGACAAAAGTTTCAATTTGGATAACCGAATTACAGTAACCGAGGCACAAACCCCTACTACACAAACTCCTTGGATGACTTGAAGCAGAGCTTGAAGCTGGATCCAAAGTACATCAAGGCTTGCAATGATTGGATGTGCTTGGCAAGAACGTTTTCTTCGCATGCATTACCAAGCTATCCCTGCTTTGCTGATGAGCATTGCCGCATATCAACAATCAACGGAGCTCCCCAGTCGCTGTCATTCAGCAACATACTGCCGCGTATCACCTTTGAAGTTTCCAAAGTCCAAGTAGCCCAAACCAGGTAACCAGATCCTGAAGAAAATCGATGCATTGAGGATCTGTCCAGTTCTGGGCTGCGGGTTCTGTGCAGGCTTGGGCTCGCCTTGGGCAGCTTCACACCATGGCTTCAGAGGCCCACAGAAGACCACTTTGGACTTTGGACTTTCTCTATTTTCGCTTCGCAAGAAGTTCAAACCAGAATCAGAACCGGGACGAAGTTGGTATTTACTTTCAATGCTCATGCATTGCTTATCCATCTCTTGGGTGCTACTCAAAACGACTTGATGGGAAGATTGTCAGGAGTTTTTTTTTTGTTTTTTCATTGCCACTATGGCAGAGATTCCATCGCCCAGTTCTCCGAAGCTGTGGCAGCGTATGACAACGGGCTGGCGCTGGACCCACAGCGCAGAGGGCCTAGTGCTGGCTTCGAGCCAAAGACACGGATACAGCACCCCCTCTTTGACATGACTTAGACTTTCTGCTGCAATTCTTGCCATGTTGCATCGATTAATATCGATTAATACATTCAGAGGCCCTCCCCTGCAACAGTTTAAAGATGACTTTAGTATACTTTAGTACTGACAGACCAACATAGACCAACGAAGATAAGCACCAGGAAACGAAACACCAATTTGCAACACCCAGCCCTGCTATGAATCAGACCTGCGTCCTTCGTGGCCCAGTTTGGGGCACATGCTTATTTTCGATGGTTAGGTAGTGGTGTGCCGTTTTTTTTTTTTTGTTTGTTGCCCCTAAAAATAGACTGGAAGCGTGGAACCCTGGAACCCTGAAACCTGCTGTTGGGTTGCAAAGCTGGGTTATTTTTATCCTATTTTGATTTATTTTCAGTGCCACTTGCTGTGCAACATTGAGCAAAACATTCGTCGTTCCTTGTCCGCTGCACCTAAGATCCTGATTGCCTTGCCGGCAAGCGTGCTTGTGAGGGGCGGTAGTAGTGAACTCTAAAGTGTGAGTTCTCAGCTTGTAAGAAGACGGAGCAAAAAGGGTAACCGTACTTTAATGATATGAATGCAACGTGAGCTGTCAGATCCAGTCATGACTTGTCCTGTAAGTCAGCCTTGACCACTGCATTCTCACAAAATATTTCAGGACTTCTCTGCAATTCCCAGCATTTGGCACGTTTGGTAAACGCAGCAAGCTGGACAACAACGAGTTTCAGTAAATTTAAATCTGCCGCAAGTCCAGTGCTTCTTTTTTTGTTCCCAGCAGCAAAGCAATTGGTCCGCTTGCAGGGCCCCACAAAATGTAAGAGGGAAACGGAAGATTGATCAAAAATGCACTAAAGCACTTGGGAACGGTCAACTATGTGGCCATACAGTATGTGGCCATACAGTATGTGGCCTTGAAGTCTAGCTAAGTGAAGACCATTCCTTTTGTACATTGATTACATTTTCGCACACTTGAGGCATGCATTTCCACCGGCAGCTCATCTGAGCTCAAAGCAAACCAAGAGTCCAAGAGCCGTTTCTGTTGCGTGCCTCGTTTCTTTGAGAATGGCAGATGTTGCAGTGACAGTCGAGGGTCCAGCTGTCGCAGCCGGGATGTCTGAAGCTGAAGCAGCTCAAAAGATCCAAAAAGCCTCCAGGAAATCAAGCGGCTCAGATGAGAGCATAGGCAGGGAGATCTCTATCGTGAGCTTGTCGGGTGAAGTCATCTTTCAGGCGGTTTGCACTTCGGACTTGACAGTTTCTTGACGCCGAAGCGCAAAATTTGGAGGTTCTTTCTATGAACACACACGCGCGCGTATGTATGCGTATAATTGCGCGTATATGTATATATATATGTATATTAACCCATTGATATATATATATATGTATATATTATATTAACCCATTATGCATGTGTATTTGACACATAGTGTAAACGCACGGTACCCATGTAGCTATATACATATATGCGCACTTCATATCATTCATGCATTTATTTGTTGGGACTCTTTAGGATCTGGGTTTACGTTGTATTCTGTAGTATCTGATATTCCATTCAGTCCTTCCTTTGGAACTTCTTTGAGTCAACATCGCTTGCAGTTACGTTCATGACATTTGCCTTCATTGAACTTACCATGGATAGGGTCAGACATTTTGGGCTGAAGTTATCAAAGCTTAGACGGGCTGAAAAGGAACAAGCGGCATTCCAGCTGCACTGAACCGAGGTTCTCAAACTCAAACATCAGATCGCTGAAGCTCAGAATATCAAGAGCTAGGAGGTCCACCTCAGCTCCTCACGAAAGCTAGCAAATCATGAGCTCATCAAAGATGTGGGAGAGGACCAGGATGAAATAGGATGAAATCTTGAAACGGTTGAAAGATTTGAACCATGTTTCTTGATTATTTCTTATATCTTATCATAGCTTGTTTTTTATGTTCTTACCTAGTCCTACCCATGGGTTCTAGGCATGGTACAAGAAGGTGCGTTTCGCATGAATATCAGGACATTTTGACCTTCACCCGTGTGGACTACGTTTCCACTTTGCACCATGCAGCCAGCAAGATTGGCGGGGCCTGGAAACGGCATCGCTAGAGAGGAGACATCAGCAATGATGTCCCTTCACATGGACCTGCTAGCTGCGAAACCCAGCGCATGACTGAGTATGTATTCGACTCGGCCAGAGTTGGTAGTGCGAGATGTGGCGAACATGCTGCACTTTGAAGCAATTACAATCCAGATACTGTATGATACTGTTTATCCCTGTGGCAAGTGAACAAAGCTGAGGGACCTTGTCTCCTTCTTGCAAGCCCTACCCTGTACAGTTTCAGAGCACTATGCAAGCAGCGAAAAACAGTCCTTTACTGAGCTGGCAGGAGCTCAAGACTTTCTCTGAGAATGGTTGGCAAATGTTGAAACTTTGACTGAGAGAAAATAATGGGCTTTCATGATCTTTCATGTGCAGCGCTTCGAATGTCTTGCAGTATCCTTGGGCAGTTGCTAAGTGTGTACTGATCGAGCTCGGTGACGTGTGCCAATGTACTACTCAAAGTTACTTAACGTTATATAAATGAATCTTACATCAATGGAGCAAAGAAAGAAAAGAAAAGAAAGAAAGAAAGAAAGAAAGAAAGACAGAAAGAAAGAAAGAAAGAGAGACAGAGAGAGAGAGAGAGAGATATAGAGAGAGAGAGAGGGGTGAAAGTGAACTTGGTGGCAAAGGTAATGCCTTCCGCCTGTCTCCGCTTGCAATGCAACTCACGAGTCAAATGTGTGCCTGATTGGTTCCAACAGCGAAATGTTGTTAGGATGCTGCCAAGGGAGGGCATCAGCAGGTGCCTCTGTGGTCACATTTTGTTTGCTTTGGTTGGAACATGTTGGAACTTGGAACAGCAACCATCATGGGCAGGAGGCCAAACATTTCCAAAGCGCCTCAAAGATTTTGATCATTTTGCAAGCACAGGGCCAAACCGGCCTTCAAGATCCTAAGAATGTATATTATTATATATTATTATCGATATTACTATCTATCTATCTATATATATTATTATATATATGGTGTATGATGTCCTTTGCAGATGTTTGCGGCGTCGGGAACTCTGGCCTGCGAGGCGCGGGCCGAGCTCGTTGCCGCGCAGTACGCAGGATCCTCAGCTGCAAAACATTGTCGTGCACCTGATGTAATATGGTGTAATAATATTATATGGCGTAATTACATTCGAAGCCCCGGAGCAAGGTGGTAAAATTTCGTAAGAGCCTTCTGCTTTCGGTAATGATTTACCCCCCAACCACAGCCAACCACATGCCATCTGTCAGAGACATCCAGAGACTGTCAGAGGCAGTGACGTACCGGAGAGATCCCCATGTCTTCTTCTGCGCGGCTGAAATACCGAGTGGTGAAGTGCAGCTCCGAGGAGCCAGTTATCCCAGCGAAATGAACAAGATGGACCCCAAAGACCAAGAAGTAAGAGATGTAAAGAATCACACAGCAGTCAAGTGATTCAAGGACAAGCAGTTGGAAAGAGGTGGGACGAGTCACCGAACCCAGTTATAAAATTTATATATACACTTTCATACAAATTTATAACATTTTAATACCTTTTATAATGCACAATAATACATATTTGATTACAAGATGTTTCATGAGGGGAGGATGGGTCCTAGTGCATTTCGTCGCAGGACCCAGAGTATCCAGTTTCTGAACTTCTGACCCACTCCAGCCAGACGAAGGGCTGGCAAACTGCACGCTTCTGCGATTTCCCGCAGGCAGCCCTGTCCGATCATTGCATCACCGTGAAAGCTTGGTTGCATGTGAATTGGCACAGACAGACATTATGATATCTCGTCATTTGCGAAGAGCAACACGCAACAAGCTGCCACAATGATCATGATCATGGTAATGGTGTGGAGAAGGAGGAGGATGTGAGGAGGTTGGGCGGAGGATGGAAGGAGAGTGAGATACTTGTAGTGATGGTGATGGCGATGAGAAACAGGAAGATGGGAGGAGGGTCAGGGCGTAAGCTGTTGGGGAAGGTTTGGTAGAATGAACCATACCTTAAACAAACCACAGTGCCAGCTAGCAGCCTGTGCAGGAGATAGGGTTGCAGTTTGAGACCCCGGTGCACTTGCGGCAGGCGTGGAGACCATTTCAAAGGGGATAGTTCCGTGCCAGAAGTATTTGAAAGAGAAGTGACAGACCTATGGCATGGGGACCAGTCCTGCTAGCCAGGCTTCTTGCAATCCTCGCTCATTGTCGGAATTCTTGACCACTTGTTCTACATTTTGCCTTTATGTCAGCATCATCACCATGTTCATGTCAAACATTGTCAATCATTTGAGCCAGATACGATACTAAGAATGCTCCTACGCGTTAGGCTGGTTTGTTCCTACATTGGGCCTGTTTTGATCTGTTTTGCCTTCCCAAGATGCAGTTTAGTTGTCCTCCATTCTTCCAGCGTGGGCCTGGTACTGGAGACCAACCGTGACATCTCTCAGCCTTTCTGATATGTTTCTGATATGTTTCATTGGTTCCCTGGGCTGAGACAAAGCAAGTTGGCAACATGCTCAGCACTGGACGGGTTTGGTTGTTGGATGTTGTTGGCATGAAAAGCTGCCGGGTTCTGAGCCATGCCGAGCCATGGCGCTCTTCACAAGCCATTCACCGAAGAGCTGGTTCTCTACGACCCCGAGTTCTTCAATTTTGCAGATCACATTGTACGACTGGTGCAAGGATCGCCTCGGGCTGCCGGGCCAGACCAGAAACCTGTGGTCCAATCCAATGAGCCAGCTACACCAGCTACAACAGCTACAATCTTGCAAAATCTTCACCACCACTTTCCAAATCAACGGCCGAGACTTCAGTCACCCTTGATTCAAGATGCAGAGTTCACCAAGCTGTACCACGATTTCGTTCGACAAGTGGTCAGAAGCAACTTTTCACAACTTTTTCTTGCTTTGGCTATTTTTTTTGCTTGGTTGAAACATGTTGAAACTCAGAAAAGAGGTCTCAGACTGTGGTGATTTGTAGCGCGATATTGTGTGCAGTAGCATTTTTCAGCAGCTTGCAGGAATCGGCTTCAAAATGTCGCGGAAATTCCTGGACACTTTTTGATTCATGTTCATTATAGTCACCAATTAGATCTAATTAGTCACTATTTGAGGGATGTTCCAAGACAGCCCTCAATTGCCTGCACCAAGGCAACCTAGAAGAAGACATGTTGATTTTTGAGCACTGCCCGAATCTGCGGATTCACCTGGCCGGTGAAAAATCTTTGACTTCACCGCATACAGACAAAGATCATCAGCACTCAGAAGCAGAGATGCTTGGAGTTACTGTATATGATACAGTATAAATCAGTAGAAAACCATATAATATAATGTATATATATATATAATATAATATATATATGCATATGTGGGTATAGTCTGATTAAGAGCTCTTTGCAGTGTTTGAGAACTTGTCGTCGAATTCATAGAAGTTGTCCGCATTTGCAAGAAGTTGTGCACGTTTCACAGAAGTTGTGCACGTTTCACACGCCCCCTAATAACGTTCGTGTTCGACTGCTGTGGAATGGACGGCTCTCATTGGGGGCTCTTAACCAGACTATCCCGATATATGTATATGTATAACGATGGCATCCAATCATTTTCCGAACATTTTATCATGTGAATGCTTTTCATGCCCATATAGCAACAAGAAGAAGAAGAAAAAAAGGAAGAAGAAGAAGAAGAAGAAGAAGACAAAGAAGAAGAAGAAGAAGAAAAAAGAAGAAGAAGAAGAAGAAGAGGAAGAAGAAGAAGAGGAAGAAGAAGAAGAAGAATTACGACAACAATAACAATTACAGACCAATAATAAAAAGAACACTAACACTAACACTAACAAGAACAAGAACAGCAACGACAGCGACAACAACGACAACAGCGACAACAACGACAACAACGACAACAAAACAACCACAACAACAACAGCAGCAGCAGCAGCAGCAGCAAGAGCAAGAGCAAGCAACAAGCAACAGCAACAGCAAGCAACAAGCAACAGCAACAGCAAGCAACAAACAACAAACAACAAGCAATAAGGACAATAACAACCACAACCCCAACGACAACAACATGATCATTCACCTTAGTGTGCAGAGCTTTTCCGTCTTGGCAAGCTAGTGATGTTGGACGTTGAAGACCGGAGGCCTTCCCATTGTTGTGTCCCCGTTGCCTTAGACGGGCCTTGAACACAGATTGTTACGGTAGGAGTTATCTCACGATGCACTGAGTTCTTCTATGTTCTACTCACGTGTTGGGTTGCTCAGCTGAGGATAAACTTCTGGGTTCCGTTAACGTCATGCTTTGGGGACGCGAGCCTTTGGGCTGAATCCGCCCCGGGCAAAGGGAACTTCCATCCGTTTGAAGTGGAACCTGGGCAGGCTGTGCGCTTCTATGGGAACCAGTGTCTACACTTCACCAGTGGCTTGCAGAAATGATCGAACATGCTTTGGTTGGACACAGTACATGAATATACATGAATTAGAAATTGAAAAGAATGGAGGATGGTGAAAATGGCCGGGGATGGCGCTGCGAGCCGAGGAGACAACAAAACCGACTCTTCCCGTGTCTCCTTCGATTTCCGGGCGATTCGCATGCGAGACTTCCACTGGTCGCAAGTGCCACCGCCTGGGGATCCACGGGCCAATGAGGTTCGGTGGAGTATCCTGGACGCTTTGGTCTTTGGATGTCTTTGGACAAGGTTGGGGAGGATGTTGCATCGGGATGCATCGGGATCATCGGGGAACATGAGATCGCCATTGCATGCCATGGGAGTTCTCTGACCGAGGCATTTTTGCATACTACGATGTCATGGTGGCAGATGGCTCCATTTTGACCAGCCCTGAAGAGTGGGAGGAACGAGTGGTCCCTACTCGGCATTTGGCAGGAGAACATGCATTCCTTGGAAAACATGGTTGGCTTGTGTGGTGCTGAGCACTTGAGGCTCGCCCTGATGCCTATCACCAAGTTCAAACAAAGTTCGAACAGTTCAAACATGTGACGGTGCCGATGTTCTTATGGGTTCCTAAGGTCCCAGCGCTTGGTCAAAGGAAACTTGCTGAAGAAGTCCCTCCAGCGCTTGGTGCAGGTGCGTTATGGATCGTCATGGTGCGTTGGATCTTGAGGGCTCAGATTGTGAATATCGCAGTAGCATGGTAACATATGGTAATATGATGTAATATGGCGGTATCCCGCCTCATCATGGGATGGCAACATCAGTGCAAATCAATCTATAATTACTGAACATCATGAATACATCATGAAGCTGCATTTCGCTTTGAGAGTGAGGTATGGAATCACAAAGTTTAAACCGGATACTACTGTGACATGCCAGATTCCACAGTATGTGGTGCTAAACCAATGCCACTATGATATTTGCATCGTAGACGCAGTCGGCAAGCGTGCAGCCATTTCATTGAAGGCAAAAAGATGCAACGGGATGTGGGATGTTGTGGCAACTTTTTTTTTAATGGTTTGCCGTTGGCCTTTCGCCGCCTTCCGCCAATTCATGCCAGTTCCATATGGCGATCAACCAGCACCAGCATCACCAGCTCGCCGAGCACAGCGCTCGCCGTCTCCAGAGCACGTGGCCGCTTGTGGGCTGCGCTATGGTTCGCAGCGAGAGGCCCGGCGGCACTGCGCCCGCTGCGGATGGATTGCCAACCGGCGGAGGTGAGGAATGGTATGAAATGGTATGGTGGGGGCATTTGAACCTACAACGGTGGTACGAAATATTGCAAGTACTTTCGAATTCCATCTTTCATTTCACATGGAGGGTGATGAAACATTGTTCATACCAGCGTGTGTGCGCCTTGAGTGATCTTCCGCTGTGGTGAGGCTTCTAGATGTCCTTTGTTTCTCCGACTCCGCTGGTGCGAAACGGCCTTGGATCATCGAAAATCCGGAGCCATTGGGCAGGTTGTTGCTGGTGTGATTAGTGATGGTGAGTTGAGGCATGTCAAGGTGACATCATGAAACATGACTGCGGAGGGGATAGCGAGCCATGTCAAACTTTACATTTGGAAGATTCTGTACTTCAGTAATCTTAAAGAAGACTTGGATCTAGCAGATCAATTGTCTTTAACGCTTGAAACATCTTTAAAGACTATATATATATTATTATACATTATATCTAGACACATATGAGTAACCAACAACCAACAAAATTATTGTAGTACAATTCAGTCTTGCTTCGCCTTGGCCTTGCTGGCACGTGCTGGCCTTACAGCTACCCGGCCATGGCAGGACCTCTCCCAGCCGTGGGGGCTTGGATGTGAGATTTGCGTAGCGGCACGGGCCCAAAATGTTGGAAGCGCCATGGCGCTTTGCTCGGCATTCGCGGACCTCTCCTTCGGGGCAGCTGTGGCTGTCATGGCGGTCATATGCGGTCATGGGTTTATGTTTTGATGGATGACATGGATGCTAGATTGCTAGATGATGCTAGATGATGCTAGATGATGCTAGATGATGCTAGATGATGCTAGATGTTCGTTTCACGTTTTCACTTTATTTTCTCACTTTGCGGGTTGACCGTTGCAGTTACTCTGTCTTACATTTCTTGTGGCAGCCCTTCACGGAGCAGAAAATAACCTCATGCCTTAAGTATCCTTAAGTGATCAGTGGGATCGAGGTGTCAATGCCCGGCCTGCTTTTTCAGCCCTTACTGCGTCATGGCAACCATGCCATGCGACAAAGTCCAGTGAAAGGACAAGTGATCGTACAGCAGGATATGGAGTGACTGGTCTTTGATTCAGTTGAGGTGGAATCAGTGCAGCTTCAGTTTATCTGGAATTCTTTATTGATTGTTTATGACGTGGATTCTGCCTGTACTTACCAGTGCGCTGACGTAGGTCATGATGGGAATAGCCTGGACATTTGCAGCCGGAGCTCCAAATTTCAACAGCTAAGGCATGCGGCTGCCCAGCAAGCCGTCCTCGAGGGTAGCCTCGTGTTGGATCCACCCGTGACCGTCAGCGCTGAAGAAAAGAAGAACAGCTCCGCGTCGGGATAAGGACCATCTATGACATGATACGATATACATCGATATACAGTATACATAATAATACATAATATATGATATTTATAACATTTATAACTATACATAGCTATGACTGCCAGGTGTTGGAACTCGGGTATTGGACATTCTCAGACTTGTGCTAGTTCGATCCATTTTTCAGTGGTATACCGTGTGTAATTTAGTGTAAGGACTGGATGCGAGACTGTTTGGCCGTTTGGCCTATTTTTAGACCTGTGTGCAGGTCCAGTTCTTATCTCACCAGAGCAAGCCGCTTGGAGGCACTGACTGTAAGCATGCGAGTGCTCTGACTCAGTTTTGCTTTCAGCTGCTTACCTTGACTTGAGCTGATGATTCAAGATGATTCAAGCTTTGGCCTGTTTTGACCTGCTGCAGCCCAGATCTTCATGTTTTCACTTTGTTTGGCTTTGCGGCATGGCTCCAAAGGCTTCATCATGGGTCATCCTGATCTCATTTAATCTCACAGGTAATACGAGATCACATACATACGCATACATATTATGGATCCGCATAATATAATACTATGATTATAATTATATATTATATTTATGTATGCGTGTATATTTTGCATACAGCATAATATGCATACGAAAAGTCGATCATCTGAGTCACGTCTTTCTTTGACTTGGCCATGTCCTTGAGCTGCTCGCCTGAGGATCGCCACCAAGATCGACCTCTACACGGCCTTGCCAACTGGAGGTCCGCGTGTATCAGGGCCGAAGGATGACACAATATGAGCCAAACGTTTACACATGTTTTTTACATGTTTACGCATGTTTACACTTGTGATCAAATGTCAGGGGACATAAGAATACATAAGAATCATAAGAAACATTCGATGCAATGGAACTGCTCTTTCACTCATTTTCGGATGCCTTCGTTGGTCTATCTTGGTCATGCGTCCAGGCGATGCAAGCTATGACTCGGTGAGTTTTAAAAGGCGACGCGTGGCCTTGGATTTGTGGCGTATCTTGCATTGTGCTGAAGTATATAAATGTACAGTGTATAAAGTATTATAAAGTCATAATTCTGCACCACATTGTTAAGCAACTCTCCAGGCTCAGGTGACAATGATGTCGAAGACTCTTGTGTTTTGTTTTGCTGCGTCCTGCTTATGTTCACGGCAATGTATTCAGTCCGGGCTGTAATGGCAGTGTAGTTTCATTTGCTCATTTCCGGGACCTTTACACAGACTTTGAACATTAAACAGCATTGCGGAACATGAAGGGTCTTGACATGACAAGCCGTGACAACCCGTGACCCTAACCCCTTTCACTGGGTTCACACCGTTTTCCTTGTTTTCCTTCAGGCTGGGCTACCTTTCCTTGGACAGCAACGAGCGTTCACAGTTCCAAGCCCGTGAGTTGAAGAGCGTCTCTTGGCGCGCCTGGTGGGTTTTGTGTTGAGCATGGTGGGGAATGATATCTCTTTGGAAAACGCAGGTTGTTCTTGATTTGATGCGCATCTTTGTGGATGGCCGAGGTGTATGTGGATGTCGGACCCTCAGAATTTCTTTGTTGAATCACGCTGTGCTGCTATGCAGAAGCCAAACTGCATGCAGAATAGTTGGTTCATCCGGCTCTGAATCGTCTTTGGAACGTCTCCATTGCTCGATTGGGATCGTATTGAATCATATTGGATCATCTTGAGGCGAACCGCTATGGAAAGAGATGCCTCATAGCCACTACCCATCACTACCATTCACTACTGTACCCATCCCAAAACTGCCCACCACCAACTCATTGAAAATTGTCCAGTGCAGGGTGTTTCCAGAGTTTGGCCGTTCGCTGCCGAGGTGTCTGCCCAATTCATCAAGATTTTGTTTCACAAGTACGGTCCCAAGATGCCCAAAAACTGAGCAGATCGTCACTTTTGGTTGGCTTGTGTTGGTTTTGGTCATTCTGGAACTTCTTTTGCAATATACTGTAATTTTATCCTGATCCTCCACTTCTGTGGTGCCTCTTACCCACATCATCCCACATCAAATTTCAAGTCTGCACAAAGCTCCGTACGGTCTTTGGATGTCTTTGGTAAGTCAAATCTGTGCACCCTGGTGCTGCGGCAAGGTGCCATGTGAATCGGTACAATATTGTCAACCAGGTGCACACTGTGCACTTGCTCTGTGTGCATAACCTTTTGTCAATTGTAGACAAGTGGCATTGAATTGACTAGTTCACTTAAATATGAGCTTCCACATGACATGGTTAGCAGCTTTTCTCTAGTACTGCCTTGCCAAATATGAAGCCAGCGTTCTTTGAATTTAAGTCAGGGTATACCGTGGACTTTGCGTCAAGTCTCGAGCCATGCAAGGTTGGGCTTATTGCATTAAACTGCTTGGGCGAAGTCCTAGGGTGCCTTGGCCTGCTTTTAGTACAAGATGAACATGGATGAACAGGCTGCATCAAACTGAATCTGAGTCAAAGCTTTTCCACTTTTTGATCGTTTTTTTGGGAGGGTTTCAGTCGGGATGCAGCAACGTCGAGGCCCGACTTGGCAAATGGGCCACCAGCGCCCAACCCCGCCTTGGCGCGGTCCGAGCACCAAGAGTAGGAAGTAGTGGATAAGAATGGATAAGAATGGATAAGAATGGATAAGAATGGATAAGAGCTAAGATGGATGATGGGATCTTTGAGTTTGGGATCCAGAAAGTTCAAGAGTTGGTTGCCATTCAAGGGCTAGACTTTGTGGAAAACTGAATGCAGGATCCATTCCGAAACATGAGGTGGTGCTTTGTTTGACTCCACTTGACAAGTTTTATGTATCTTCTGGCATTTAGAAGCCTTCAATGTTATGATGACTCCATGGCCTTGGCCAAGGCCAATGGATGGTTATCAGCCACCAACCGCACCAAGCGCTCAGGAGTTGGGATGAGTTGGGACTTGGGAAGACGATGAGAGTATCGGTATATGGTAGGATTTTGGTAGTCATCAAAGTAAAGAACGCACTTCACTTCGAACTTCGAACACTCATGCCTGTCTGTTGCGAAGTGGAGCTTGCATCGCGGTTCGGAAGTCCACAATGGGTGAGCACCGTACGGCCCAAGCGGCTTGTGCTCCATTCGCAGCCACCAGGATGCAGCGCAGGCAGCATCAGATGAAATGTCCTTTGGCAGCAGTCTGTAAGCAACGGCTTCTGAGTTTCTCATGTTGACCTTGGCATGATGTAATCCGGCTTCATGCATATCATATCGTATCGTATCGTATTATATATATATATATTTATAATATCATGCGTGTACATGTTTGTATCATATTATCACATTTCCTTTGTTAAATCCTGGTCAGCCATTTCTTCCGAGCCCTCATCATCGCAGCAGGCAAGAGATTTAAAGACACGCAAAGACCATTCAAATCATTCAAGACCAAGGCGGTATGATCCACAAACCTTGGAGCGGATTCGCTCCCTCTCCTCAGCAAAGGCGAGGGTGTTGGGAATCCGCCCGAGTTGCATGCGAAGAGTTGGGATGTGAGCAGATTTTTTCAGGCAAAATGGGGAAGATCGTAGAAGCTGAAACATGAAATATCATGAAACGGCATCTTGGTAGTCATGGCATGACGCAGTACAACGTGGCATGACGGGGCCATGTCAAAGATGTTCCGCCATGGTCTGGTTGCGACAGGCTAGAGCAGTTGAGGCTGAGGATTACGAGGAAGTGCTCTGGCGGCATCGAGGGGCCCAGGTGATCCCAGGTGATCCCGGGTGATTTGAGGCGTTTGCACTGGATAGCACTGGATAGAAGAAGATAGCACTGGATAGCAGATTTGATCAGATTTGTAAAGCCCAGGCCAAGCGACTCAAAGAGGTCCTTGCAAGGCAGGAGTTGAGAACAGACAGTGTGGAGTGCGGATGGATCTGCACAGGGAAGTGCGATGCAAAATCATCTCAGCAAAATCATTTCAGGCAATTTCAGGCGTAATGATTATATTGTTTTTGAGGCAGTAACTTCTAATATGTTTGACACATTTGGAGCATGGGCAGTGGACACGTGACACTCTAATTCGGCCATATTCAGCTTATCCTGATGTTTATTTTCGGCTGGCGACTGCCGAAAGGCTGCGCCAGACTGGTCTTCTCCTCCGGGAACTGGAGGAGTTCTGGGGACCTGGGATGATTGAGGCGACGGGGAGGACTCTTCCGCGCCAAGAGATCCAAAGGTGTCTAAAAGTGTGGTTAAGCTTGGACGAAGTGCTTGCTATGTCCCCAGTTTCCCCGCTCTAGGATCGAAAGAAAGCCGCGGTGCAGAACGAGGACTATGACGCTGCTAAAGCTTTGAAGAGCGAAATCGACCGACTGCGCTCGGCGCCCAAGAGTCTCAAAGATACCTTGCCAAACTGGGAAGGCGATGCGAAGTTTATGGCGTTCAATTCAAAACCCGACTCCTGCCCTTGGCACGGCCGAGTCACTAAGTCTCTTTTTTGAAGTTGAAACATTTTGAACTATTTTAAAACTTATCGTTTGCGACACTTTCAACCGGACGTGCATTCGAGGCACTGCCATTGATCGGCCACCGGAGCGACCCATGGAGCGGCCGGTGGAGCGGCCTCATTCTGGCAGGAGAAGGGCCATTACATGCCATACACTCATGGTAGCTCTGGTGCCAGCGTGTGTCAGCTGCTTTTCAGGAGTTGAGTGTCTGATGTCGGAAGGTGTTGTGAGATGTTTGTTAAGCGCCCTGATTTTGCGAGAACACTACGTTATTCACAAGATTGCAATTAAACTTTTGCTTTTGATCATGCTGGCACTCATCTGCCTTTCTGCCGCAACGTTTTTGATTGGTTTTGTTTCTTACATGTTCTTTTTGTATCGTTTTGTTATTTTTTGAGAGGGTATGGCTTTGATGGATCAACTGGGTAAAGCAAAGTCACATTATCTTGTAAACCAAGTATATTTGTTATATATATGCTCTTCCTTTACTTTGGATTAATTCCTTTTCTTTTTGTTTCGACTTGGGCCTGCCGTCCACCTTACAACCTTGCACAGTGGTGCAGGAGCAATGGAAATGGTGGCCGCAGGGGCCTGAGAGTGTCTTGAAATGATCGCAGCAAAGCTCAGGTGACATGAGGTGCCGAGATACTTACTGTACAGTAAATCGATGATATCGATGTAAATTGTGGAAACTATGATCTTGCGCGAATGACTTTTGATCTTCGACCATCCTGATTAGCCTCATTTCCTTCCCCATTCATCTCACGGTCATTTAGCTTCTTACCAGATATCACGAGATATCACGAGCCCACCTTTTCAACTCTTTTCACATCTTGTTCCTTCCTTTTCCTTCATGGGAGATGATAGATCATGGGTTGGTTTCTTAGTTTCATGCTGTGACATGTCGTGACATGTCGTGCCATGCCGTGCCATGTCGTGCCATGTCGTGCCATGTCGTGCCATGTCGTGCCATGTCGTGCCATGTCGTGCCATGTCGTGCCATGTCGTGCCATGTCGTGACCAAGGTGCTGGAGCTGGAAGTCCAGATTGGGGTGGAGCTGTTGGAGCTGTTGGAGCTGTTGGTCCCCCCAGAGGTGGCCACCAGCCTCAGATGGCCTACGATGAGCCGCGGCGGGATAGCCGTGACAGTTTGTCGCGGCTCTCCAGAGACGAGGTGCATAGCTTAATGATCAATGATGATCGGGAGCAGTGAAATCAGGAACCAGCTGAAGGATCATGAAGGCATGTTTGATCATGTTTGATCATATCGGCATATTGATTTGATATGATTTAATATTATTATAGATTCTTATTATTATTTATGCATTAATCAGATGCACATATATTACTGTGTACATAAGAATAAATTTATGTAACATGTTTATGAAATATAGATATATGTAAATATATACACATGTTGTTATATTATATAATTATATATATATATATACCAATATACACATAGACTTATATAATATGTATATAAATCCGATATATGAACGACAGATAGATAGATAGATAGATAAATAGATAGGTAGATAGAATAGAATAGATAGAATAGATAGAATAGATAGAATAGATAGAATAGATAGAATAGATAGAATAGATAGAATAGATAGAATAGATAGAATAGGTAGAATAGATAGAATGGATATAATAGATAGAATAGATAGAATAGATAGGATAGATAGAATAGATAGAATAGATAGAATAGATAGAATAGATAGAATAGATAGAATAGATAGAAAAGATAGAATAGATAGAATAGAATAGCACAGAATAGAACAGAATAGAATAGAATAGAAAGAAAGATAGATAGATTAGATTAGATTAGATTAGATTAGATTAGATAGATAGATAGATAGATTAAATTAGATTAGATTAGATTAGATTGATAGATAGATAGATTGGATAAGATAGATAGATAGATAGAATAGATAGATTAGATAGATTAGATAGATTAGATAGATTAGATAGATAGATTAGATAGATTAGATAGATAGATAGATAGTTTAGATAGATTAGATAGATTAGATAGATTAGATAGATTAGATAGATTAGATAGATTAGATAGATTAGATAGAGATAGATTAGATAGATTAGATAGATTAGATAGATTAGATAGATTAGATAGATTAGATAGATTAGATAGATTAGATAGATTAGATAGATTAGACAGATTAGACAGATTAGATAGATTAGATAGATTAGATAGATTAGATAGATTAGATCGATTAGATCGATTAGATATATTAGATATATTAGATAGATAGATTGATAGATAGATAGATAAGGTAAGATAAGATAAGATAAGATAGATAAGATAGATAAGGTGTATATAGATAGATAGATAGATAGATAGATAGATAGAGATATAGATAGATAGATAGAAAGAAAGATAGATAGATAGATAAATAGATAGATGGATAGATAGATAGACAGACAGACAGACATATAGATAGACAGATAGATAGATAGATAGACAGGTAGATAGATAGATAGATAGATAGATAGATAGCATAGAATGAACAGATAGATAGAATAGAATGAAAAAAATATAGAATAGAATGAATAGATAGAAAAGAAAAGAAAAGCAAAGAAAAGAAAAGAAAATAATAGAATATAATGAATGAATGAATGAATGAATGAATGAATGGACAGATAGATAGATAGATAGATAGGTAGATAGATAGATAGATAGGATAAGATAGAATAGGATAGATAGAATAGATAGAATAGATAGAATAGATAGAATAGATAGAATAGATAGAATAGATAGAATAGATAGAATAGATAGAATAGATAGAATAGATAGAATAGAATAGATAGAATAGAATAGATAGAATAGAATAGATAGAATAGATAGTATAAAATAGATAGATGATAGAATAGATAGAATAGATAGAATAGAATAGATAGAATAGATAGAACAGATAGAATAGATAGAATAGATAGACAGGGAGAAAAACTAGGTAGAATAGATAGAATGGATAAAATGGATAGAATGGATCGAATAGATAGAATAGATAGAGAGATTAGATTAGATAGATTAGATTGGATTGGATTGGATTGGATTGGATTAGATTAGATAGATAGATAGATAGAATAGATTGGATTAGATTAGATAGATATACGCCCCTAAAAGTAGATGGCGCAACTCCAAAACCAAAATACCCATAAGATGGCACTGCGCGGTGAGAAAGAAAACGGCGCTATTTTAGCTGGAACATAAAACGAGTTCCGCCAATTGAAAAAAATCACCCTACTTTAAAATGAGAAGGTAGATGGCGCAACTCGTTTTGAGCCTATTTTGAGCCCGAAACCGACCCAAAACTCAACCTCAACGGAGCCATGCTTCCGTTGGGGTTGAAATTTTAGGCCCGAAAGCCGCCAACAGAGCCCAACATAGCCCTAAAATGGCCCAACAGAGGCCCAACATAGCCTCCAAATGGCCCAACATAAGCCCAAAACCGACCCAAAATTCAACCTCAACCGAGTCATGCTTCGGTTGGGGTTGAAATTTTAGGCCCGAAAGCCGCCAACAAAGCCCAACATACCCCCAAAAAGGCCCAAAAGAGGAGAGTATATAGGCCCAAGAAGGCTCCAAAATGCGCCCAAAAAAAACCCGCGTAAAATAATAAACATTTACGCGGGTTTTTTGTAGCCTCCAAATGGCCCAACATAAGCCCAAAACCGACCCAAAATTAAACCTCAACGGAACCATGCTTCTGTTGGGGTTGAAATTTTAGGCCCGAAAGCCGCCAACAGAGCCCGAAGTGGCCCAACATAGCCTTCTATGTTGAGCCTATGTTGAGCCTATGTTGAGCCCATGTTTGGCCAAAAAAACGGGCTCTTTTACGCCCTAAATCAGCGCCCAAAAGAGCACCACTGTTTTTGGGTCATGTCCGGGCCAGATATGAGGGAGTTGCGCCATCTATGTGGGCATTCGCAGCCTGATTTTGGCGAATGAGTGGGGGTTGAGCCATCTATGTCCCAAAAAAGCAGCTTGATTCGATGTTGAGAAAAAAATATGGGGAGAAACCAGCGCAGAAGATTGCAAAAAATATGTCATTTTTAGGGACACAGATGGCTCAACTGACCTGTTTTAAAGGGAGTTGAGCCATCTATCCCCCATTTTTTTTGTGACATAGATGGCGCAACTCAAGATTCTGAGCCATCTACTCTTAGGGGGCAGTAGATAGATAGATAGATAGATAGATAGGTAGATAGGTAGATAGGTAGATAGGTAGATAGGTAGATAGGTAGATAGGTAGATAGGTAGATAGGTAGATAGGTAGATAGATAGATAAGATAGATAAGATAGATAAGATAGATAAGATAGATAAGATAGATAAGATAGATAAGATAGAGAAGATAGAGAAGATAGAGAAGATAGAGAAGATAGATAAGATAGATAAGATAGATACGATAGATACGATAGATACGATAGATAAGATAGATAAGATAGATAAGATAGAGAAGATAGAGAAGATAGAGAAGATAGATACGATAGATAAGATAGATAAGATAGATAAGATAGATAAGATAGATAAGATAGATAAGATAGATAAGATAGATAAGATATGTAAGATATGTAAGATAGATAAGATAGATAAGATAGATAAGATAGATAAGATAGATGAGATAGATGAGATAGATGAGATAGATGGGATAGATAAGATAGATACGATAGATACGATAGATGAGATAGATGAGATAGATGAGATAGATGAGATAGATGAGATAGATGAGATAGATGAGATAGATGAGATAGATGAGATAGATGAGATAGATAAGATAGATAAGATAGATAAGATAGATAAGATAGATAGATAGATAGATAGATAGATAAGATAGATAGATAAGATAGATAAGATAAGATAAGATAAGATAGATAGATAGATAGATAAATAGATAGATTGATTGATTGATAGGATAGGATAGAATAGAATAGAATAGAATAGAACATGGCTAATTGAGTCCTCAACAATCTTCAAGATATGGGTCAATCGACAGAGCTTCCGAGATACACTTTGGGATTTCTCTTGTCTTTGTTCCTACTCGACAGGCGGCAGCGCCTAGCAGTCGTGGCAAGGAGTGGGTCGGAAACTGGGGACCTGAACTGCACTGAGCAGGAGCCTGCCAGTGACCTTGATACTTTCGGCCCATATTTGTTCGACATTCTCCAACAGGAGTCGCGGCATTCTCAAGAGCGTCGTGACATCCTCATCACTCCAGTTGGTGCCCTTGGCCCTGGGGGTAGCATTGGTGGCATGGGTGGGCTGGGCGGTGCCAAAGTGCCCCGCACCCCGCCACTGGGGGGTGTAGCGCAGACTGAGCCCTCGGCTCCGCCACCGGAACCCGACCCTCCAGAGACTGAGCGCGCGAACTTTGATGCGGAGAACCATCCGCTCGCTGGCGTGCCAAATGTAGAGGCAAGGCATGACCGGGGGTGGTTGGTTCAAGTTGTTTCGCTGAATTAGCACCAACGCGGCCTTTTTTAAAGCATTTCAAGGCTAGGTGAGCATGTACCATCATGTAATTATAAAAAATAACTTGTTTCTCTTCTCAAACATTTTTAAAGCATTTTAAAACCAATTCATGTCTGTTCATCATAACTATATTATAACGATTTGTAACGTATATAATCTATCCTAATAAATTGTTTCCTTTCGTTTGTGCACTGCAGGGGCGGGCTCCGGAATAATCTTTGCTAGCAGGATTTGAGCCAACCAGAGCCAGAGCCTCTGCATTCCAACTTCCAGAAGGACCCGGGTTCGCACACGGTGAAAGTGTGTCAATTATCGATACTAAAGGAAACGCACTGGGAGTTGTTTGGCACAGTTTTTTTTTTGTTGCTTCCTCTCCGAATTGCATGGAATTTCTACATGCTGTATGCATTTTCTTTTTTGTTCGGCAAAGTAGTTTGCGCAAGAGCTACTGTATAATCAAAAAAGAAGACACATACACATACCACCCCAGAGCTTTGCAAATGGTGCTGTCGTATATACTGTAATAATACACATGTTTTTTAAGCAGTTGATTTGATGTTTAGGCATGTTGATGCCTTTTCTGTTAAAGTTTTTTTTGAAGAACCGCTGGCTGGTGGTCGCTGATGGCAAGAGAGGATTGCCCTATTCGAATGTACAGAACATTCCACGACGCCTCAGTCAGGACATCACTTGTCTATAATTATATATATAATTTATATATATATATATATATTATACTATATTATACTATATTATACTATATTATACTATATTATATTATATTATATTACAGTATATTATATTATAAAATCATTCTGTAACTATCTATCTACCTGTATATCTAGCTATTTAGCTATCTATCTATCCATTCATCTATCTATACGTCTGTCATCGTCTCTCTTTCTTTCTTTCTTTTTTTTCTCTCTCTCTCTCTCCCCCTATATATTTACACACACACACACATATGCTGCAAGTCCTTTTCCTAGCTGGAAATGACGGACGCCGTAGTTGCTGCTGCATGTGGCGTGAACGCTGTCAGGAAGCTGAGCCATTGACAGAACTTTTTGGTGATTATCTCACGCGATGCGTTTTTTCAAAGGCTCGTCCGATAGGACAGACAGGACTGATGGGATTTGGAATGATTTGGATTCGGACTTGCTGACATTCTGACATTTGGATCATTTGGATCATTTGGATCATTGAAAAATTATCATCCTCATGAAGGGCCCTTATGAATCCTTATGACAATGACCCGCAGTCAAGAAATTGAAAAAAATGGACAGAGAGAGGGAGATTTGGACGGGTTGATAACACTGGCCCGGGAGACCTGGAATCTACGTGACGCAGCTCTTCAAAAGCTGGCGATGGATTTGCAGAATGGTGAGCACAGGCAGCAACATCTCCAGAATTCTGAAGGGGGAGTCTGAAGGGGGATGATTTTGACAAAACAAAAAACTCAGACACAACCGAAAAAACACAACAGTCAGAGTGCTGTCTCTATCAGAAATTTGCATTTTTCAGGGCTGAACTGATTGTGATTTTGCCTTTCATGATCGTTGCCCCGTTGCCCCGTAGAAGCCAAAGCAAGGAGATGTTCAGCGGATATCCAAAGCAACACCACATCTGTGATATGTGTGCTGTAGGATGTACTTTTAAGATCTTTTAAGGAAGTCATATCATTCACTCATTGAATCATTGCCTCCTCTTCTCTGTAAATGCGTTGTACACTTGTACACCTCAAACAACATGTATTCGCTTGTTGCCTTTGTTCAACTTATTCATGAGGAAAATGGTTTGAACTAGTGCTTATGCATGCTTATGCATCTTGGTCATGGCTATGTTCGTGCACAATCAGCTTGGCAGCAAGTCTAGATGACTTCACTTTGAACCTGCACCTTTTGTGGGTCACCCTTTGAAAGGCAGAAAGACCAAAACCGCTTGCTTGCTGGCTACATCCTCGTTCTAAAGCGCATGGTGCCGGACAAGAATGTGCAGGCTGCCTCGAGTTGGTGGCATTTTGCAACGTCAAAACATGTCAAAAAGATTCAAAAAGATTCAAAAAACGTCAAAAAACATTATGGTTTACTACATATATAATGCATAATTCCATTAAATTTGATCAACATCGATAATATTATTCTATAAATTTCTTTAATAAATATGCACGATATGACGGATACATAAAGGATATAAAGGGCGATCTTCTTCACATTTCTTCACAGTCCGTTTTCCTGACAGCGGTGGCTCCGGTGACTGCCACAGCTTTTTCTCTCTGCCATGGCACTGTTGCAGGGGCTTTGCCAAATGCTGCGGCAGGTCCGCCGCCCCGAGGTGCGGAAATTTCTCCGTCAAGATGTATAGATTTGTATAGAAGTTTATAGAATTTATGAACAACATATGCATCTTCTAGTTCGGACCTTATTTTGGCACACCTCATTGTAGATAGTTCAAGGATTTTCAAGGCAGACCTGACTTTATCATGCAGTATGAGTTCTGCTGGACATGCCCTCAATTGGCAGATGCTGGCAGATGGCAGGCGCACTCCTTGCTGGACCCCTTGATGGTTCTGCTAGTGGACCGATTGGGCGACGGCAATGCCCGGGGTGCTCAGAAAGGAATCAGAAAGGGAATAAAAGGGAAGTCTGTCGAAGAAAATCGTTTGCTTCTGAAGCTTCTGAGTTGGCCTACGTTGGCCTCTTCTGAATCAACCGAGGTTTCGTTCCTCGGAATTAGTGCATACTTGTAATTCTGTGTAAAGATGTTTTGCACTTAGTGGCAGAAGGTCTGAGGCGTAGAGGTTTGCATTTTCACCAGTTGTATGTTGTCTCTATCTTTCGATTGCGCCGCAGCTGTCATGTGCAATCTCTGAAAGTCAATCTATGGATATCAAGTTTCGGAATTTTAGGGCAATCCAAAGCATCTTCTCTTGTAACTGCTACGTACCTTACACAGGGCAGCAACACCTCCAGTTTTGCCAAGCATTTCCCCAAAACATGCTAGTGATGCGTAGATCAATAAACATAATAGACAGATATAAAACGGGTCAAAATTCAAGTAACTAGATTCTTTGATCATCTTAGATCAAGTAGGGTCACCCAGGTCCTGGTCAGACGTCCATTGTAATGCATACGTAATGCATATGTAATCAGTGATGCGTTTCAGTGCCTTGGTCTCCAGTTGCCATGGATGAACCTAGCGCTGAAAGTGGTGAACCATTGCCTCGGCCTGCACCGCAGGGTGCCCGCTTCCAACGAAGGGCTGCGAATGGGTCCCGTCGGCGCGGTGGGGCCTCCTATGTTTTTATGAAGTTGCTTCGGCTGCAAACTTGAACTTCGGACCCAAGATCAAGAAGGATGCACAGCTGTGCTCTGTACGTCTCTGTACTGTGTGCTACAGTATGTGCTGGTAGCAAGCTCGCGACTTGTCGATCTCTAGCCACGCATGCCACATGCCAAGCTTCCCACAACACCGAGGTGGCTGGTGGAGACTTTTGGCCTTGAGCTGCTCAGATCGGGCGGCATCTTGGAGATCTCTGCTGGTAAAGGCAAGCCATTGGCCATGGCATCTGTGATTTGATGTGATTTGTCTACACTTCGGTCTAACGGTGGGAAGGCGTAGATGCCCAACCGACGAGGAGAAAGCGATAACATGGTTGTTTTATGTTGTTTTGAGGCGAGTTGGGCTGTGCCTTGAGGAATCGCCCCTTGATTCGAAATTGCGGTGCGCAAATGGCTGCAGTGTGGCCATACAAGGCCACAAGGCTCTTCAAGTGCCAAGCATATTATTACATATTCTTACCAGGCATTGAAGCTTTGGCTCTTGAAGATCCTTCGTACCCGAATAAGTCCTCTTCTATTTGGACCAATTCCTTGCCATCTTACTCAGACATCATTTTCCTGACAGAGAGATTCTTCATGCAACCCCCTAATGTAATTGCTGATTCAGCAGGTTATAGTAAGGTTAGACACGATTACGGTAGATTTAAGCCCAGTTTTACCACAATGCTGAGGATGTATTCCAGTCGCGGAAGTCTTGACTTCCGTCTTTTACTGTATTCGTAAGTCATGAGTACAGGAGATACCTCATGAATCATGGCATACTTGTAGGTTCCAAAACCTTGGAGTGCTATGACACGACTCCCACAACATCTTGCCTCCAGCCTAGGCTACCAAGTTCCAGTGACTTGTGTTGAGCCACGCCCCTTGGACTTGCGCCGTGTGGCGATGCGTTTGCGGTGGTCTGCCGAGACAGCAGCGAGAGGAGCAAGAACCAAATGCATCCAAATATCATTGACATTCTTTGGCATTCTTTGGCAATCTTTGGCATTGATGGACTCCTGTTTGACGCAGCTGCGACACTGGGATGCCATGTTGAGCCCAAGAGTGGGAAGCATCGCTTTCCTCTAACTCATTCTATCTCATTCTATGTCATTCTAAATCCAAACAGATCAAACAGATGCAAGCGATTGCAAGCAGGGGTCCTGCACAGCTTGGGGTGATTTTGGTGCTTCCCATGGTCTTCTGCAGGAGAAATGATGGACGATCTGCCGGAGAACTGCCACAGTCTTAACCTTTCAGATCTTTCAGTGTGGGTGTGGGGCCTTGCAGTTGCCCAGCGCTTTGTTTCGATCTAGGCAGACCTTCCGTCAACTTCAATCTGATCAGATTATACTTTCGATTTTTGCGCAGGATGCCACAAGCGCCCAGAGCACAGGCAGACTCCAATCATTTGAAGTGCTGCCCCAAGATGTACTAAGGCTGCCGGAGCAGAAGTATCTTGGCGCCACATCACTTGCGAATCTTTTGGCACCCAAGCGTTTGGAAGGCGAGCCCTCCACTGTGTACGGGGATGTCAGTGACCCTTCCTACAGCCTAAAGAGTCTACAGCGTACCGGGCGTACCGTTGTTTTTTCTCAAGGCAAAGGATCAGCAGTTTGATCAGTTTGCCAAATTTGATTGCAAAATTGGCAAATGCATGTGATATTATTCGATAGCAGTTCGGGGTATGTCTATGGGAGACCAAAACTCTTGGTCTTCGACCTGCATCATAAACAGGATGCAAGTGCTCTCGAGCGATCCTGGCACTATGCCCACAAGGTGAATTGGAGGGTAGCGCTATCACTGCAAGTGACTGAGTCGTGTTGTTTTAGCTGTAGATTTTGAACTCGCCAGTTACTCCTGTGGTTGTCGTTTTTCATTCATATTGCATTCTCCTGGTCTTTCTTGCGGTACTGGTACTTGTAGAGTGGTACTTTTGAAATCTTTTGAACATTTTGGAAGAAACGGAGCTTACCATAGCATACCATAGCTGGGTATAGCATGATATATACAGTAGCTGGGATGTTAGATGCCAGGTGCGCTGGTGTGCTTCGGGGCTTGCAGGGCCATGCGGCGGCGAGGCACCTGCAGATCCTGGCCATGGCGAGGAGTGTCGCCATGTGTCAGAGATCTTGATGCTGTTCGATGGCCATTTGTGGCCATCCATACAGCCAACCTAAGGTGACGCAATTTTGCGATATGTTTCTACAGTGGTTTCTACGATTGTTTCCAAATGGATCCAAATGGCGTTTCAGGTGCAAGGACGTGTTTGAACAGGCAGGACATTGGTCCCCACAGTATTCTTTTTCTCTTCAGGACGCCTACCTGGACAAAGGCACTCCATTTCGTCAATCTGTTCAGAGCATTACTGGCTCTGTCAGAGACAGCCATGGAGCCATCCCAGACGGCGTTGCAAGAAGCTTCCAGTTCAATGATTTCACCATTCGTGGTGGGGGTGGTAGAACATGGTTGCTGACGGAGGCTTAAGTCATTCTAAACTCGACTGTTGGAACATGTGGGGGCAAGAGGCTCAAATCTGTTGTGCTGCAAGTTGCCAGCAGCTCAGGACCAAATGAAACCAGCAGGAGGGGAATTGGACGCAGAAGTGGACGAATCAGGCGCCCGTTGATGTTGGTGGGTGCTTTCACCCTCCATTGAAACTTTATGAAATTGGATATTAAACCGCAAATGAATGATCAATCAAGATCTTATCAGGGTAGTGCCTCTGTGACTCTTCCTCAAGATTGCATCACATTTTCAGGGTAGCAGGGCTGTTTTGCAACGATTTGATCCCTGAAGCCAGTCCAGCAAAGTCATTCAGCCCAGTTGATCCAAGCACCCGCACTGAGACATGTAGAAGCCAGTCGTTTTTGCAAAGGTGAGCCGGAAGGGAGCAGTCTTGATTCAACTGTCCAGCAAAATCGTATCGGGCAGTGTCAGGCATGGTAAAAGAAGTCGGTGGAGGTCATGCTCCGCCTTCTTTGGCTGACGTGAAGCAGCTGTGCGAGAGTTGTAGAGCCTTGGTTGAGCTGGAGGCGTTTAAGATTCATGACCTGCCGACAGTTGCCAATTACATCCAATTACTGTAGGGCACTTGCTCGGGCAGTTGGTTGTCAAGCGTCATCATATATTGATGTATATTGTGTCATATTGTGCCACACCCTGCATCTAAGCGGACACATGCATGTACATGATATTCTAATGTCATACATAATAGATTATATGATAACTTTTTATGATTTTATTCTTTTTTAAAAAAACACCTGTACATACATGCCATATATTTCATAATTCAATACGCGTTCACAATCTTTCACAAAATGGTGTGCACCGTTTGCTCTGGAGATTGGGCAGGCACAGTCCACACGTGCTTCACCGAGGCGTGGTGGTCGCACTGCACGCAGATCAAGCTGCTGAGGCGACCGTGGCATATGCAGTGGAACAAGGCAAAGCCTTCGCTGTGGTGCCCTGCTGTGAGCCTTGACTTAGCAAGTGATGCAAGTGACGTAAGCAATGCAAGCTGCTGTTTAAAAAACAACATACACAACTGTTTAGATACCTTTAGAATTTCTTTAATTATATAGATATCTTTAGATCAATCTATATTATAATATTATATAAAACCTTGGAGCTGGGGCCATGATTCATAGTCTAATAGTGATTCGATTTGTAGGTGCCTTTGTATGGTGTGGGCCACAAAAATGTCATTCAGCAGTTGCATCAAACCATATCAAACCAGTCAACTTGTATAGTCTGCCTTTTTGAGGGGCCACAGTGCTACCCGGAATCTGTAGGTCTACTCAGAAGACTTCCCAGATCGAAGGCTTCCAAATGGACAAGCGGTGCGGTCCCTTGTGGATCTCATTGACTACTTAACTGCCCTCGGCGGAGATGGAGTGCAGGTGACCAGGTGCGGTTGTTTGATGTTTGATATGTTTGAAACCTTTTGATTGCGGCGTCATAAGCCAAAAGGATTCACAGCAGAAGGAACGATTTCTTGTGCCCGTCTTGTCCGCTGGCCCTGAAAGGTAGGGATACTTCCTTTCAATGGCAAAAACACCGTGATCTGGCGTGGAACTGCCAAGCCTGACCCAAGTGTGAATATTTACGAAGGATGAGTTTGCAAAGCACAATGCGCCAACCAGGTTCCATCAACAAGAAGATCCTTCGCCAACAGCCAACCAGACCCTTCACCCTTGCTGCTCTTTACCTTGGACCAGCATATTCTATGTTGTGCTTCCGACGATCAATGTGATTCAATGTGACATGCAGGAAGCCATGAGAAACTGGTGATGATTATCTGAGATGCTGACGAGAATGTCGTAAGACTCTTATTCCCTCTCCGAGAAGATGCTGGATATTGTTCTGCTTCTGCTTCTTGATTTTGCTTCTTCTATGTTACATACATAATTATATATAATATCTGTATAACTATATATGAAATATTATATAATATAGTTTTTTCATGTGTTTTCATTTTCCGTAGGTGTTTTTGTTTTTTTTGTAAACGATATTTTTAGACACGGTTTCTTTATCTCTTTTTAGTGGTTTGAGGTTTTCAAACTTGAACCTCTTTACTGTTTACCGTCCCAATGAGACGCAGTGCGGCAGGCAAGGCTCCACAACATGGACCCCTGACTGAAGCTGAGAGCCATGCAGTGGCGGAACATGCAGCAGCCTATGCATGTCTATACTGTAGAGATCTGTAGAGTAGCATTTAGCGAAAAAGCTGAACTAAACAAAGGCAAAGAGCAAGCCAAAAGTCAGCCGCAAAGTCTTGAGTGACTCTCCAGACTCGCTTGCTAAGCAAAAATGATCAAACATGCCTGGGTCGATGACGGACCGGCACCTTAAAGTTCCTATTGTCACCGAGTGCGTTAGGTTTTTCAGGAAGGACCATGGTGCATCGTGAACACATATTCCTATATATTCCTTATATTTCTATATCATGCACCTGGACGAACTGCATTTGATGAGCCAATGGATTCCCAAGGCTCGCGTTGACAAAGCGGCCAGGCCTGGAGGGAGTAGAATCCAATGGGTGCATATGGTGCAGTCTTGTCCAGCAGTCTTGTCCAGCTTTCTTGCCCTTGCCATCCTACATGAACATTGCCTGGGTTTTTATATTTGATTCTGAAAGAAAGGCACATAAGTAAGGCACGACTCACAAGTAAATTCATGTCTTTCTTTTGAATAAATTTGTATTTATTTTTTCTCTCAGAGTCGCCACACAGCCAGGGATGCTCACCTTTGTGACCTGATGCGGTGTCCCAGTGTGGGCGTGGAGCTGAAGACAAGGGGCACAAGTGGCTGGAACATGCCGGAACATGGAACTACTTCGGGCTTCCGGCTTCAGGGATTTTGGCAGAGAATTTCTAGAGGTAGAACTGCAGCAGAAACCTGTAGCATCTGGGAATCTTCAAACATGTTTAAGGTGAAAATGATGAAGCTGTTGCACGTGTTCCTTTGTATTGCATGCTGTGTATTGCAATGTGAGGTGCAAGCTTCACTGCTCAGCAGCTTCTCAGGTGCAGCCTCCAACCATCTCCAACCCCCATTTCCTGACATCCAAAGCTTCCTCTTCCAGCCTCCAGCCATGGCCTGATGGCCACAGCCCCGTTTGGCCAGGCCGCTGAAAAAGAAGTCGGTGAATCCACGCGCTCGGCTCGCCTGCTTGCATGGACGGCTGATCCGGTCCTGGCATGTCCTGGCTTTGCAATGCACTGATGATCACACAACCCGTTGGTTGTTCGTTAAATTTCACAAAATCTGAGTGTAGTGTATATATATATGAATCGCATTGAATCGTTGTATGTAACTTATGCTAGTCTTTGGAGGTTTATTGCTTGTTGCCAGGTGTACATCGCCCGCTTGCAACTTTTGGCGGCCATGGTGACAGAGGTAGGAGGTGGTACATGGTGGTACCAGGAGAAGTGCAGCAGCTATAGCATGCTATGGCAAAGATGATCATACTCTTTCTCATCTCTTTCTCTTGATGAGGAGAATTAAGACTGCAGTGTTTGTCCTTTCTTTTCTATTGGTAACATCCTTTTCACGCATGCTATTGGTCATCCAATCGGAAAGCAATTGGTTGCCAGGCAGGTGTCCAACCTGAAAGCAAGGAGGGTTTGCCTCTGGATCCCACAGTGCAGCTAGCAATGGATTGGCCGCTTGCCTGAAGTCAAGCGGACATCCCACTGGCAAAATGGCGTATGCTCCGAGAGGAAGAAGAGATAAGAAGAGTTAAACGGCCTTGCGAGCATTTGTGCAGTATCAAAGTCCTGTGATTTAGTCGAGGTTCAACAATGCAAATGCTGATGTGAGGGAAAACGCTCGCAGCTAAGTTTTGCTTGACACCGTTTTGTGGTGTTTGGATTTGTTTGGCACATGTCTAAAAAATCATTGCATGTCATTGTGCTCTTCTTGCAAGGCTGTGAAACTGGTGGCGGCCTGCTACGCACATGCTGGTTTGAAGCGGATTGAGCCATGGCTGCACCGGGCTGTCGTACGATTGATATAGATAGTTCATTTGCAGGAGTTGGTTTGGTTTTCAGCGCGTTGAACAACTTGCTAGAACCGCTTCCGTGAAAAATCGAATTCAGGGGATAGATTAGATGTATTTAGATGTTCAAATTATTGGAGGTACCCACCGATGTGCACCTGCAGATGCTTGCATTGCACAAGCGAATGTGCGCACACACACAGATCACACAGAGACACAGAGACACATCAGTGAATAAAATGCAAACAACCACTGCAAGAAAACTTGCTCTTCTGGCTTTGTAGCTGGCAATGTCAGAATATGTCAGAATGTGTCAGAATTATTCAGAATTCATGTCACAGATTCAAAGTACAGACGCTGCTGCAGCCATCAAAGTGCCTGCTTGGGCTGTTATCCAAGGGAGGTATAGACACTGTCGAGCAAGCCCCATCACCTGGAGGTATTCTTGAACCTATTTGTCCATATGAATCTCGTGCTCAGGAGAAGTACCTCGCCAACATCCGGCAGGTGCCCATTACATGGAATATCGTGCGATGCACACGAACAGTTCTGACAGGGCTGAGGGCCATTTCCCCTCGGCTACCACAACTTGAATGGTGTTGGTTGGGTTTTGACTTGCTTTGACTTTGACCGGTCTTGTATTGAATCATGAGCTCACAGCTGTGCCAGGCGCAGAGAGACATCTTTGACGAGGAGTTCGACCGAGTGGATGCAGGCACCATGACTGCTGCCCGTGGTTTTAGAGCAGCGGGCCGTCACGAATTTGCTCCAAGGTGATGGGCTCGAAATGGGCCAGCCTCAGTGCCAGCCTCAGCCTGCTTGCATCCTGCTTGGTTCGTCTTTGTTTTGGGTGTTCTTGTAACATCTCGTGACCACTGGTGGAACACAGATAGCTTCAGTTTTACCCAAGCTGAGGAGCCACCGGTCCGGCAGCAACCGGTCTACGCCCAAAGGCATGAACTGCGTGGGCTTTGTGGTGGATGTGATGGGCTGGTTACGGCATGTTACGGCATGTTACGGCTTTGTTTCCTTTTTCTCCCGATCCATCACAGCTCGAATCCAGTTTTGTAGCCTACAGTTCTTCTAGAAATCTGGTTTTCCTGACCCCGTTTGCTCCTTCCCCAGACGAAATGACTAACTGTATGCGGGACGAGAGCAGTACTGCCTCACCACCGTGGATGTTTCATATGATTCATGTATTCGCTTGTGTGCATTCCCTCTGGTCCAAAAGCAGACTGGGCTCAAAAATTATCTTGTATGCTCGAGGCAGTCAACAAGTTTCTGATTCATCAAGCAGATGTGCAACATCCCAAACTCACACAAAGCATGCACTGGGAGCCGGAAGATTGGAGCATTGGTAATTTCTGAACTACTAACTACATCTAACTAAAGTAAAACATATCACAATTATAGCAGCTGGGACTCCTCCTTCCAGATGCAGAGCTTTGCTATGATGGGAGGCAGCTCGAAAGAACAATCAGGTCTTGTTCGTCCCTCTCCTGCTCTTTGCTGCTCATGGCGAAAGTCAAGAAGCAAAACCTGAAGAAGAAGGCGAAGGCTATGGCGGTATGACTCCAAGGTTGAGCGCAGACACTGAAGCGCTTCACTAACTCACTATAATCATACCACACTCATCCATACCATACCCTATGGTCAAGAAAGCGACTTTGAGAGCTGCTTAAATCCTCCATCATCAGATTGTTGTCCTTATTTGCCCCCCGGCCCCATTGACAGTGGGCCCCATTGACAGTGAATGGAGTAGAGACCCTAATCCCACCCAACCCCTTGTCAAAGCCGAGATGATGACCGTGACCATGTCCTCTGCCAGGGGAAGGCAGGAGCCACTCCTGCCAAAGGAGCTGCCTCTGGCGCCTCTGCAGGGGGTTTGGTCACCAACAAAAAGTTTGGCTGCTTGGCCGATGGCAGTTTTTTTTCCCTCCTCTCCCTTCAAATATATCTTTTGGCAGAATGGCTGAAACATCAATCATCAATGTGATACAATGGGCCAGGACCACATGCTAGGACCCAATGCCAGAACTCAAGAGTATGGGACATTCATCTATTTTCACCTATTTTTCACCTTAATCATCCATTTCCGGCCTGTGACTAAACGCGTGATGCTGCGTGCCCTGTCTACATCTTCCCTCTTTTTAGGCGCCCGAGAAAGTTGAAAAATCGTTCTCACAGGTCAGCACTTGCTGAGAAACCCTGGCATCGTTGACAAGATCCTGAATGCTGCAGAGCTGAAACCCAGTGACGTGGCCTTCGAGATCGGACCAGGAACAGGCAGGTCGGGAGAGTAGTGCCAGCTGTTGGCGAAGGTTCACCGGCCATGTTTGGTGGATGGAAGGTTTGCTTATGTTTGCCTTGATTTGATGCGTCTCTGCGGCAGACTAGTGGTCTCAATTTTCATACAATTGTTTGATTTGGATGACCAAAAAATAGTGATTCACTCTGCGGCAGGCAACTTGACGGTCAAATTGATCGAAAGTTACTTAGCCTAAATAGCCTCTCCTGGAAGTGTATTGTGACTCAAAGCGTGCAGCAGGGGTGTCAGGCTCGTTCTTGAATTTCTTCAATGTTTCTTCAATGCATGTTAGACCAACAAGGGGGAGATCCAGACTCTCGCCAAGAGGTGAAATAGGAGAAGTCAAGTGAGTCAAGTGTGAAGCAGAGTCAAGATAGTCAAGCAAGTCGGAAGAGTGGACACGCACTGTCACGCACTGCACGATTCACCTGAGACCGAGGCTGCAAGCGAGTGATCGCATGTGAGATCGACCCTCGGATGGCCGCAGAGGTGCGAAAACGCTGCTCCGGCACTGGCCGCACCAACTTGGAGGTGCGCCATGGTGCGGAATGGTGCAGAGGGAAGCTGTGAGTGCAATATCCAGCCATACGGTGCAGTATGGTGCAGTATGGTGCAGTATGCCGTGGGGCAAGAAGAATGGAGGGACGAGTAACAACTTTGAAGCCTTTGAGACATTGAGAGTCTTGGACACGGCCGTTCCTTTATCGCTTTCGCGCACTATTTGGAATACCCCATATTTGCAAGACCTAGCCCGTTTACAGAACAACTTGGGCTTCAGAGTAGTAAATCCACGGGAGCTGTTTGCTTGATTTGGATTGATTTGGCAGGTGAGGGAGTGCGATGTGCTCAAAGAAAAATGGCCCATCTTTGACGTTTGTCACCTGGCAAGTGGCTAGTGATCACTTATTGCCTACAAAAAGGGGTAGCATGGGCTTGCAGCAATTTAATTTGATGAACTGATGTGACAGCTTCTCAAAACCCAAAGGGTTGGATGTTATTGGATGTTAAAGGACCCAGGACGTAGTGGAAATACCAATCTCGGAGATCAGTGCATTCCGACGTACCCTGACAATGCTTGACATCGGTTGAAGTTTCTAAAAGCGACGTACGAGGTGTCGCAAACCTGCCGTATCAGACGCTCGGCAAAATTTGTCGTGTTGTTTCTTAGCTTCTGATGTCTGCGGCAGCCAGATACAGTCAACTAAGAGAAGCATGCCGTTTCCAAATTCTTCAAGGCCTTGCATTGATTTGCAGGAATCATGAAATGATGTCACAATTTTACACAATTGTCACATCAATTACTAGAACATTGCTTCACCGTTTCATGCATCATTTGGAAGACGAAGGATCTCCTCCCCATTCACCTTCAAGCTGCTGGCACATCGCCCGGCCTTTCGTTGTGCTGTTCTGATGTTCCAGAAGGAGTTTGCTGAGCCTCTTAGCAGAAGAGAATAGGACAAATCAAAAGAAATCGAACAAAAATTAGCATCAAGAGTATGCCTTCCCACATTGAGACCTCACGGGCTAGGATTTGGCTTGTCCCATGCCCATTACATATTATATATTCCTTGATTCTCTTTATTGTACTTTCAGCCAGACTGCCTTGTGCCGTGACCCTTTCACACTTCATTTTGACTTCTCTAATGAAGTTCCACACAGTGGAGCCTTCACGGGGCGCCATGGACTCCCACTCCCAGCATCTCCCAGCTCAGGCGGCTCATAGCAAAGGTGGGCGAATCGCAGTGACTGGCCCCATATTTTGTGTGGCTCAAGATGGTGTGGGGTGGAAAAGGATGGACATGCCGCAGGGGTAAGAAGCTTGCAGCGGCTCCCGGCCAAGCTGTGCCGAGGCAATATTGATGTAAAATCGGTAAATAAATGATGATATGGTTTAAGCGGAGAACAGTTTTGCATGAATGCGACCTTCATGCTAGCCGAATCCGAATAGATCTGTTGATTCTGTTGTCTAATATGTTATTCAATCGCTATATATATCACGGTCATGTTTTACCTCCAAACTGGAGCCAAGGTACGGGCGCCTCGCTGTCAACACCAGCCTTTTCGTCAAAGTGTTTGGGCTCCGAAGTGATCCAATGTGAGTTCACAGGGTCGGACGGGCGGGATACATATCATAAAGATTCATAAAGTACAATATAGGCTCGCAGTTTACCTTGGTCAGAAAGCTTAACCAAGGAAATTTCGTTTCTCCAGCATATCAACTTCTTACGTCTTAAGTCTTAAGTTCTAATTACTGTATTTTTGATAGCCTCCATACGTTTGGTTTTCATTCATGTTAAATTTTCCATCAATGCAGTCTGATCTCGGCTGTGAACAGTGATAACCAGTAGTTCTGGACACCATGTGTTCTGGTCCCTGGCAGCTTTAGGTAAGCTGCGTCTGCAAAGTTGGACGTATGAACTTCACACCGCCACCTGAAGTGGATTCAATGGCGACTGGGATGGCACTGTTGAGGGAAGGTGAACAGACATCGTGGAGTTACTGTATCTGCTAAGGGAAACGTACTTACCTTACTTACCTTTACATTCATTCAGATGCTGTAATCGGCGTTTCTTTACAAAAGCTAGTGCAACTGTAACATATTGCAACAATTTGTCAGCCGACATGGTGCCGCTGTTTCGGTTTGCAATGATTTGCAATGTGCGCAACACTACACGCAAAGCATTCTGGGTGGCAATAGTGCTGAGAAGGCTTTTCTTTACCACAGAACACCGTTGCAGGTAATGATTTCATATATTTCCATCCGGGAGAGAATGTTTTCCTTCCTGACCTGACCCTCCTGATTCTGTATAATTGTTTCTTTCCCCCGTGGAATGCCAACTGGGACAAGTCCTCTCGGACTGTAAATCCGCATGTAAGGTCGTCAAGGCAGGGCTGCACTGGGAAGGGCGCTCTACTGTGATGGTACCGGACTGATCCTGGGTTTTCGTTGGAAATAGAGCTATAGCATGCTATAGCCATAAGCAGCGCAACGAAATGAAACAAATCTCAGAGATTCAGATGCAACTGCTGCACTTTGCAGATCGTTCCTCGTTATCCTCCTATCGAGGTGGACTTTCGATTCTTGGTTGCCTTGACTTGTGTCATTTTGAACTTGTCCTTGCTCTTGAGATCTCTTTGGCCTCTTTTGTCAGCCTGCCATGATCCAGAGTGTTGCCCGATCGTCGATCACACTTCGTTCGGTTGATTCGAAAACATTCGAAAACTGGCTTGGAGGTTGAGGTAAAACAATCTTTGCTTGCCTACCATTTTTTTGGGATGAAACATCGAAGACCAATCAGCTGCAGACCTAGTGCACATTGCAATGCAAGGAGAATGGGATGGTTTGATGCGGATCTGCTTTGGGAGAAAGCGAAAGACCCTGAGATCTTCCTTCTGCATGACCTACACGCTGAAAACCCTAGAGGAGCTGAGCAATCTGAGTTATTTCTTTCGGCCGCCCCTAGGATATGAGTTTGAGTAAGGCAAAAGTCAGAACATGATATGCCCAGTTTGTTCGTGGTCCCTGCTGCGGGGGAGATGAGTTCATGGGTGCCTCGAACGAAACCGCAAATATTTATCGAAGGAAGTTTAGAAGTGAAACTTCCGACAATATGGACAGTTGAAAAGCAGAGGTGAGAAGAGTCAGAAGAGAAAAGATCAGAAGAAAGAAGATGCAGATGCGCGAAAAGATAGGAAAGTCGCGAAACACTGTGTTTTTCCAATGATTTGTGGCTCCGGAGGGTCGAAAAGTAGGCTCGCTAAAGCGGGTGCGGAGCCAGCTGGCCAGATGAGACATGAAAAAGTGCACGCCGTTGTGGCGCGAAGCACATTTCCAAGTCAAAATGGACAAAACACTAGAGGAGCGGACCACTTTTGGAAGTTGCGATGTCGAAAAAGTGCACGCCGTTGTGGCGCGAAGCACATTTGGAAGTCAAAATGTACAAAACACACCAATGTCGGACCACTTTTGGAAGTTGAGATGTCGAAAAAGTGCACGCCGTTGTGGCGCGAAGCACATTTGGAAGTCAAAATGTACAAAACACACCAATGTCGGACCACTTTTGGAAGTTGAGATGTCGAAAAAGTGCACGCCGTTGTGGCGCGAAGCACATTTCCAAGTCAAAAGTGTTAAAAACTGACGGTCTCGGACCACTTTTGGAGGTTCAGATGTCGAAAAAGTGTCGAAAAAGTGCACGCCGTTGTGGCGCGAAGCACATTTCGAAGTCAAAAGTGTAAAAAAACTGAGGGTTTTGAGCCTTTTTTGACGTGAAGATGTCGAAAAAGTAGACACTGATTAACTTAACTAACTTGACTAACTTAACTAACTTCACTAACTTCACTACCCTAACTTCGACGACAACAGCAACAGCAACAACAACAACAACAACACCAGCCACAACCACAACAACAACAACAGCAACAACTACAACTACAACTACAACTACAACTACACAACAACTACAACTAGAACTACAACTACAACAACTACAGCTACAGCAACAACAACAACAACTACAGCTACAACTACCACTACAACTACAACTACAACAACAGCAACAACAACAACTACAACTACAACTGCAACAACTACAACAACAACAACAACTACTACTGCTACTACAACTACAACTGCAACTACACTACACAACAACTACAACCACACAACAACTACAACTACAACAACAACAACAACTACTACTACTGCTACTACTACTACTACAACTACACTACACCACAACTACAACCACACAACAACTACAACTACAACAACTACAACTACAACTACAAAACAACTACAGCTACAACCATATGACTGCAACTACACTACACTAATTACATTACACCACAACTACAACTCCACTACGCTACAACTACAACTACAGTTGCATTACATCACACTACATCCAGCAGTTGTGGGTGAGGTGACCACTGCAACCATTGCAACCATTCCAGCAAACACAACTCCAACCACCTTTCGGTCAATCAGTGGCTTCGCTCTGCCATCCCTGATTCGCAACAACCAACTTCTCCTATAGGCTTCCTATTTTTGAAACTTCCGCCACCGCCTTGTGCGGTACTACTTGTAAGATTTTATAATGTTTTATAGCGGATGGGGTGTGCCAGACAGAGAGAGAGAGAGAGAGAGAACGCGCGAGAGAATCCGGTAGGGTTTTGGTGAATCGCACTGTGAAGGGATGTGTCTCAAGTTTTTGAAGTCCTACTGGATCAGCCTACATGGCTTGCGGCTTGATAAATCATTTTGGTGGGGGTATTTGCGGTGAGTTTTCATCAGGGCCTTCAGTGTGCAATGTAAAGCGTTGTCCATCTCGGGGTCTCTGCCTACGGATTTCACGGTTGGATTGCTCAGAGTTGTTCACACAGTTGCAGGACAACTACACTACGTGGTGCGCTCTGACTGGCAATAGACCGGAAAAGAAAAGCATGAAGGCGCAAGACTCGTGGATGTGCGTGGATACTTGCAAATTCTGTTTTTCGTGGAATCCGAAGCCTGTGGGTAACAGATGGAACAGTTGCTGGGAGCAGAGCAGGGGAAGGGGTCGTACCACGCTTCGGAGCATCTTGGAGCAGGGTTGCACAAATGCAACAAGGTATTTCGCCGTATCAATTTGTTGTTCCGACAGTGTCGCAGCGAGAGTTTCTGGCTCGGTATCAGGAGAAGGTCCTAGAGGTCTTGGGATCGCTGAAACTTGCAGAGCAACGTGCTATCAAGAGTTTTGCCTTAAATTGAAGCAACCGATGTTGTGTTGTCATTCGTGTTTGTTTAAGTTTATGGGTGCATCATGGTGCATGTGTACGGATGCTTGATGTCGCTTTTATCTACTTAACGTACTTCGGTTATCTTCGGTTTGTGTTTTCACTTTCCTGAACTTCTGACGTACCTCCTTGAACTGGCACTTCAGCAAAGTGCTGGCTTTTCTTGATTATATCTTATTATGTAATATAATAATACATATTAATTTAACTTGCATATATATATAGTATATAACACACACATATATATATAATATATAATATAATATTTTAAACTTTACTTTTCACAAAGTTCCTTTTCATCGTCATTTGATCGACCCTGCTTCCATGATGCTGCCATTTCAATACAAAAGGGTGGAGAGCCGAATGGGCAAAAAGTGCGTGAAGAACTTGTCAAAACACCGTGAAAGTGTGCGTGAAAATAAGCATGATTTTGATATATTTTGATAGCAACCATAGCCGCTGCCAAGACCAGGTTCAAAGATACTATCCAAGTGACTTAGCCATAGCCGGGGCCCTGTGAGTCGTGTATTTTGACTTATGTATACTTATATGTACGCATATTTACACACTTTTGCCTGAAGTAATCTGAGGTACTCGTTTAACTGGCACCTGCGAGAAAGGTTTGGGCTTGCTCATCCCAACAGCTCAGGATAGACCTGGACACCTACTTTAAGTTACTGTTGGAGTTCAACAAGTACCTTGGAATGTCTTGGAATCTTGAGAGTTGATAACGTGATGTGTTTTCCATGTCTCTACCAGTGACCTCCCGCAGTTCCAGCACATTCCAGCATCATAATGCTTCTCGATTCTGTTTGTGCACAATGTGTGTGTGTGCGCGCATATAAAAATATGTTATGTAACATACGGCTACACAAAACACACACACACAGATATAATCATATATATATATGTAATCATATATATAATATATATATATATATTTGTATGTATATATATATATATGTGATCTCACCCTTTTCGTGTGTACAAGGGCAAGTCAGAGCCTGTGGGTTTTAGAATTTATAGAACCCGAGCAGATTGAACCCAAAAAGGGTACAACTTCACCAACTAAGGCGAGGCATTCACTTTACCAACATGAATGTTGGTGCAAAGATCGGTTCCCTAACTGCATATGCGTTTCATGTTCTTGTTGCTTTCCACCACGTCTCTCAGTCGTAAGTTATCGGTGAGTCATTCCAACATGTTCAGCCGCCTCCAGCACAGTCCCTTTATTTGTATGTTGGGGAGGTCAACGGTTAGGCTGACCACAGATGACCACAGTCTAATCAGAAACGAACCAAAATTCTTCAAGTGTGGCTGGGAGATGCTGGGAGCTGGGCGCCGCGGTCTGTCCACAGGTTTGAGCCATGTTAAGCCATGTTTCCATTATGTTTACATTTGCATTTTTAGACAGAAAACAGAAAGAAAACTGATACCTCATTATGGACCTGTTCTTGTCATCCTTGAACGTGCCGACCAGTTTCGACAGAACAACTCATACTCAAGTTTCATATTTCTATCTTGATGGGTTCTCACGATTCGAGTGAGCACTTTGTTTTGTTCTTCCTGTGTGTTCTCCCATGGCCTAACAATGTCTGACATGCGAGTCCTGCTGAGGAGACTCGCAAGCTGCTTTGCCCGATGAGCTGTTCATGGATGATGGGGCTGATGGGGGTGATGGTGACGACGATGCCATGGAAGACTAGCTGACTAGCTGTCTCATGAGCGCCCCGTTGGTGCGTGCACTCTGAGTGATTTCATCGTATTTCATCCAAATGATGCCGGACAAAAACAATAAAGTGCCCATAAACATCCGCAAATCTTACTGTACCTGCTGCAATCTGTTGCAGAAAGTCGGAAGGGCAAATGGTACATCTGCTGGAGCCCTCCAGCCGGATCCTTGTCTCCTTTGTTTCACCACAGCACATGCTGGAAGCAAAGCAGCGATTTGACATCCAAGAAAAATATAGTGTGTTTGTGTGTGTGTTTGGCTTTGGCATTGATTGTAATCCAATGCACATGGCATCGCAGTACATTACTCCATGTAAACCGTTACCCTCTTCAAAATGGAAAGCGCCACAGATTAAATTGCCCTGGGCCTAAGTGGCTTCAGTCAGCAGTTTTTTTTCTAACTTTCTTCCTCCCTTCCCGTTGTTTCTTATCCTTGTTCTAGAGTAGACTGAGTAGGCTACTGACCTACTGATTTGTACAGTGGTGCTGCAGCCAGACTAACATATGCTTGCACACGTTAGCTGCTCAGCTTATTCTGCCAGGATTTAGCATCTTGTGTGCCACCAACTTATGTATTGGAAGTTTTGGCAGTCAGTTCGAACGCGTCTCACTTAGTGTTTTGCTTCTTGCAGATTTAGGCGCTTTGACCAGCGGCACTTGCCCATTGCAGACTTGATGTCGGCAGATCGTATCATGAAACACATATGAACACAGCGCCCTGGGTAGTGCAAGTCAGCAGCGGGATGGATAAGCCCGTGGAGTCAGAAGCTGGAGACAAAAGTGTCTATTGGGGATGTTGAAGCATGTTGAAGCCAAAGCCTAGGAAGCGTCTGAGCACTGCACTCCCTATATGATTTCCTGGTGTCGGGCAGAAAGCTGACCACCAACGGCTTCTTTTCGGAGTATGACTCACCCTTTCGACCAAAATTCACGACCAAACTTAAAATGGGAATCTTCATTCAACTCCTTGACTCCCCAAACTGCAGTTTGCCTTCTCATAATTACTGTGGCTGCTGTGGCTCGAGTCATTTCCTGAAATAGTCGGATGTGGAGGCACTTCCGTTTGTTGCTTGATGTTTGTCACCCAGATTTGGTTAGTTAATGTTAGTTAACACTGACATGAGCCGATGGTGGTTAAGATATGTTAAGATATGTTAAGATATGTTAAGATATGTTAAGATCAAGCATTTTGGAGCCACCCCGTTTTTGGAGCCTTTTTTTTGTTTCTTTCTTAGTTGCTTGACACAAGGAGCAGCTCTGAGATTTCGCAAGTCATTAAAATATATTAAAATATATTAAAATATAGTCAGTGCATCTCAGTGCCATTGCTGAATGGCCGCATTTCTCATCACTGCCAAGTGGCCCTGACGATCTGCGGCCAGGTGATGCGGTGGATCGTCCGACTCGTTTACTGGTCACTCTTCCTCTGGGCTTTGGCCGAGGATGCCGCGGAATTCCCCGAGGAGGATGGAGTGCTGGTGCTGACCGAGCACTTCGGCATGATTTGGCATGGCATATGCAAAACCAGAGGTCAGTGTTGTGGAGCGAGCACCTGTGAATGTTGACCTGCTGTGTTTGCCAAGATATGCCAAGATGTCATTGGGCATCCCGTCATGGGCATCTAGAGTGACCATAAGCCATGCCATTCCATGCCTATCAATGTGAAACTCGTTCAAAGTGATTTCCTAATCCATCACCCAAGATCTTGGCACAGAAAAGATCAGAAAAGAAGATCACGAAAGCGCTCTTGCCCCAGCAAGGAATAGGCAGGCACCAGGACCGTTGGAAACCCTGAAACTTTCAGGATAGAACCCCGGGCCCCCTGGACCATGGGTTGCATTCAAGTACAGGGTCATCATCACATCATCTCAACAATTCATTTGCAACGTTTCATCTTCAGCATTTGCATCACCATCATCAGGTGGTTTTGGGGCAGGTACAAGTTCAGCATTATCGTCAAATTCATTCGTACCCACCATCATCGTCATCAGTTAATCAGTTTACTCTTGCAGCTGAGCAGTCTCCGGTACAACATTAGTAGCATCCTGCTAGCTTTCGTACCTCCGCCCTGGCCTCAAGTTGAATGATGATGAAGGATGATAAAGGATGCACAGACTATCACAGACTGTTTGCCGTCCTACTCTTTTGCTTTGATCATGATATCTATCCGATCTATCCGAGGAAAACCTTCGAGGTTGCGATCAAAAGCCACCCCTACATTTTGGTGCAGTTCTTTGCCCCATGGTGTGGGCACTGCAAGCAGTGGCTTTGTTGCACTGCTGAAGCACTCACAATTCTCACCTTTGCGCAACGCAAATTCCACTGCTCTGTTGGGTCAAGTATGGAGGCAATGGGAGGTTTGGTGTGGAGACTCCCCCCTGAGTTGCGGAGGTTTGCGCCAGAATATGCTGCTGCTGCCAAACAGTTGAAGCAGACAAACCAACCCATTCGCTTGGCGAAGGCGGGGCCACTGTGTCAGAACACGTGATCGCTTATTCTTTGATTGGCCATGCGGCGGACATTTGCAGAGTGTAGACAAGCTGCACTGGCTTCGACACTCATTTCATCTCATTTCCATATTATCTACTCTGAGCCTAGCAAAGGACATTCCAACATGATACTCGAGAGCGTGTCCTGACTGTCGAACGTAGTGAACGTTGATGCAGCTCTCAAGCGGACTCAGCTTGTTTTGCAATGTCTTGATATGTCTTGCATTCCGAGGTGGATGCCACTGCTGAACTCAAATTGGCAGAGGAGTACGGTGTCAGAGGTCAGGAGTTCTGCGTTCCAATCATGTTTACCATGTTTAAGAGCTTGTTTCAGCTTGATGTCGGGTCTTTGCCATTTGCATGATGGTTGCATATGTGTACGATGGAGTTGGGATGGTTGGATAGAAGAAGTGGCATCCTAGTCTTAAGTTTCACATATTCCACACATGTGTGGACTGTACCTGTCCTCGCTCTGGGAATGAGCATGAAAAAGCGAAATGGATGAAAGATATTGAAAGAGGTGATCTTGATCCTATTGAAATCCTATTGATGTTTTGGTCAGATGATGTCACACTGATTTGACTTCGACCGTCCGCACAGGATATCCGACCATCCGGCTTTTCATCGATGGACGAGATCAGGAGGGAGTCTAATATGAGTCTTTGCTTCGGTTTTGATGTTTGCCACATTTGTTGGTTTCTTGGCCTATCTCTACAATGGAGAGAGAGCCTGACAGTCTGAGCTTGTTTACTCGACGTTTGTGCCAGGAATACACTGGTGGCCGCACCGAGCAAAGCAAACATGGCTGAAATTACTGTCCAAATCCGTCCAAATTCTCGGCTATAGGCTATAGTATGCTATACTTATGTGTGGAGTGACTTGATTATTGACTCATCGTTGAGTAGGCCTCCCCCTCTGCGTCTCTTAAAATTTGTTGTCTTGGACCAGCGCACTGCCATCACATTGCGAATGTTCAGTTCCACCATGACATGGTCGTGTGCAATTCTTATATCACGAAAGGTAGCGTCAGCTACCTGAGTTCTCCGTGCTTCAGCACAATCATAGGGGGTATTGGGGGGCCAGCCCGTGCAATTCATGGAATTCTCATGAATTCTCGCCGTTATGTATTGGATATCAATTATAGGGGGGGGGCCCCCCCCCTCTAAAATGGTCATGGGTTCAATTCCCACGGGTGACGCGGTCACGGGCCCCCACATTAGAGGCACACTTTCCATGAGGGAGATGTCCCTGTAGTCCAGCATAATTGGTATGCTTCAGCCTCAATAACAGTTGCTGCAAGGGGGGGTTTTAAATGAACCCCTTTTCGTGCATCATTTCACGCTGCACAAGACACCGTATCATGCAGTCATGCTCTGGATAAAATCATCTTAGACTGCGTAAAAACGTTTTTGGTGTATCATCTTAGGGGCGCAGCATTTTGACACCACTCCTCTCCCACTACACTACCTTTCGTCCGCCTCCGCCTGCTCTCAAGTCCTTTTGATACCTTTTGATTGTTTCTTTTCTGTCATTTTTCGTTCGGGGCACCTTGGGGTTCCAAGAGCTAGCAGCATCAAGCAAGGCAGGTCTTGTACGGTCAAACTTGTTTTTTTCCATCACAGTCCCTGTGTGACAACAAGGCATAGTCACTTGGGTCCTCAAGAAGGCGGGCCCGCCCGCAGTGGAGCTGGAAACCATTGAGGCTGCAGCAGCCTTTGAGAAGGAAAATAGGCTGGGAGGGGAAAGCATGGCCAGTGCTGTACTGTCGACAGTTGAATTTTACAGTACCAGTGCAGTTGAAACTGATGCACCACTTCGCACTGCTGCACCACAGATCGTGCAGCTATCCAGGCCCAATATGGCCAATCATGCTGTTGTCAATTGTTGTCATATTTTATTTTAAGCCGACCTCACTCCAAATCTTTGGGGCGCAGAGCAGGTTGGCAGTGCTTTGCTTTTGCGATGCACCCGTGCGGAGTGCCTTTGAGCGTGCAGCGCGGCAAGTGGAGGAGATGGCGGGGGTGCATAAGGATCCACAGAGACTTGGGCAATTTGAAGTTTGAAGGTTCTGGACTATGTTTGTCCGCTTTGGCCTCGTAAGAGACTGCCAGGTGTTTTCTGCGACCCCGTGTCACAACACGATGTAACAAGAGAAGATAAAACCCTTTATTAATTTATGCTGCGCGGGGAGTTGAGGCGGACATCAATGCGACCGATTACTACCGTAGATGGACGAAATATTCAAACCCCTTCTATCCGGTACAACCCCCTCGCCCCCAAAGTTCAATGTTAATGTAACCTGAAGTGCGTTAGCCCCAATGGACGAAACAAATCAAACCCCTAACTTATCACTTTATGCTAACACGCGCGCTGAAACATTGAGATTTGGGGGTGCGGGGGTTGCGTGCTGCAGGGTTTGAATATTTTGTCCATCTACTGTAGTGACTAGCGCGCCTAGAATGCTCTAATTACTTCATGATCTTCATGCCAGATGTGATCACGGAGTCATTATATATAATCCTAAACGACCATTTGTACTATTGTTTTCCCATACGAAAAAAAACCATGACGATCCCACATAAAACCATACGAATTTGAAAATAACATACGAATCCAAAAAACACATACGAATTGATGATGCATGATTATGCATGATTATGCATGATGGGCTACAGATGGATTTGGATTTCAATTATGGGTCTTGCTATCAATTGTGTGACCCCTTCAACCCTTCAACCTTCCCAATGGTTTCCCACTGGGGTCCCTGCAGCCCAGAGCTGGTGCTACCCACACACATGCGTGCGTTGCTGACCCTCATCGCCTTTTTTCCAACGCCTGGCCCTAAGAGCTCTGGAGGTAACTGGGATCAAACCATCGACCAAAATGTCGACGATATAGCCCCAAGGCCCTCTGCAGCGTGTTTCGCGCTGCAGAATGAGGGTGGGTCCGTCTACTTATTCGTGATATTCGTCCTATGAAATCCTCATCGGTCCAGGTTGAATGCACGGTGATGTTGATGATGTATTCGCTAAGTTCTGCTTGGTAGGCCATGTCGAGCCTTAGATCAATAAAAGTGGCTCATGATTGAGTAATGGGGTCCCATCAACCATAACATCAAAAACAGTGGAGAAACTACAAAATTTGATCCTATAAGAAAGTCAAGCAACATCAAGTGGCCAAACATATGTAGTTTTGGTCTCATCTTGAATAACATAAGGCCACACTTGGAGGTGAGCGATGTCAGGGTGCAATACCCATCCTTAAAGGTTGATAGGTGTTTTTTGTAAAGATGGTTCAGGTGAAAAAACAATATATAATTACATAATATGCCCAAATATGCAATACATATCCCAGAAAATTCTTAGGGGCAACTGATCGATGAAACAAGAGTCGATGAACCCCCAGCCATCATCCACCAACTGTCTTGCCACTGTCTGGTGCAACCAAATCCCACTGCCGTACACGGTTCTCCAGAATCTGTTGATAGCTGCAGAGCTCCACTTGAGAACTGCCACCATATCCCTGAAGTCAGCCACCTAAGATGGAAAACGAATAGGGGGTGACAGGTCATGGTTTCAAAGGATCCATCTAAGCCAATTTACTGCAAAGATTGTCAAAAAAATCCTTTGTGTATACAGGTAACCACAGAAGCTACATCTATTTGCTGTAGCTCTTGATCCAACCAGCTACCTACCACGGCTGCGTCATGTCCTTTCCCAAGTCCCTGGGGGAATCCACGTAACCTGGGTTGTTGGAATCATGTGGAAAGAAAAGATTCTCATAAATTTGTGACATAACTATATAGTTTGTTTATTGTTTTTTTCCTGGGGATGCTGGCTAGTAACGACCCGATTGGCAGTTTCAAGGTCTTGTAACTGAACTCGTGTATACTGGTACTTTTGCCATTGGCATCACAAAAAGCCATGAATCGAGAGTAGGCATTCCGAAATTGGGCCTCAGTAGTCCCACCACCAAAGTACCCGACCATCATCAAAAGAACAATCGCACTGGCATAGTAGCTCTTCCCCACACCGTCAATGGCGAATGTATGAGCTGGGTCAATACGAATGTATCTTGGGTTCCCCTGTAGGAAGACCAAGTCTCGAAGTGGAGATGGGTTCCCTGGTTTGTAGGGCTTGGTGTTGACATCTGAAGGCCGAAGTCGTTTTACAGAGCCTTTCATATCCCACCAATCCTTAGATTCAAAGCATCCTTCATGAAGAATAACACTTAACTATTTCCACTATTGATATATCCTTTCTACTTCCCCTGAAATATATTGCCAAGTATGTAGTACCAAGAGTCTGGCAACATGCACCTATGACACTTGTTCGTGCAGTTGAAACCGTTTGCCAATCCACAAGCTGATCGTAAGAAAGGCCAATCGCCTTTGATAGCTGTGATGATGAAGCGAAACCTGTGAACTTTCCCTTTCCAAATGACCTGAGATGTTTTTCATTCCCCAACAAAGTATTTGATTGGTGCAGGTATCCCAGTATCCCATCATTTTCTGAGAACAACATCAATATCTATATACATTCACCACCCCTTATTTTATAAAATATATATAATGATTTTGGCCCACAAACCGTAAGTCCATCAGTTGCCAGCTTGTTAAGGTCTTCAACCCACGCAGCCAGCAGATCGTTCAAGGTGGCTGAAGTGTAGGGAGCTGGGAGGATGGTGTAGAGCAAGCGACTGCATGGGGAAGGCCTGAGCGATAGGATGTCACAATTTCAATGCAAGGTTACTGCAAACCACTAATATGGGGTAATTATGGGTATTTTGGAAACTAAAAATGTACTTATAGGTGTGCTAAAGCTCCCAGACATGTTGGACTTGTTGGAGAACAGTGGGATAATGGTCTGGGTCGCCATAACCATTACTGGTTGTTTTTGCCTTCCTCTTCCTTCATCCCCATGTAGAGCTAGTGGTATCGACTCACTCCACTGGGACCGAGGCAGATCGAAGCCAGGTTCAACAGCCACAAATCTTTCCCAAAAGCCATACAACTCTTGTTTGAATTGGTCAGCATGGTCCAAACCCAATCCTCCAGTGAAGAAATGACCCCCCAAATCGAAGAGGCATTCGGCCCAATCAGAAAGGTGTAGCACCGGGTAGTCTACAAGGTATTTTTGGGGTCTTCTCCTCGAAGGTCTCACATAGGTTCGAACAGTGGACATCTTGACTGGAAACAACCGCTTAAAGTTGCGCACTGTTGTATGCAAGTTCCTGCATATATGCGAATCCAGTTTCGTTTTGCCACACTTCGCCATTTTTGAAAGTAGTGGGTCTGCCAAACCTTGGGGGTAACAACATGGTGCATGACTCAATGTGCACATATGAATAACTGTGCACATACGAACAACTGTGCAACTAGATTTTGTCAAGGAACCATGTCTTTTCAACCTGTTGTTGGCCACGTGCGCTAGTCGAACCACTCGCGCTGCTGATTCAGCCTGGGATTCCATATGATTCCAAGATGATTGCTGTATCTAGATTATTCTAGATTGATCTCCTCAAGTAAATGTGGTTTTTGCCAGCTCATTACAAATAAGATGCAATCAAGGGGCCCCTTCCTCGAACCCAACTAAAAGCTCATCGGCCAGGTCTGCATCAGCATCCTCTGCGACGCCTGGCGCTGTGCTGGATCAAGGCCATGGGTTTCTTACGGTTTCTCCGGGAGGAGTTCTGGTGGTCATGGCTGTTACTGTTGTTGAACCCCTTGCCTGCATCTTCAACCCTTGAAGTGAAGAGTTGATCCCTGGAGGAACCTGCGCAGGGGATTGTTGTTCATTTTTTTTTCAAATATCATTGGTGTAAATAACATATACCAAAAGAAAAGTCATCGGTCAAGAGTATTTTTCGTCTTTGGTGCTCAGCGATGTGGTTGAGTATTGACACCCTATGGTTCTAGATGTTGCTTCAGCCAGATTTCCAAAGTGACAACTAAATGTTGAGATTGAAGCATCCCAAAAGCTCCTAGCTGAATATATCAATGAAATAAATGCTGCTGTCTATCCTGGCTGCATGCAACAAACCCCAAGAATGTGGCATCTGCGTAGAGCCACTGCATAAAATTAAGACGCCCCACAAGTCCAACTGGTCATATGATTGAATTGTCAGTTGGTAGAAACTTTGGGGAAAAAGATATGGATCCTAAGCCGCTTCCTTTGGAGCTGCTTTGGACTTCTTTGTAGTGGGCTTCTTGCCACCCCTATTCTTGCCCTTAGGCTTGGCTGCACCCCCACTGCTGCTAGGCTTGGACCCAGCACCAGGAGTATTTCCCTTTTGCTTCGAAGTGTTTCCTTTCAGATTCCTGCAGGCAAGCTGGACATCGTGCATGCAATGCATGGGGCTGGAGCCATACGTGGTTGGCATGCTGGCCCGGGTCCTGACCCGAATAACTAAGTTATTGAGCGCTACGTCAGCTCGGGTGCAGGCTGAGCAGTGCTGTAAGATGGACTGTCGAACTTCTGGCCTCCCAAGTTGTCTTGTCGGAAAATTATTCCAACTCCAGAGTCGCATTTATAGAAAATTGCAATGGGCTAGCTTGAGTGGAGACCCCTGCCTTTCTGACCTAGTCACTGCAGCTTCCACTTGCAGCGTCTCAAGAGCTTGGTAAAGTTTCTGCAACGTGTTGGTGTGGATCGCAATCTGCTTCGACAACCTAAGGCAAACGATAGAATTTAATTACCAATTTCACCAACATACATTGTGAATAGCATAGGTCATGACAACTGCTGTTGGTTTCTGATTGAAGTTGCATTCATTCCACCGACTTAGGTTCTTGCTCCTGAGACTGAGGGGTCCCAAGCTTGGCGAGCTTGTCCTAGATAGGGGTGGTGAAAAAAACATATCAAATCCAAATTTCAAGCTGAGAAAGCATTGGATCATTTTACAATAATCTTGATAGACAACCAGTCCTGAACGCCACTGACATTGTCAAGTTTGCGACCACAAACCTCCAGAAAATGGGGAAGGATTGCAATCGCCGAAGAGTTTTCCT